GCTCTCCATCGTAGTTCTTCAGGCAAATGATGCCTAGAGGTCATTATTACGAATTGGCTATCTCAGATTTTCAATGTCGCAATCACAGTAAAATTTGTGTGCTTTCTCTCAAACTTGGACTTTTATGCTCCAGGCAGATGACGTAAGCCGAGTGCAGCGCCACTAATTTGCATATTGCAATTTTACTCAGCTACTCTTAGTGGACAACATATGCAAATTTTGCACGGTTTGGCTTACTTTTGAAAGAGTTATCGCTATTTTTGTGATTTTTCCTTAATTTATGATAACCAGTGTATATAGATATAGATTCAAGAATGATTTAAAATGTTTTCGTAATAAGATTGCCAGATTCTGGAATATTTTCCACTTCATGTAAGTTCATTTGAATTCGCTACTCGCTTTATAGATTTCGTTTTATGTTTTGTTCTGTTTTTTCTTTACATTTTAATTTCTGTTTTTTACGTGATATTTATTACTTAATGTATTCTATTTTGTTAAATTTTTTTTTAGTGCTCCTCGCGCTATAGTATTGATATATTTTGCTTTGGCTATGTTGATACAATATTAGAAAGCACTTTTTTTTTGCGGATATAATCGTGTGAGCTGATGAAGAGATTATATCTTTTTTCTCCGGATTTTTATTAATATCTTTGTCAGATAATTTTCTTTTTTTTCTCCATCATTCTGTAATTTTTTCCATGTTTTCTCTATATTTTGAACTTATTTTATGAGTTCTAGATACTTGCAACTTATGCAGAGTAAATAAAACTTATTGATTTTTTTTTTGTCCCCCCAAACCCTCCCCAAAACTACGCCACTGATTGAAGTGTTTGTTCCATTACTAAAATTTAAAATTCGTATAAGCCGTTAACCAGGAATATTTTGTAATTATCGTGCAATAGTTTTCCATACATGATTGAGTACATTAAAAAAACTCGCTTGCATATTTTTAAATTTCGTATAAAATGATTACACATTTCTCAGAACTTTATATAGATAAATATGGCACGTCATGTTATGCATTGGATTGCATAAAGATGCAAATTAGTTCGTGCAATTAAATTTCTTATTGGATGGCGGTTATACAACAGAAAATGACTAATGAACCGATTGGGAAAAGTAATAGAATCCGAGGAGAACAGGTGAATCGAGAAGCTGCGTCAAAAATAGCCTTGAAAAATCTAAGCATTTTATTTCAATATATATATTTTTTTTTAACCCGACAAATCATACTAAATGAGATAAAAGAGAAAAGCTGCTCAGTAACAATGATGCAATTCTCGGCCACAATTTCAGCGCTCTCTTAAAAAGAGAAATACCTCAGAGCAGATTGCGGAGGGATTTCCGGACGCCGGAGACTAGTCAACCGGAAATGACATTCGCGTTCATTTCATTGTTGTTTTCCTTGCAAAAGTAGTCGAAGGTGAAATAAATTTAAGGTCGATTAATTTGATATGCTCAAAACTTCCTAATCCTAAAAACTCGGAAAAAGAAGCATTATTTGAAGGAAAAAGAAATTAAAAAAAAAAGTGTGATCTGCTAATTCACTAATTTTTGGACACCTTCATAAAAAAGTATATACATATTAGACTAGATTTCGTTGCAAGCATCTTTTGACTTAAAATTAAAAAGAAATGATAAAATTATATCATTATCAATGATGTAATTAGCCAGTCAAAGCCTGATTTAAAAGTTCAGGGGTTGAAGGAACAACAATCCCCCAACAAAATTCGATTTTCAGCCAGAAAATATTTTATTTTTCACTAATGCACTGTAATAAAATTTTTATTCCTTAAATTTTAGTTTATAATATCAAATTACAAATTCATTTATTTTAATGTAATTCACTATTTTAGTATTCAATGTAATTCACTATTTTATTTTAAAATGCATTTTAAAATTTAGTGACTCTATTTTCGGGCGTTGTTGACGAAGGAGACGAACTTAGCGGGAGAACTTAATTTGCGCCTAGTTCAAAATAGTTTTGAATACGAAATCGGCTTACACTAAATATGAGGGAATAATTGAGAATTATATATTCATTTTTACATGAGCCAGTTTATAATTCCAATATTCTTAGAAGAGTGCATTTACAACCAGCGCATTTGTTGAACTAAAACATTTTTATTTATTTATTATTATTATTTTTGAAGATGATTTATTTTGGTGGGGCTATTTTGATAATTTTTATTACTTCTTTAGGATCATTTTTATTTTATATTCGAAAAAAAGTTTTAAAATAAATCGAATTTGATTTCAGTTTCAAAATAAATCAAAGTTTTTACTCGACATATCCTTAGATCTTGTTACTACAGCATTAACAAGTCTCCTTTCACAGGTTAAATTCCTCCAATTTTGGTACAAGAATTAAATTCCTCCCGTACCATTTTAAGAAGAATTCGAAAGTAATGTTAAAACTGATGACGTAAAGGATCTTTATGTCATAATAAGGGCCGCAGAAGAAAAAGATTTTTCTGAATATAATGAAGGAGTGTTAGAAGCAAAATAGAGAGCTCTGTTAATTTAAAAAAGTTTTTATATAACCATTTCATTTAGTCAACCAATTATCTTGACCCCTTTTTATTTCGTCAACTGCTGACAATATTAAATGTTACAAGTTGTTCAGCAGAAATCTAAGCAAGGTTAAACTTTAAAAAAAAAAGTAGACTTATAATAAAACTTAAAAAATCCGTCATTGTTTTAGAGTTTGTATTCTCACAGTAAGTGGGAAAAAAAGTAATAGAAAAAAAGCATGGTAAAAGAATATCGCAACGCAAAAATGATCTCAAATTTATTAAATATTATGAATTAATGGAATCTTGCGAATTTATTAAGCAATATTTTAAATAATTAATTGTTTATAATTTAATGAAATATTATTTTAAAATTAATTAATACACAAGGATTAGTTTGAAGTTTGTGGAGAGGATGGATCTTTTTATACATTTCGTATTTTTCAACACTTTTATTTCATTCTCTTATAATATACTCTATAACATGTTTTGACAAACGATCAATTAAAAAGAAGAAAAAAAGTTTTTAGCATTTCTGAAGAATATTCCTCAATACAGTAGGCAAATAAATGATAGGGAAATAAAGAAAACCCAAACAAAAGTACTCTACTGAGCTTATCAGGTATTTTATAAGCTAGCTAATTGGTTTACGAAATATCAATTAATATTTTCTAATTATAAACGAAACAATATTAAGACTAATTTTTAACTAAACTAATTACTTAGTTTTAGTCTTTACCTCAACACGTATTCGATGTTGAGGAGATTTCATCCCCCCCCCCTCTGGTAGCATTGTTTTCAATTAGATTTCGAAATTACCGACTAGTTCAAATACGTCTAATTCCAAATTTGATGTTTCTTGGTGCTCCTTTTATTTTCTGCTAAAAGTAGTTGCGTGATTATGCAGCAAGAAATAGTATCTGTTGTAGGGTGACGACACATCTACGTACGCCGCTTGCGTCACTCGTTGAAAATCCTTCAATGATTCTGCCTTTTCGAAACCGCCCTCATTCAGAAAAATATTCTTCCGCTAAGTAAAGAGTTCTTAACTTATTTCATGTTAAGAGTTTATTATATTGCTGTAACAATATTTTTATGTTGGAAAATGTCTTTATCTATCACCCGTTTTCGATTATGAATAAAAATGCGTGATTTTTAAGGTAAGTGCAATTAGTTTCTGGGCGGATGTCTAAAACACCGGTTGTTGACATTCGCGGATGCAATTCGCTTGCTTGCTAAAACGCACTCTTGAATCCGTTGCACAATGGAGAATATTGCTTTGACAATTGAACTTATTTGTACTGCTCTCTGACTAGGGTAGGCCATAAACATCGGCCGGTCCCTAGCACTGAAAGCAGTATTTTGTTTTCGATTTCTTGAACTTCCCAAATTTGGAAGTATCGAACCCGTCTTAAATTATATTCCCTTTCATATGGAATTATACTTTTCGTCGGGTGAGTTAATGCAATTTTGTCATCAGGAAATGCCAACATATCATTATTTAATTGATTGATAGTGTGTGTTTGTACAATTATTTAATTGAATGTGTTTATTTTTTAACGTAATTGTGTCTTATGTGATCGTAAAAATGTGATTTCTTGTTTAAATAATCCCCAAAGTAATAATGACCTGCATGTATGTTGCACTTCTGATCGATAGCATTACATCCGCTTTCTCAGGTCCGCGTTCCCTATGAAATTTCCTGCTGTTTCCCTATGAAATGTGTTTTTGATTTTATATTTGTACTAAAAGATATTTTCCGAATTTATATCATGATGCTTTGTGAAATTTATTAATGATTTAAAACATACAATAATTAACTTGAGTTTGGAAAATTTAAAAACATAATTTTAGATGTAATTTGACATGTTTTGACGTAAATTTATTTTCTGTTGATATAATCTTGTTAAAAGCTGTTTTTTCCCCCTTTAACCTTATTTTCTATTCAAAATCTATGTTTTTCTTTCGTAATATTTTCTTTTTTTTTTCCCCTTAAAAATGCAAGAAGTTTAAAAAACATAGTTTCCTGAAATAGTAGCTTTGAAGAAATCTATCAATATATAAACTTTACCTGTAACTACTGTTTATAAAGTTATGGTTGATTTGTTTATATTCAGGAAGAATTGCCAATTTTTGAACTATTCTGCGATACGAATTAAAGCAGATTACTTTGTAAAAGAGTGGTGCTTATGTTGAAATATTATTGTTATATGCATTTGTACCAATATATAATCATGAACCTAGTTTCTAAGATTTAAGTTACCTAAAATATTGTGAAGAACTACCAGAATTATTATTAGTAATAAAATATAATTTACATAGTTGTCTAACTAAAGTATTTTCTTTAATTTGCAGGTAAATCGACTTTAAACGAAAGGTAAACATTCTAAAGTTGTTCTAATATTGGATTAAAATACATTGTGATATTTCCTAGTCTTTCCAGTTTACATGACCAACTGTATGTGTGCTCTTCTCATTACCATTTTTTAAATAAGTGAAGTGTTTTTGTGCCACCCTATCATTTTGGATTATCAACATCGATGAGTGTAGCCACTCGAATCGCTAAAACAAACTTGCGTCTTGATTTAAGAGATGCAAACCATAAGCAAACAAACTTTGAAAAATCTGGATGTAGTGGTGGAGGAAGCCTCAGTCCTAATTTACAACCACCGTCACCACCATCATACCCAATTAACAAAGAACCCCTCACAGCCACCAAGATAGGAGAAAAGTATGTGCTTTTAAATAGAATAGATGGCAGTAATCTAAGACGCTGTATTCATATTCAGAGTCAACAAGAATATGTATGCAAAGTAAGTCTATAATTCTGTGTTCTTATTACTTTTAATGACTTTTAGTTTAGTTTGGGAAGATTTCCGAATCGTGATCTGTGGCAGAATAATCGCCAAGTCTTGGCAACTTCCGGGCAGCGGCCTGCGAGACTCAAAATGTATAACTCGCATCACAGAAATATAAAATGTATAACTCATAACCCACACCCGGGCAAACATCTACAGTTTTTTTTTTCTTCTTCGAATTGTAAGTTTGAAATCTATTTGGCACCTTTGCGATTGTAGTTGGCGAGACAGATCACGATATAGAAATTTCCCCTGAACTACAATTTTTAAACATGTCTTAGTTAAAGAAATTTTTTGTACAATTTTTAAAAATTTTTTAAATTGTTAAAATTAGTATCTTTCCATTTGAAATTTTAATATCATTTCAGTGCTTTTAAATTTTTGTTAATTTTTTTGACTCGGAATCGTGATTTGTGTGTGTTTTAAATTGGTTATTCACAAGGCACAGATTCTGCGTTCCATTATTATTATATACTCCTATTAAATAGGTAGTTAAGATAAAAATATTTGTTTCACAGCTTAAACTTTTGTTGTAAGAAAATTATTTTTGCCTGAAAAATTTATCATGAAGCATTTGCGATAAATCAAAATAGCATTAATGTTCTGTTTAAAATGCTTTTATTTAAAAAAATTTAGATATAAGATTAACAATCGTTTTCGTATGTTGAAAGCACTCATTATTAATTGACGGTATGTCAATCTTGTTATTAACAATATTAAAAAATGTAAATAATTTTCAAAAAAAGAATGCAATATTAATTTAGTAGAATATTCAGGATTTTCCAAAGGAAGTACTTTGCCCACTCCTAGTTGTTCTCTTAATAAATAAAGCAATAAATTTTTAGTATCCATAAAAGTCAAACAGCTGTTCAAATCCATCTATAGTAATTAAATCTCCTGTAATGAGTCCTTAAATAAAGTTTAGTTTTATTTAGAGGTAATGCTAATTTTATTGATAAGCTTCAGGAATTTTCAAGAAAAAACAAGATTTGGCTAAATGAGTTTATAAATATATTTACTGATATTAGTTGTAAAATATAAGCATGTTTATTTAGAAATAATTTTAACTTTTCTTCTTAAAAGTTCAACTTGTGAATGGACAAAAATTATACATACGGTCATTGTAAAGTCGCTTAGCCAGGATTGGCCACCAAGAAATTTTTTGTGGCGACTATATTTTTAATTGCAAACTAACATTATATTTTAATTTTTCTAATAAAAAATTGGTTTAAAAATATAGCTCATATGATATTTTCTAACTATTATCGCCCCTATTTTCAACAATTGGAGTAGAAAAAGAATCCCCCCCCTTATCTTTGCACTGATATGTATTACTCAGACTTCTGGTACCATGTTTTATAATGATAAATTGTCATGAGAAAAGGAATTTAAAAAATCGTGTAGAATAGAAATTCATAGTAATAACTGCGGGACTGTGAAAATCGAAGGAAATTGAGAAAAATATGTTTTATTTACTGTGCATAAGCTGCAATTATATAGAATTCATAAAATTGATTTATACGGTTTAAAATTTAACATAAACTAATGAAATGAAATTCTAATATTTCAAAAAACATTTATTTAAATGCCATTTTTAATCAAGTGTATAGAATTTAAAGAATTTGTAGTATCATTTATTTATCCAAAAAAGAAAGAAAAGATAAATAGATGAAACTTTCCAAAAATTGCTGAGAAATAATGAATATCCAACTAATGTAAAGATTCGTCTTACCTATCTTTTGTCATTTATTTTTATAAAATTAGGTAAGGAAGAAAATTATTTTACTTATTTCAACTTGTATGAGATCAAAATTTTCCGAAATAATCATTTGTTCTGATAAATTAACAATTTAAAATTTTTTTTTTTATGTATTAAGATTTTAAAGATCAGGAGAGCAACAAAAATGAATATCAATGATGTGTATACATTAGAAATTAGAATAAAAATGTTATATTCAAGACCACTGATTATTATATTATTAACAAGACTAGTGACAATATATTAAATACACAAATGTTTTATTTTGGCCAAAGGTTAGATTAATTTATAAATCATATAATAAACATTAAAAAAAAATATCTATAGCAAAAACAGGCCTCATGGTGGTTTCAACAGAAAATTGGGAGAAAATAATACAAAAAAAGAAAGAAAAATAAATACTATATTCTTTTCCTTCACACTGTATTCTCTTCAACAAACTACTCTTAAATTAGCATTAAAACTCAAATAAGCTAATAACTAACAACAAATTCCCCAAACATAAAAAGTATTTGCAGGAAAAAATAAGATGAAGTGCAGTGGGTTTTGACTGAATGTTGATCTTCTTAGTTAGCTCTAAGGAAGAAAATAGGGTGCATAATAGTTGTGATCAACAAAAGTAAAAGTGCATTCTTTTTAAGTATGCAGCAGAATTTCCAAAAATAGCAGAGGTATTTTTCTTATAGGGATTAAGACTTATTTAGCTAGTGGCTGCCTACTAATGTTTGCAACATAAACATTTCGGGTTAAGATTTTAGGAGGAAAACAAAGTGAAATGATAACAGCACGAATAAAGCGCATCTTAGTAATTATTCATAAAAATCGCATATCTATAAAAAGAAAAATCTGAATTTTTATAACTATTAGGACTGCATCGTAGAAACTGCCGAAAAAAATAATTAAAAAATAACTTGGATTTTCGATAAAATCCTCAAAAACAAAGTGTGTCGAAAAGTGAAATTTAAATGTGCCATTTGAAACTCTCGTGTCTTAATATACTAAAGTATGAAATTTTCAAATTCATATGGAAAAGCTCAGCAATAACTTCATTTAAAAAAAATCAAAAATCATTTAGATTTACAATGAAATCTGCTTAAATGAAACATGTAAAAAAGAAATTAAATGCGGGACTTGAGTCTTAATACCGTAATAGATGTAATGGGATTTTAAAAACCTAGTAAAAATTTGCTAGTTATAAACGCTTAAAAAACGATTGCCGCGTCACTTGAATTTATGATGAAATCGGTAACAATAAAGCGAGTCAAAAAAGCGATTACTTAATTTAGTAATTTGCATATCATAATATCACTAGTGAGCTGCGCCCCCTACTCGCTAACGCTCGCCAACCCCCGAAAATTACTACGCAATCTTATATGGTTTGCTTCGCAAACAAAGCTCGCTTCGCTCGCTACTAACTTAGGTACATTGCAAATGCACAAAATTCTAGGAATTCGAAACAATCATTCAAATCCATGTAACAACTTTTTTTTAAAAAAAAATTCATCTTTATAGTAAATACTAAGTCATTAAAATAAATTTGTATTCAAATAAATGACATGTAATTCGTTAAACCTATTAGAAATGTGCTATAGTATAATTCGTGATATAAATCAAAAATAGTCAAATAAATTCGTAATATATAAATTCAAGAAAAAAAGCGCTTTCGACAAAATACTAAAATAGAGATCTATCGACAAAGACTACTCACTTCTGCCTAGCTTAAGAGTATGAGATTGTCGCAGCTGATGCTCTCTGGTTATTTCCGTTTTTAAAAGCGCTATATGTTGACCCACCTCAGCTAGATTTGGCATGTGACATTTTTAGCGGCAATCAATGGTCGATTCGCCGTGTAAGAGAAATAGTAACGTAAATAAAACAAAGCAAACGTTGCCACTGACGGAAAAGAAATACAGCAAAAATTTGGGAGCCACGTAAGAGAATTATATATATTAGATATTAAAAATATTGAGATTTTTAAAACCATGCCGAATTTCGAAACAATAATCTTTGAAAAAGCGATCGAAAAATAACGTAGAATTACAATAGAATCTACGCAAATAAAGTGTGTCAGAAAATGATAACTTAATGTGCGGTTTAAAATTTTGGAAATTTTTTTTCCAAAAATAAATTAATTTTTCATTGTGTTCTAAAGCTTTTGCATGTCGTGCACCCCTATTTTAGAGAATTAAGTTTTGACAATATTTTCTCGATTGAGTGATATTGGGGGAAATCATTCATTGTTGATATTGAGTGATTTATATGAGAATAGCCTCATTTTGATATTAAGTGATAGCATTAAAAGAACTAGTGGTTTGAATAATTTCCTTGATACGTTTGCTATCCATTGATTCATTGTTAATGGGAAAATGTTTGTTGTAAAACCTATTTTACAAGTGATTTTCTTGGAGTTAAAAAAAAAAAATACAAAATTTTGGTAAATATTGGAATAAAAGGTTCAGTTTGGATGTTTTAATCCTGGAATAGCAAACTGGAGAGTAAGGGTCATATGGAAGGAAGGGCCGCAGTAATAGAGGTTATAATGTAGAGCATTGACTGTATTAATTTTTAATACGTTAGAGATATATTAAGAAATAAATTTTTTTAAAAAAATGCTATTTCTTCAAAGAAATCATTAAATAAAAAACAAAATTATAAATTTAAGAATGTTATAAACACGTTTGCTTATTATATTTATATCTACTTAGTCTGTTTTGAATGGAAAATATTGCTCTCAATTTAAATTTACCTATAGTTTAATTTAGTTTTCATTTTTCTATTATTAATTTTAAAATTCTTTATTTGGAGGAATATTTTTACTCTAAATAGTTTGCATAATATATTTCAGAGTTGTAACGAGTTTTTTTTTCACTTTTGGTTCCTTAAGTAATATTTCTTATTAATATATTCATTTTTATTATTTAATAGTATTTTTTTGCATACAGTACTCATAAGGAGTAAAAAAAAAGACAAAATTTTGTAACGGCAAATTTTTTAAAAAAAATGCTCCCTAAGTAAATTTTAAATTCTTATAAAGCAAATGGTGTAGTTAAGAAAAAAATCTTAAAATTATAAACAAATAATTATGTTTTCCCAATTAATTGACGTTGCTGTCCCTTTTTGTTATTACTATCCCCGTAAACTAAAACGCATTTTAAAACAAACTGAAATTCTGCTTCATTATCAATATTAAGTTAATTATGAGATGAATTTTTCCTACTTGTCTTAAGCAAAAGTTTTGAGAACTGTTTTGAATTTTTTCTCCCATTATTTCGTGTTGGCAGTTACGAAATTGGTTTTTACATGTTTCTTTATTACAAAATTTGTTCAAGCTATTGAAGACATCTGTCACATGTTTCTATCAACTTACGTACTAATTACAATGATCCTTATTTTCTCCTTCTCTATCGTCAACGTCTATTTTATCCCTAAGTTTCAACCACAGAACATTCTATCATTATTTTTTTAAAACAAATGTACTTTATTAAAAATGAAAATTTTTCACTTATGTAGTAGATTAAATTTTAATCATTAATATACTTCACGTTTTTTGGTAAAACTTCATAATTAGCATAAGGTATTTTATAATTCTTTTTCCAAAACTAATTTCAATAAAGTTTGAAAAAATAGCCTAATTAAACATTAACACTTCGAAGGGCATAGGTTCTCATTCAAGGTGTGTCAAAGATTTATATCAATTGTTTTTTCGAATTTTTTAATAGAGGGTTTTCTTATGTTCTAAGATTATTTTCTTTTCCTAAAATATGTTAGAAACAAATAGTGTAATTCCAGGTTTTGTTTCAAAATTAACGGCATGGTTATGTTATACACAGTAAAAGAAATAATTAAAAATTAGTTTTTCTTCTGAGAAGGTTAAAAATCTGTTTTTTTTTTTTTTTAAGGCCAATTTTTTTTAAGGCGTGCGAAACTGATTAAAATTATATTTTGCAACTAATCAATAAAAATTGCTTTTTAAGACGAATTGTTATGAAAAATGATCCAAAATTTTCTTTTTTTTTATATTTATTTTTTATTTTTGAAGTCTCTTAAAAAATTTTGCACCTCTTAATTATGAATTATCAATTTTTAGCATTTGTTTGTGAGTTAAATTTCATGCACTCGAGCACAATGTATAATATGCTAATTATCTTATAGCAATATCTTATAAATTGTGTAAAATTTTAATGCATAATTTCACGTTTTGATCATTTTTGAATGTTAACACTGTAGGGTTTGTCTGTACTTGAACATTTAAAAATACCATTAAATGTACATACAAATAAATAACTTAAAAATTTTCTTAAAGTAATTTGTTAACTGTGAATTGTAGGAGGAATATTCGTTAATCATAATAATCTTCTATTGACTAATCCTGATTCACTACACTAATTTCAGTGTAGCCAAGAAAAGGTTAAATAAACATTTGTGAAAATATAGTCATCCTTTGAAATGATAATAATCTTTCTGATTACTTTTCTCCTGTGTTGTAATTCAGCTGTTTCCCCCTCCATCAAATAATTGATTTCCTTTCCTACTGGCTAGAAGGAAAACAATCTTCCTTCTTTTTATGTCGACTCTTCAAAATCCTCAAAAAGTTGTGAAACATGCCAAATTAACGAGGAAGCCAGTAAACGTCGCCAAAATTAAATACGTGAACCCTCCCCCCCCCCGAATACCTTAAAAAATGCAAATCCTTTTCTCAAGTCAGTCTTAGTATATATTAGTTTTTCTTTACACTTTTATAGTTTCACTACAATTCGCAATTAAGATTTTCTGGAAGATTCCAATCTGTGTGTTTTCTAAAGCGTTGGATAACTAATAAGTTCAGTTAAATAATTCGTAACAAAAATTTAAACATGAATGAATCGAAATTTTTTATTTTTTAAGAGAATTTATTTTATTGATTATTTTTTTTTCTCTTTGAAACTTTTTCGCAGTAGATTCATAAACAAATGTATATTTTTCTAACAATTTATAAGCAAATAAAAAAAGACATTTGGTTAGTATCAAAACGTATTACAGATTTTTTTAGATGTGAAAGCAAAAAAAAGAACACTTTGTAATAAACATAATTTCAGAAATTTTGAATTCTTATTCAAGTTTTTAGTTGTTTAAAATAGATACCAAATTATAAAACTATTCTAAACTGTATAAAGGTAAAAGTCCAATTTGGACCCAGTTTAATATTTTCGATAAGCAATATTTTTTATGTACTAATACTGAAATTCTTTTATGCATGAAAATTTTACCTTATATATGAAGTCTTGATGGAAGTGGTATTAAATTACTTGGAACAAAGAAAAACATAGTTAATTTATTAAGATTCTCTGTTGAATCACAATTTTATTTTGATTCATAGTGTGAAGAATAATAAACTGATCTTACCTGTATAGTATCTACTTTTTAAATATGGAGAGTTCCTAATATCCATTCTCCAACTGCAGAGGTCAATAAAAATAATCTTATTTTGTATTTTTAAATAAGTAAAAAAAAAGAGAGAAGAAAAGAAAGGTCATATTTACTACTAGAACAGTGAACAATTTTAGAATTATTTCGTGCTGCCATCTTTAATTTATTTTGAAAATAGTCATTCAAATAATCGTTTGACATTTTAAGTTATATGATTTGGTAAAAAATTTAAAATATTGTTTTCTTTTTAAATGTTTATTACAACGGATTTTTTTTTAACCGAGCGAAACATTTTGAGAATTTTTAATTTTATCTTTTAATTTAATTTAATGTAAAATTTATAAGCTTTTCTTTTGTACTTCACAGGTTGTGCCAAATGACAGGTATCGTGATGTTCTTCGTGGTCATTTTAGATTAGATTCTCATCCCAATATCAATACTGTTGAAGAAGTACTGGTGGGAAAATCCTGTACATATATTGTGTTCCTTAAATGTTTCGGGGATCTTCATTCCTATGTTCGAAACAAAAGAAACCTCCGAGAAAGTGAAGCCCTTTCTCTCTTCAAGCAGGTAGCATCTGCTGTGGCTGCTTGTCATTCAGCTGGAATTGTTTTGAGGGACCTTAAACTCAGGAAATTCGTTTTTAAAGATCAAGAAAAGTAAGTTGTGTTTTTTATTAATTATTGTATGCGACATAAAACCAAAAAAATTTATGACGTTTGTCATACGTTTTGATATTACTCCATTTTGGAAAATAAAAGTTAATTTTAATCATTCTAAAATTTAATTATGCAGAAAAATGCTTTTGCATTTGATAAAAGTATTTTAAGAAAGTTAATTATTGACTTTCTTGTCTANTTATTTCGAAAATCGAGGTTCGCCCAAGAAGGTCGATTATTTAAGGTTCCGTAGCCAAAAAAATTGGGAACAGCTGATTTAATTTATGGTTTTGGAGATGGAAACAACTAAAAATCGTCTGCATCCAAGTGCGGCTAGTCATGGGATAAACTCATCATTTTAAGGGTGGTGCCAATTGATTTCTTTCCCCAACTTCTGTGCGTATGGCTGACTCATCCTCTCAACCAAGATTTCCAATGTTTATGGAGAAGAGGATACAGAGAGGTTTTGTTCTCTGTATAAGAACATGGTCTAAAAATATGAATTAGATTTTTCTGCTGAAATTTCTGCTTTATTTTCGCATCCTCTTTTGGTTTAACTCATCTGCAAATTTATCTTTCCCTTTCTCGTATCCAAATATTATAACAAAAATAAATAAAAAACAAATTAAATGATTATTAAAAATAATAAAATGACCATCATAAATGAACATAGTAGATTTTCTTTTGCAGTTACTTGCTAGTATGCATTTCAGTAATCGATTGAATGCTCTTAAATTTAGAAGATATTTCACAATGAGTTAGGATATTAATTTTAAAATTTATCGCAACAGAATTTATTAATACAATTTAATATATACGATACGATTAAAATATTTATTCTCCTGTCTATTTTTTAATATATTTATCTTGGAAGACTAATCATTTGACTCAATTTTTTAAAAGAATGTTTTCTTTTCTTTTGTCTGTACGTCGGCAATTCAATCTGGTAAAGTTAGTTTAAAAGTTAAAATTTTTTTTAAAAAAAACTTTAATATTGAATTCATACCATAGGGATGCTGAAAATCGAGATCAAAAATGTTATGTGCACACAAACACTTTAAATAATTGAAATTTCAGCAAGAATAAAGTGCATGTAGGAAGCTTTTTCCTGACAGAATGTTATCAACGTTTTAATAAAAAGATCGATGCGAAATTTTACTTATTGTGTGAATATAAATCCCTGTGTGGTTTTTGAATCGTGCTAATACGATATTTAATTTTAAAATCTCGGAATACGGAGCGAGACTTTTTTATTTTGAATCGTAAATGCGATCTTAAATCGCATAAATACGAATCGCGATGTGTGATTTTAGATCTGGGAATGTGTTAAACTTAGTAATTTTAAATTGCAATTTTTAATTGCATGTAATTTTAAATTGCATAAAACCTTTTTTTTTTTAAATTACGTTTTTTTAAAGTTATATTTAAAAAATTACCGCGGCGTTCATCTATATTATACATAAACATAAAACATTCCCAGTGTGCGTCATTTTTTAAATTCCCATGTTATTTTGCTTAGAGATTTCAAATTCAACCCTTTATGTTCTTCAGCTTAGTTAGAAACCTGCTCAGCTAGTTTTTTTTTCATCCCCCTTTTTCAATGAAGCAGTGGGGAAAGAAAAAAATCTTAATACTGACATTTTTGCTCGCTCAAGTGAGTTTTTGAACTCGTTAAGTACAAAGATATGGCCTTCATTTGAACTTCTTTTTTGCTGATTTTCTTCTGTCCATGATTGTTTCCTATTCTTTTTCCAGTCGGATTTCTCGCGTTGAACGTCCTCAAGTAGGCAATAAGAACCGGATGAAAGACCGACCTTCCTTTGGCGCTCTTTCTTTATCTCGTTTTCCTTTGAAGCCAAGAGGAATTCCATTTCATGAAAAACTTCTTAATTTTACTTTACATTTATAACTGTGGTGGTTAATTCAATACTTGTTTAATTTTTACATGGATCATTTGTCAAATTGTCATGATTCCTGTTTGTGGTTCAGTTAAAAAAAAATCATTAAAAGTTAATTTTGTTAATGTTCCGTATGAAGTAAAATTATTTTATGAAATTATTGCTTACAAAATGTAAACAATTCATTATTTACAAATAAAATATTAATAATTCAGTTCAGAGAACTTTAAAAGTTAATTTCTTTTATCTTCTTTTTCTCACACACGAATTTTATGCATCTATTTGTGTAAAATGCTTTTAAAATTTTGCTTAGTTACAATTAAAGTTAGTTTCTGAGGAAATTCAATTTTTGTAATAAGGGTTTCGTATTAGAAAAGGAACAATATATTGGAATGGTTCTTTAACAAAGCGACAACCAGGGTATCTGCGCACCTGGAAAGTCATGGATTTCTTTCCGTATTGAACAAAATTTGTCATGAAATGTCACGATTTTAACTGTTTAAAAAAAGTAAAAAAAACTTGGAAAGTCATGGGTTTAGGTCGCCAAGAAATCTAGGTTTTTAAATGGAATTTGTGTATCTCTCCTAATTTTTAAAATGGAATTTGTGAATCCCTCTTAATTTCACAGTGTTCCAAATATCTAAATTTGTTGTAGAATACCCACTCATAGGCATATTCAAGTAAAATATAGAATGTTTTTATCCTTTTCTTTAAAAATTATGGTGTTCTTTCAAAAAATTAAAGAAAGAACATCATTTCTAGAGGGAATTATCTTTTAAACAGTGATTTCAGAATTTTTTTTTCTATTTTTTTATTTTATCAATTTAAAATTCTAGTTTAGGCTTTTTATATTACACTTTAAAGAAGAAATAAAACAGCTTTAAATAACTACATATATCTCACAGTATTTAGTTATTTGCTTTTGTATTTTTTTCAGCTATTTTGTTGCTTCAACTCTTTCTTTACCGTTTTTTAAGTTTAAAATCAATAAATAAGAGAAGGCAGAGTTTTGGTTTTTACATATCATTTCAATAGATGTGAAATTATTCATGGATTTGATGTAAGCTATTAAGTCATGGATTTGAAATAAGAGATTAAAATTAATCTAAAATGTGACTTAAATAATAAACTTGTTTAAATGATTTTTTTTTTTAAAATTTTATATTTGAAATGCGAGGAATTGCTTCTAATATTTTTCTTAAAACTGCTTGAATTTTAAAATTTTAGATAGTATTTTGAAAACTGTCCCATTTTAATCGCTCTTTACTTTTCATCCTTTCTGGTGGGTCACACATTAAGGGCGATCAACTTGTCCCCAATGCGTTTCACTAGGCTGTTTGTCCGAAATTTGAAATTCGATAATTCTCTCAATTTCATTTGATTGCGCTACGGCGTTAGTTGGAACTGCCTGCCCCGCAGCTAATCAGGAAGCAATTTTCAGTGTTGAAATCATACTTTTTGATAGTTCCTGCTTGATTTGAAGTGTTTTTTAGTCTGAAAAGGAGTCAACCGATAAATAATAACTAGTAGCTACTTTTAAATTTAATTATGTGGATTGAAAGATATGGCAGCCAGAATTCTGAGTTTAAAAACAAAAGATGAATAATAAAAAATAAAAACGTTATTTAATTAAATCTTCGGCCGTTATTTTCTGCGCTGATTTGATCTAAATGTTAAAATAAATTCCCTTACCATTTTAGTTGGAAATAGTTCTAGTTGCTAACTTTAAAAACCGATGGAAAATAAATTGTATCGTTTTTCGGAATTCTGGCATGGTTATAATATATAAGGAAGATGTGGATCTTTAGTCTCGAAAATATTAAATTTTGCATTGACTACATAGAAGTGTTCCACAACGTGAGGTTAAACTAGATCGATTGACCATCACTAATTGTTTGCATCTTTTAGTTGATATTGGGAATGAATAGATTAAAGTTACTTTCAAGTGACGTTAGCTTAGACATCTCTATTACTTTCACTTTATGATTAACAGGGCTGTAAATTCTACAGGGAAGTATGTATTTCTTGTAATGCATACTGAACTTGGTTGTAAATGGCTAAATGCCAATGGAGAAAAAAAAATTTAGATTGTTGTAAGAAGGGAAGAGTATTGCGTAAGTTTCATGTGGCGTTTCCTGAAATGCATTATCTGATTGCTGCAGTTGGATGGGTGTTCTGAGTATTGCAACATACTGAATTTCGCAATCTCTTCCCTCTCTCTCTTGATACTATGTAATGGGACAGGAAGAGCCGCATCGCTCTGGATTTGAAAAAGAGATAAAATTACTCTTTATCTTTTGGAAGAGATACCATTTTTTTTATTTATTTTTTCATTGAGATTTTAATATAATTAATTATTAAGTAACACTTAGAACTTGTTGAAAACTTGAAACTCTTGACTAAAACTAATATATATATATCCTTTTATTTGAATTCTGGACCACAATTTTTTTTTGTGAAGGTTTATCTTTTCCAAAATTGCGTTAAAATCAAATTCTGATTAATTTAAGAACTTCTTAGTAACAATACAACACAACCAATTTAAGAATTTCAACCTTGTTTTTTTTCTTCTTTGGTATTTCATGGTTGTTTCATTATTGTAAAGAACTCTAGATATATACTTTTTATCAGTTTCAATGTTAACCAATCATTTCACAATAAGTGGGTCAATTATGTGTGTAATATATATATATATATATCTCATAATAAATAAATACATGAGGGACCAAAAGAAAAAATTAAGAAAAACAATAAGTTTTATTTACTGTGCATAACCTGTAAGTAAATAGAACTTGTACAATAAGTTCAAAAGTCGAGGAAACATGGAAAAACTTACAGAACAATAAAAAAAGGGGAAAAGAAGGATTTTTTTTTTCTTTTTCAAATTATTATTTTTCTTTTTTCATTGTTCTGCAATTTTTTCTCTACTTTTAAACTTATATATATATATATATCTTTTAAGTTCAAAAAGCAGTTAGCAGGTCTTTCTTTACAAAATTAACGTTGATCTATTAGTGAAATACTGTTCTTTTTTAAATGTGTCAATTATAAGATAGATTTCCTTTCAGACATTGAATGTTTAAATGTCTCATAAGATGTTAACAGTGGTATATATTATTTCTAGGACTCAGTTAAAGTTAGAAACCCTAGATGATGCTGTACTGCTGGATGAGGATGATGACTGGCTTAATGATAAACATGGCTGCCCTGCTTACGTCAGCCCTGAAATTTTAAGTCCTACAAGTAATTATTCTGGCAAAGCTGCTGATTGCTGGAGCCTTGGTGTTATGCTTTACACAATGCTGGTAGGTCGTTACCCCTTTCATGACACAGAACCCAGTGGCCTTTTTAGCAAAATACGAAGAGGTTGCTACATTGTGCCAGAACATTTATCTTCTAAAGCCAAATGCCTCATCAGAAGCTTGCTTAGAATGGATCCATCTGAGAGGCTAACAGCCGAAGAGGTACTAGACCACCCCTGGTTCAAATCAGCAAAATTCACCGATGAATTGTCTCTTTGTCCATCTGACCAAATGGTACCAGATTTCGAACACATGGTCAGTGCTCCTTTTGTATGACACCTCGGACATCTCTGACAATTAGGGCAGCTACTAGTTTTAGTTTTATTGTTCTATCCTCAAGGAGAAATAGCAGGAAGAAAAAAAAAATTGTGTAAAATATGACTCTCTAGTTAGCTCCTAAGCTAGCAGTAATTTTTCTTGCATATTTATTCAATGTGTGCCTCTAAGTCTCTATGCAAGCATTTTTTTTTTCTCTGTGTACCTCTGCTATAAATGAATGAGAAATCTCCTTGTGGGACAAGCCAGTTTGATATGACAGCATTTTTGTAACACTGCCAATTGTTCCCAAAAAAGTTATATTTTGTTACAGTTTTTGTTTATTAAGTTTTGAAAATTTGTGTTTTTAGTAATAATTAATTACCAAGCAATTCACTGTTCTATTTTTATAAGTAAAATGTAATAGTAGTAATAGTTAGAAGAGTGCACTTACTGCTCGGTACCTATCTTTCAATATATTTGGATTAGTTTTTTTTAATTATCTTTCTGGTATGTATAAGGTAGTTGTAAAATGGTGTTTTAGGAAATAGTTTACTTTTCTATGTACCATTGTAGATGGTTCCTCACTCAAATAATATGATTAAATTAAATTTTTATTCTCTGTTCAAATCTTTCTAAAAATCATGTAATATTTTATAAATGTATTTAAAGATATTGAAATAGGACATTAAAAGAAAGAGTGACTTTTTTTTTTAAAAGTTGATCTATCATGAAATTTTTTTTTTTTTTTATCAGATAGAAGAATTAGTTCTTTCCGTTTAAAAACAGAACTACAGTAGATCAACAAAGATATAGTTAATTAAGACTTCTAACGTTAACTGTTTTGAAATTTTCTTTGTGTTCAATTGTTTATATCAGTGACAGTTTTACTGAACTCTTTCCAGCTTTGTTTATTCAGACCTTTATGGAAATAAGTTATTACATTTTGAATGTAAATAGAATTATTAAAATTGCTCTGGCAAGAGCTCACTTCTATTAAGAATCTTAAAATTTTTGATGCAGCAGATTTGTTTTTTTTTAAAAATTTTTTATTGTCATTTAATGGCCATTCAGTTTACTAGAGTTTCACGTGTATTTTTCATTCTGTATTTCTATTAAAATATGGCATAAATCAGTGCAATAAATTGAAAAAAAGATTTTAAATGTAGTTGTAACTGTAAATTGTGTTCATATTTGATTGAGTGTAACTGTGCAATCTGTAAGAAAATTTCTGCATTTGGTGGAAAGTTACATAAATGTCTTGTGGTGCGGAAGTCGTTTCAAGTTGTCAGTAAATAGTTTTCTCAGTTCTTTAGTCAATATTTCGCCTTTAAAATTCAAAAGAAAAAATGTGTTTGAAGTAATTGATTTTTTTCAGACTAGAACATGAGATGTTTTTTTGTGAATTGTTGCATCAAGCAATAACTTCTTTAATCGAAATTTATTTTTTTACCCAACTTGAGATAACTAATTTCATATATATATTTTGTTTCAAAATACAAATCAGTAATTTCTTTTACCTAAAATTTGAGCCCAAGAAATGTTTTTAGGTTTCTAGAAATTTAAATATGTCTAGAGTGTTACATACAGTTGTTCATAGCTGCCAACTCAACTGGATTTTTCCAGTTTCTCCTTTTTTTTGTACATATAGAAAATTCACTAAAACTGAGTAAGTTTTATAAAAAATCCTTATTGAAAAAGAAGTTTTGCATAGATTATTACTTGCTTGAATTTTAAAATAAGTATTATATATAATAAGGCTAGCCTCATTTATAAAAATCAGTTTAAAACTGTTTTTGTCCTAAAATGTTCAGTTTACTTTTATTCAGAACTCCCTTTTTAAATTAATTAAAAAGAAATCTTTGATGAATTAAAAGTCTATTAATATTCGAAATTATGGGTATACATATTTCCAGTCTGTTTAATGTCAATCATAATTGGAAAATATTGCAGTTTTTCTATTTTGATGGCTACGAAGTTCCCTATGTGTAAAATATTTAGCACATGGTGTAACAATTATCGTGAAATTAATATTTCGTAAAATCTACTGGATTTTTTTTCCTATCCATGTTGGCAGCTATGCAGTAATTAACTTTAAAGTACATTATTAGTTACTATTTTTGTTTTTAATTTGAGCAGTTGAATCTTAATATATTATTAAAATAGTTAAGCTTCTTAATAAATACTAATTATAATTTTCTGTTCAAAAGTAAATTTGGTCTTATATGGGTAATACACATTGTCTTTATACGAAAGTTGAATCGCTGTACGTGCATTATAGTAAAACCCTTTAGCAAAATTTGGTATGTGTTCTGCATGTCATTCTATTTATCTGTATACAACTAGACTCTTGTAATAAGTTCAGCATTAATTAGATGGCTGGCATATCTCTTAACATTGTAATACAAATCATTGAAATGTATGTTAAAAAGAGTACTTAGAATAAAATCATTTCCTTTATGTCAATCAAATCTTTTAATCCTGATTAAAGTTTTCTTCAAAATTAAATGTACTATATATTTTATGTATAATTTATAAGTAAGAATTGTATGTGGATTAGGCTTGTATATTTATTGTAAAAACTTATGCACTGCATTTTCATTACTTCTGCCAAACATCTTATGATAAAACCTACTGTAAAATTCAAATCTAAATACTGTGTGTCAAGTATTTGTTCCATGTGGATGAAAATCATGTCAGTTCATTACCATTGTGCATATTTTTTTTTCACCTAGACATTCAATAAATTTTTCAGTGACATGAGCAAAATTTGTCTTTCTTTCGAAGTAATGCGACACCCCCAGTAGCAGAAACCCACCTTTGTCAATAAAATTTTAATTTAACCATTTAAGTGGAACAAGTTTATAATCACTCATGTTTGTGAAAAATTGCAACACCATGAAATAATTATGCAAATTGAACTTAGCTTACATGAGATGTAAAGTAATGTAAGATGTGGTTCCATCTAAAAGTCCTCCACAAAGGCAAATTTCTTCCAATACTTGATCTAGGAGTTACAGTATCTTCTGGATTGGGTTCAAGGCCACGGAGTTGAATTATAGTAGTCATAAACCCAAAATTGGGTCGCCTGTTCAACAACGTTTATGAAATAAAATAGTTAAACTATAAATATTGATTTAAAAAATCTTTAGATAAGGATTTATATACATATTTTTTTCATCACTAAACGTAAGTGCTTATATTATTTTGAATTTCTCTTTTTGACTTATATGATAATGCATGCTGTATCGAAACTTTACTCGAAGCCTAAAAAATGACGCAAGTAAAATCTTCGTTATTTTGTCTAGTCTCTAGTGCAAGTTGTGGAGCCATAGATCCTCCCCATTCTTCGATGTAATTTCAGGTACTGTATTTTAGCAGGATTATGCCTGTGCACATGTTTCTAAGACGACACAAATGTTTTTCAATACACCCCAGGTTTCGCTTCTTCTGTGGCCTGCCTATTCTCCGGATATGTCGCAGATTGAGCAAGTTTAGGATTTTATCTGTAGGTGACTTGCATGTATAGCTGGCGAGGCATGGAATTTACTCATTTCTGCAAAGGACACTACAAAACTGATTGTCAGCTCCTGCAACCCTGAGATATGAAATGCAGGCTAGAAAATAGAAGGGCTAAAGAAAGGAGAAAGGCTGGTTCATTAATTCCTCTCTTAGAATTGAAGGTACGATTTCCCTCCTCATGACGTCACGCCACACACAGATCTCGGAGATCGCAAACAAAGATATTATTAAAACTATGCATCCTTCTCTCTCTAAAAATAGACTTTTTCTTGATATTAGCTTTCAAACAACACATTATTTCCGTTCAAAAAAATTTTCTTGAACATAATTTAAATAAAAAATACCATTTTAAATTAATACAAATATTTAACTAGTTGTCGTGAGTGACACTATGAATACTTTATTTTAAAATTTTCAATTTTAACTTTTATTATTAAAAAAAATTAAAGCGTACATCAACACTTTTAAGCTACATATTGTTCGCTAACAGTTTGTAAAGTTGGGTTAAATTTAGAATCCTGATTTCAAAATATACTGTTAATGGGATTTTGTTTATTCTTAATCATTAGGAAACATCAACAACCTTAACGCTAATTACTGAAACAAAATAATTTAGGTTCATAATATTAGAAATTTTACAATTGTTTATAGATATTTAAATTTAAGAGACTATAATTGAAAGAAAAAAAATTAGAATAACTACATTAAAAAATATGTTATGAAATAAGAAGAATTTTAACTAAAGCTTTTATTATTTAAGCTTGCTCTAATTTAAAAAATTCTCTTTTCTCATAATTTTTTTTTCTGGATGCGTTCCACTGTATCATATTTACTGATATTTTTTAAACTTTATTTCTTCATTATTTTTATTTTTCAAATCCGTTTCTAAAGTTTCAATTCTCTCTTTCTTTCAGTACTTTTAACTTCTGTTTCTAATTTGCAGCATTTATCAAAATTTGCTGTACTTAAAAAATTTTCATTCCTAGTATTTAAATTGCTTTACTTTGGGGTTAGAATTTCTAATTTGTCCAATGCACGAACCAACACTTTGCATTTATTCAATCTTTCTGGCAGAGAAGAACTTGTTTGTATTTGTAAAGTAGAAAATGGAAAATTTATTCTCGGTATTGCAGTAGATTTTAAAATCATTCTAACTGGTTATCCAAGCGAACGATTTCTCATATCATCTTCATTTAAGAAATGCTTACTGTATATTTTATATTGACTTAGTTGTTCATTTACTTTAGGGAATACATGGAAAATTATATTTTTCTCTTCTGTGTTTCTATCAAAATTTTTGCAAATCACTACAATAAACCAAGGAAAATCATTATAGAAAATAACGAATGTCTTGGAATATATCACAAAAAGGAATGCTCCAATATTAATTAGAGCTAGTTAGACCAAACGCTCCGTTCTTGAATTAAAAGTTCAAGTTTTGCAATTAAAAGTTCATGTTAAGTGTTGCCTGTTTAGGAAGGTTAAGAGGATGCTACACCATGTGAGAAACTTTTTATTGCAAATTTTGTTTTCCATCTCCATAAGTAATTGAAACTTTTAAGTATAGAAAAAGCGGCAAACCTAGAGTAAGTCAGGAAATTTCAAATACTGAGGAGAAAATATCAAAATGATAGCAAATTATGAGTCGCAAACTTAGGATAATGCAATAGAGAAGTTCTCTCCCAATAATTTATTGGCATTTTGAAATTTCTTTTTCAGCAATTTAAACCATGCCTTACTTTAAGGTTTACCTAAAATCACTTTTTCTATACTTTAGATTTTAAAAAAGTCGCCTATATTTAATTTGTTATTATCTAAGACTATAGAGTTTCAGTTAGACTATCAGAACGATGTTGAGTTTGATTGCTTTAATATAATTGTTTTGTGTTAATTCACTCAAAATTATAAATTCACTAAATTTTGTTCATAAACAATGGAAGACACAAAATGCCAATTTGAAAAAAAAATATTATTTTTAATAAAAATAATTTATAATTTCCACAACAACAAAAGTTTATTAACAACACACTATAAGTAACAAAATGTATCTATAAAAGGGTTTATTTATACAAGGGCAAGTTTGTTTTTTTCTTAAATGCAAACATGGAATTGTGCATTTTCATTAGGAAGATATCTTTTGTTAAATTATAACTTGCAATCACAATCTATTGCAATCCATTCAGTTGGAAGAAAATATCAAAATAAAAAAGATCACAGAAGGAGAAACTAAATTAGATCTATAATATTATACATCATCAGCTTATCTTACCAAGCTCTATTTTTTGTATGACTTTGGAAGAATAGTAAACAGCTGAATCTATCATACCAGCCACTAAAAATTGAAAAAAAAAAACATTTGTTGCACATCAAAAGACAATTAAAAAAGATAAAATCCTAATTACATTTTGCACCATGTTTTCCCTGTACATATTATACACAATATATTAAGAGAAAACAATTACTGTGCGATATTGGGTTAACTATATTTATTAGTTTAAATTGCTGGAAAAACTTAGAGGAAAACAAATAATATAAAAACAAAAATTTAAAGTCAATGTCAACTTAGGTCAATAAAGAAATTTTTAATTTTAGTTACTCATTATTAAATAACTATACTCCCCGTGTAGTAAAGTGACTGATGCACGTTAAATCTGTCGAGTCGCAAAAGTACTCCATGTTCCCATAAAAAATTAAAACCTCTGGGGGTACTGGATTGGAGATCGATCGTTCTCTGATTCAGGTCAAAATTACACTCTGTGGATGAATGAATGGATGGGTCCGCCCTACAAACGGGTGAGACGTATGGTGCGACAGAAGTCGAATTCTTGGCCATAGATGGCGCCACTGAAGAACAAGAAATGCACACTCTGCCTTAAATTTGCTCGATTTCACCAAGCATGCTTGCTTGTGTGGCATTGTAGCATTAGAAACAACAACAACAAATAATTAAAAAAAATTTTCATCTATATAAAATTAATTAATGCATTAATATTTGAAAAAACTGTATTAACATCAAGCGTAATCCACTACAAGTTTAAAAAAATGTTGTTGAACTTGAATGAAAAGTATTTTATTAATGATTGAAAATTTGAACAAGATATATAAATATATATAGGGAGAGTGAGAACTAATAGTAGGAACTAAATGTTCACAATAAACTATTTTTTTGTTCAAATAGGGCTATAGATTAGAAATTATCACTGCTATTTTAAAATATGTGAAAAACTAAATCACTAATAGTAAAATTTAAAACGACTAACGCTTAACCAATCAGAAAATTCCATTTCGTTTTTCGCTCATCCGTATTTAATTAATGAATTAATATTTGAAAAACTGTATTAACATCAAGTATCATCCACTACAAGTTCAAAAAAATGTATTTGAACTTGAGTTTATGAATAAAAAGTATTTTATTGACGATTGAAAATTTGAACAACATATAGGGAGAGTGTGAACTAATGGTAGGAATTAAAAAAACGTACAGTTGAACATACTTAAATAATGCTATAGTAAATGAAATAGTTTAGTATAGATGAAATATCATCCCTAAATATCCCATAGAGTATGCTTTAAGTGGTCACCATTGTTTAAGAGACTAAGAAAAAAAATCACAAAATTCTCTGCATTTTCCATGTTATTTTAGGTGATTTTTTAATTCTCTATATTTTCCAGATTTTCAATGTGAAGTAGCGACCCTGTACCACGGGCTGGCTCTAGTGCAATTTTCTGGGGCCCTGAACCTGCATTGGGAATTTCTCCCACGTCTTTTAGGACATCTATATTCAAGCTCTATGGTAAAATTGCACATGAGCAATGGCGCGTCGCTGACGGTCAAGCTAAGGAGCTGAATTGTGACTGTCCTGGTGTACATCAAAGAGAGCTTTTAAAGCTTAATAGAAACAGTTTGAGGAAGATCATTGGTCTTCTTACTGGAGACATCTTCAGGAGACACCTATACATAATGGAAATTGAATCTAATTCTCTTTGTCGAGGTTGTCGTCTTGAAGAAGAGACATCACGACATATACCTTGTGATTGTGAGGTCTATTCTGCTCAAAGATTTGAGCCTTTTGGGCAGCATTGCATTAAAACCTGGGAACTGCAGGATGTTCCTGTAAGGTGCTTGCTGAATTTTATTTCAGCTATAGGGCTTTCATGCTAATCATGATTTAGGGTTTGGGTACAATAGACCTCTGGTCGATGTGCCCTGCTCTTCGGAGCAGCCCAACCTCTAAGTTTAAGCAATCCTGTACTTGTGCTGAAAATTTTTGAAAAAGGTGAGCTGTAATTAGTCAGTCAAAGACTTTTTACAGCAGAAGACTAATTTAACAGTTAAATTTAAATTTTACCAAGAAAAACCTCAACTTTTTTTTAAAATGTTGGTCGAACAAATAAATGGTAACACCAGCAAGAATTAATGCATTTCGTTAAATAAACAAAAACCATAATCAATAATGCCCTTGTTAAACTTCGCCGGATCCTTTAGTCTAGACAAAACGTTTTGCAAGAACCTTTGAATAATATTCACTTATTCTGTTTGGTCAGCCATAAATGCATAGCAAAATATATTTCATTAGAGCTGGATAAAATTAATTTTAAGTAACCAAATATTTTATTTTTATCTAGTAAACGAGGAATTTAAAGTTCACTTTGCCTTTTTACTGTTTTTCCATACTTCATACCCCTAACAACAATTAGACCTTGGCCCTAGTTGGGCTCAAAATTGTCTCAATATGGTCATATATGAGCATACTCCGAGGGACCGATAGTGGGATGTCTAGATTTCTTAATTTTGGTTTTATGACGTGTTAATATCGGCCTAGATAGAACTTATATTTGCTGAATAATGATTATAAAATATCGGGTGAATCTGACAATTCTATAAAGGGCCGATATTGGTTGTTAAGTGGCAGTAAAATATTGGGTGAATCGGGCAATTCTACAAAGGACCCCATATCGGCCATTTGAAGCCTTATAGTGCTATAAGTCCGAGTCCTATATGAACATGCTCCGAGGGACCAATATTGGGATGTCTAGATTTTTTAATATTGGTCCTATGCAGTGTTAATATCGGCCTATATAAGACTTATATTGGCTGAATAATGATTATAAAACATCGGGTGAATCTGACAATTCTGTAGAGGTCCGATATCAGTTGTTAAGTTGCAGTAAAATATCGGGTGAATCGGGCAATTTTGTATGGGACCTATATCGGCCATTTGAAAGCTTATTGTGCCAAGATTTGTGAATATTGGTCCAATGAGAGCCCAAATTATTCTGCTAGGGATAATCTTGGTAAAAATATTCGAAGAATTTGATGCTCGGACGTTACAAAAATACGTTGGCAATAAAAAAAAAAAGTGGGATTTAGCATTATTTTTATAACCACATGATTTTTTTAGAGGATTATGAGATGTCTGGCTCAGAAAATGTTGAAACTAATATTGCAAAATTAAAAGAGTATCAGAAAAAAACATACAATAAAACAAAAGTAAATATAAAAATAAAGGCATAAGATGAAAGGAAAAAAAGTCTTACCTGTAAATACACCTCCTACAATCGCACATACACTCGTAAGGAAATGAAAAAATGACCTAAAAAAAGAGACATTTTAATGTTAGCATTCATAAATATTAACAATAGAAAGAGAGAGGAAAAAAAAATTTTTAAATTTTATTTTATAAATTGGTGTTGAACAGCTGGCTCATTTTGAGATTACCATTATTGATTTTCAACTCTGCGAATAATGGAAAATAGGAAAAGAAACTGATTTCAGATAAAAGTTGGTTGTTTTGAAATTTCATTAATTTGTTTTATTTCCCTTAAGAATTAAAAAGTCACAAAATAATGAAACATGAATATTTAACAGAAAATCATAGATTTGTTAATAAGCACTTAACTTTGTTAATATTTGTAATTAAGCTCAATTATTTTTTTTAGAAAAATATTTAGAGTTTTAATTATTTCCATAGAAAAAACACAATGAGTATGTACTGAGACATCTTTGTGAAAAGTAATTTTGTGGATGGTCCATCAGCTTAACATTAAAAAATTCTGTGATCATTGAATTTTTAATAATTCTTAATAATACGAATTAATAAGAATCAATTTTGAAATCAAATGCAGATACAAATAAAAAAATTTGGAACTGCAAGGATTAGTAACTATAAATCCTGAAAGTAGGAAATAAATGAAAGACTAAAAGAAAACTGTATTTGAAGCACATTCAATATCTAATTTAAAACGATCTTATTTAATAACCTAACAGATAAAAATTAAACCAATCATTATATTCTTGTTTAAGATATAAAATCAGAAAAGAGTAAAAGAAAACATTGATGGAAATTTGCTTATAGTACAACAATAAGAACACAAGTTTATCACCAAAACTAAATTATATAAATATGAGGAAACTCTAAAATTCTAAGTCTTTGAAAACTTAAAATAAGAAAGATTTGAGTGAAATAGAAATTATTTTTCATAACTCAGGAAAAATGTTTTACAAAATTTATTCATCATTTAGAAGCAAATGAATAATCAGAACTAAATTATATGAACATGAGAAAACTCTAGAAATTATTTTTTATATTTCTTAAGGAAAAATGTTTATAAAATTTCTTTATTATTTTTGAAGCAAATGAAGCTTTCAATCAGGCAACACTTAATGTTGTTGACAGAAAGCTATTGAAGATTCTGACATAAGTGGATTTAAATAAAACTTAGTCCGAATTTTCAATACAGCATCAAGAATTCATCCAGTTTAGTTTAGTTAACTTTTGAAGTGAAAAAGAATATACTAACTTTTGTTTTTCACCGTATTTCACCATTAGAGGAGCCAATTCATAAATGACAAACATTCCGGGAAGACCCTGCTCTCCAAAGATGGGCGATACCTGCTTCTGATGTCTTGTTACAGCAAACTGATTAGTGTGATACGTCTGCAATAAATATATATTTTTCTTAAAAGAATATAAGATACAATTTCATTAAAATTTGAGTCACGGGAAAAGACACAGAATAGTTTTTAGATAACATTGAATTCACTTATTATCACTAAACTACAGAGTTATGAGTAATTAAAACACTTTCTTTTTCCCACTAAATAATTTAAGTTCTAATTTTAATTTGAAGTTATTTAACCCATTAAGTGCCAAGACTATCTTCGAGAATCTTTGAAGAAATTCTTATTTCTTCTTGAATAATTAATATCCACATAATTAGGTTTCCCCCCACCCTCAGAATATTGACAGTTCAAATAGTTTTTAATGTAATATGTATTCTGTATTTTATATATATGTATTAGACATGCACACACATATATATTGAAATTCATGCAAAAATCAGTATTTCTTTCTTGAGAATATAAATTTAATCAAAATTAATTATAAAATTGGGCTTTAAAACTAATTAGAAAACTGAACTTATACTTAAGAGTCTACTTTTTTAAATAACACTAATAAATATGTTAATATCAATAAATTAGATAAATTAACAGTAAAATAATTCCAGTTTTATGTAGACAATTTTGATTCATTTACAAAAAAAAGCTCAATTATAAGTGATAAACTAATAATAAAAAATTATAAGGAGAATTAAAAGGAAATTACATATGTGTCATAATGCCAGGGATTCCAACTTGCTCCAGACAATGGATAAATATTTTCAAGTGGTAATCTTTAAATGTATGATTCTTGGTTCAATAAATTAATTTTTAAGCCTTTTTCCCCCCCAAATATTTTGTCCAATCTGGAGCAGTTGGCAGAGCTCTGTGATGCATTGCTTGCATTCAAAGAGGAAAAAATAAAAAGTGTTTTTTAAAAGTTTGCTACAAAAGAACTTAAGTTTTTTAAATACAGAATTTTATTAAAATTTATATGCTTTTGTAACAAATAAATAAGATTAATTACGCTATTCTATAAGATAAATTACGTTAAAATTTTTGCAACTTATTCTTGAATTTCTGAGCTTTAAATATGAAAATATTTCAATATAACCCTGTTTTCAAGGTAAAATTTATAAATTGGAATAAACAAGCCTAAAATTTTGAATGTTATAGAAAACTAATTAAAAATATATTTATTCTAGCGCATACCCACAATTAATTTTAAGTAATCTTGATCTAGAAATGAAATGACTATTTTTTAAGCCAAATTGTTTGTCTGTAAATTTTATTCAGCAGTTTGGATCAGAATTAACAGTCAGAACAGAGATGAGTTGAAAATTCAATAGATGAATTTAAAAAAAAAAAAAAAAAAACATTTTCTTGAACTGTAAGAAAGCTGAAAACTAATAATAAATAAAATTCTTTTGCTCAAAATGCAACCAGGTAATAAAATCTTTTTTTTTTAAATATGAATAAATTTTTTTACTGTTGAAAGATACTATATTTTTTTTTAATTTGGTTTTTATTAACTCCTTTTTTTTGCAATTAATTAAATAGACTAAAACATGTGTAGATGGCAATGAACTATGATTAATAAATTGTTTCTAAAAACTTATATATTTTTTTATTTAATATTAAACAACTAAATTCTATAAACACAAGGTCACTTTAACGAATTCTAATACTTTAAACAAGTAAAATTGACTTACTAAACCATCTATACGTTCATACATTGTTGGTACAATTTTAACGTAATATTGAAACATCATAGAGCCTAAAAAATAATACGCACATCATGTAATAAAATGCAATTTCAAATAGTTAGCTAACATAAAGAACACTAGATAGCAGCACAAGATAAAAATCTCGTGAGAGCCTGAGTTATTTTTTGTTCACCAGGAGTTGGCACTTGGCTCCGCCCCCATTACGTGTTATCTGACGATACTATTTCGCTATTTTTGGGAGAAGGACGTGACAAACCTGAACAAGGTTGCTATTTGGCGATCGAATGACAAAATTATTTATTTTGCAATCTTTATGAGCATTTTTTTACCATTAAATATATCACAAATTGAGGAGCACAACGATTTTGGGTCACTTTTTGATAACTGTTCTGTCTCTAATAATTATTAAATAAATTTTGTGCCCTCTTTCCCTGTCTAAGACCGGCTTTTATCCTTCCACTTAGCAACGACGTTATATACATATATATATGTAACATAAAGAGCTTCAATTAACCTTTTTATGTTATTCCTTTTCTGTAAATTCTTTTCTTAATTTATCATTCAAAATCGAAACGCTTTCTCACACTTTTAAATTCACATCCTGTCCTTTAATCTATTTTTGGTTCAAGTATGCATCAATTAAAAGTAAGACATTTCCCCCTCTGCTCTTTGTGGGAGTCGCGCGACCTATTTGATAAACCAATTACAATTATGTACTAAGTTATCCCTAATTTCCTAAAAGGAAACATATTACGGATTTACTTTGCAAGATTTTCCTCGAACTTTTATTGAGAAGCACAACGATTTTGTGTCCACTTTGATAACCGTTCTCTGTCTAATAATTAATAAATTTTGTAACCCTTTTTCCTTGCCTTAGACCTGTTTTTATCCTTCCACTCGGCAACAACTGTTTTATATATTATATATATATATATATATGTAAGGGTCAATGGGTACAGCTTATAACTAGAAATAATCAAAACCTAGTTTCATTTCAAATATTTGAAAAATATGTTAAAAACATATGAAGTTTAAACGAGATTTCATTTTGCTTAAACATACCTTCATTAGCCACTTGTGTAGTGCCATCGAGGGGATTAGTTTTGCCAGGTATAGTTTTCCCAAAGGATAAATGCTTTATCATATGGGTCAAATTAAACTGCGGAATTAAAAAAGAAAAAAAAACATAAATTTTTATACATATACATACACAGGACTCAAAAAGCAGAAGAATTTAACTAAATTTATGTGATATTATGTGCAGTGGTTATGTGTATTTTAGGGTTAACACTTAATTTCTTGGAAAAAATAACCTGATTATTTAGAGCATCAAAAGCATTTATTAATTGTGAACATATTAAATGAAGAAAGGCAACTATTATTTTGAAAATGTTAAGAATCAACAGTAATTCAGTAGACATTTTAACTCATGATGTAGCACTTAGTCTAGTTCCGAATTTGTTATTGGTGTAAGCTTAATTTCAAAATGAATGAAAAAAAGGTTAATGGCTTATGTTGAAATGCATTTAAAATTTAAAAAAAAGAGCAACCATAGTAATAAAAGTTGAGAATAAGGAGGAGAGAAACAAGTTTTTTTAAAATTAAATTTAGTTTTCTTTATTCTTGCAATATTCATGCTTTAGTAATATTTAAATATAACAGTTTTGGTGAAATTGTAAGGAATAAAAATACAAAAATACTTTTTTGAAAGATGCACATAAACTTTTGAGTTTAACTTTTGAGCTATGAAGAAAAAAATTTAAACTTAACTAAAATAAGATATATATAAATGAGAAATCAAAAATAGCTTTGAGCTTTTAATGTTGAGGAGAAAAACAAAAACTTTCTATCCAAAATGCTGTTTAAGAATTAAAAATTACTTTTAAGCATAACGTTTTTATGTTTCAAAAATATTTTATTGCTAAAGAATACTGTTAATATTCTTATTGTAATCATATTTGCAGAAATTATCTCTAAAACCTTTACACATAACACAACTAATGAGTTTAAAATTATTTAAGCTATTTGGAAGGATATTAAATATGGAGACTCACAATTAAAAAAAACATTTTTTCTTTTAAATCTTAAAAAAAGTTGTTTTAACATCTTTGATTGGAAAGTTCGAATCATGCGGTTAATTTTTTGAAGATATCTAATGATCAATACATTCGTATAAGAAACTTTTTTTGGCGATTTCTATGAAAGTAGCCCATAATTGACATATTTAAATATTACTATACAATTTAAATTAAATAATAACTATAAATATATATATAATTACCTGACTAGCGGCAAATGGCTGTAAATCATGAACTAAAAAAGTAAAACAAATGGAACTCAGTATTTGAAGTATTATTATACTGCTTTTATGATAAGTAATTAATCAATTGACATGGATCAGCCTTCCGCTAAGACAAATTCTGATTACTTGAATATGCAATGAAAATGCTCGTATTTTCAAGTTATGAATTATTTTTTAATACATATGATCACCATATAATAGAAATAACCGATATTTAATAGAAATTTTTATTCATTAAAGTAAAATCAATTCAGAAAAGCAAACCTATGCAATAAATAAATAATAACTAAAATTTAATCGCAAATGGCTGTTAATCATGAACTAAAAAAGCAAAACAAAGGAAAATCAGTATTTTAAGTATTATTGTATTGTTTTTATGATAAGTTTTAGTAAACAATGAACAGCATTCCGCTAAGAGGAATTCTGATTACTTCAATATGTAATGAAAACTTTCGTATATTCAAGTTATGAGTTATTTTTTAATACATATGATCCCCACATAATAGAAATAGCCAATATATAATAGAAATTTAAAAAATAAGATCAATTCAAAAAAGCAGACACATACAAAATAATTAATAACTAAAATTTAATAACTTAAGATTATAAAACATCTTTCCGTAGAAAAAATCTTGATGTTTGATTTTAAAATTGCGAGAATACGAATTCTGATATACTCTTTTTAAGTCACTTGACCACAATTCATAATAGTGGCTTTTAAATCGTGTGAAAACGAAACTCGATATTTGTTATAAAATCATGAAAATAAGAAATAGGATGCACGATCTAAAATCGCGTGAACAGGAATTGAGATGTGCAATTTTAAACCAAATGAATGTTATTTTAATTCATGTTTGCAATGGTAAGAAAAATCACATTTCTTTGAAAAAGAAACATTTTCTTTGAAGAGGCGGACTTTTTTTTTTTAAACAAAAGTGAAATGAATTTTGCACCATGTTGTAAATTTTTACACAAATGGCATAGTTAAATTTGAATACATGATACCAGGCAATTATTGATTTGATTAAAATAAAAAATTTTTTTCTCCGCATTTAGCGAACTTGATTAAATTCCTAATGTTTAGAAAAATGAGTCATTTCACACAGGCTATATGCATTAATGACGCCTGGTGGCTGAGTGGTAGCGCTTCCCGCTCCCGTGCCACAGGTCCTNTAGAAATAGCCAATATATAATAGAAATTTAAAAAATAAGATCAATTCAAAAAAGCAGACACATACAAAATAATTAATAACTAAAATTTAATAACTTAAGATTATAAAACATCTTTCCGTAGAAAAAATCTTGATGTTTGATTTTAAAATTGCGAGAATACGAATTCTGATATACTCTTTTTAAGTCACTTGACCACAATTCATAATAGTGGCTTTTAAATCGTGTGAAAACAAAACTCGATATTTGTTATAAAATCATGAAAATAAGAAATAGGATGCAAGATTAAAATCGCGTGAACAGGAATTGAGATGTGCAATTTTAAACCAAATGAATGTTATTTTAATTCATGTTTGCAATGGTAAGAAAAATCACATTTCTTTGAAGAGGCGGACTTTTTTTTTAAACAAAAGTGAAACAAATTTTGCACCATGTTGCAAATTTTTACACAAATGGCATAGTTAAATTTGAATACATGTCACCAGGCAATTATTGATTTGATTAAAATAAAAAATTTTTTTCTCCGCATTTAGCGAACTTGATTAAATTCCTAATGTTTAGAAAAATGAGTCATTTCACACAGGCTATATGCATTAATGACGCCTGGTGGCTGAGTGGTAGCGCTTCCCGCTCCCGTGCCACAGGTCCTGGGTTCGATCCTAGGGCTGGGCAAGGTTGACTCAGCCTTTCATCCCTTCAGTGGGTCGATAAATGAGTACCAAGCATGCTTGGGAACTAAACACTGGGGGTTCCGCATTCAGCTAACCACCTAACCGGAACATCTGCTTCCGCACCCCAGAGCCCAAGGTCAAGAAAACTGAGATGGGCACAGTAGGCCTTGGTCCTCTATGGGTTGTCGCACCACAGAGTTTAGTTTTATATACATTAATAAAAATGTTTTACTTTTTTCAGTTTGGGAAATATGTTATTTTTCTTTAAGCTATATTACTTATTTAATGTTTCAATGTTAAAATGCTTCATTACTTTTAAAATGTTTGAATAGTCAAGATAAAAAAATAAAGAAATGAAAAGGGGTGAATACATAAAATTCACATACTTTCATGTATAAATACGAAAAATGAAGAAAAAAAATATGATAAAAAAAAAAGAGATGCAAAATTTAGTTTTTCAAAATTACTTAAGTCAAGAAAAAAAGTCATACCATGAACATGATGTTGTGTGTAAGTTTTTCCTGGAGCAATATGAAAGTTTCCAGCAACCTAAGATTCAAAATAGGCATTATATAGTAACAATGCATAAATTAAAACCATAACAAATAAATCCATATATCTCAAGAGTTAGCTAATATGCATATAGATGTGTATTTAAAAGAATGGATTTGAGTTTTACTCCTGAAAAATTTGAAAAAAATTAATTAATAACTGAGTCGATTTTTTATTTTTTTATTACATTTATCAACCAAAACATCTTATATGTATTAGTAATACTTAACATTATTTTAAAACAAACTAAAGCTAAAATAGCTAACACATTTCTTACTAAAATGGTTAAAATTATTAATTAATTATTAAAAACTTATCACTGAATAAATAGAATCACAGTTATGTTTTTCAAGCTCAGTTTGCTAATAAATGTTAAAGATTAGGAAAACTATTTGACTAATGAAGAGTAAATTAGCTTAGATTAGAAAACATAACTAAAAAAATTTTTTTAAGTTACTTTGCTTGATATACACAAATTTGCTTGATATACATCACAACTGATTTGTAAAAAATTAATAAAGCTTGTACCAATGCTATAGGAAAAATTTATCATTCAATGATGTCTGCAAAAACATTGAGTGCTCTAGAGAACGACCCTATCTCTTTCAGGAAATTGAAATACTTTAAGGGTGTTTGGAAAAAGAAGGTAGATGTTAAAGAACATATAATATATTAAATTTATAAATAAAAATAATTAATTTTAAAAATTTTGAAGAAAAAAAACTTTTTTAGAAAAATTTTGAAAAAAAAATTTAGGAAAAGGTAATGATTTCTTTAGACAATTTCGCTACAAATACTTGCACTTTTTCACAAAAAAAACCCCAAAAAAAACCAAACAAACAAGTAAAAGCACAAAATTTAAAAAGTAACGAAGTACAAGTACTGCCATATACGCATTCTTAATATACATGTTTCATTCTCAATGGTCTGCAGCAATTTCTATTATGGCACAAAATCAAGGTGGTTTTTATTTCAGTGAGACAACACCAACAGTGCCTTTTTCAAAGATAAAAAAAGGCTTCTTTTCGAGACCGTCAAATCTTTGGTTCCATAACAAACTCTGACATTCGAGGGTAGGTTCTTTTCCAATAAAGGAACCTTAAAAATTAGGTTTACACTAATTTAAAAATAGCGAAATCACTCACCCTATTCACATCTAAGTAACCGAATACTTGACAACCTTCAATATCCACAGACTCTAACTTTTTGTTCCAACCTTCCCTCTTACACTGCTCAATGCTATCTGCATCAGGAGCGGCCCAACCTCTCATGCGATACGCATTCTGCACATCTTCACACGTGTTACAACAGCTACAATGAAAAATAATATTCAATGTTCCCTTTAGGTTAAGTATATTTATACTTCAAAATAAAGACATTTAATTTGAGACACATTTTTACATTAAAGACATACATGTTTTATAACTTTTGCTAGAAACTTCTTGCATGAATATTGTAAATCTAAATTATAACTGATCATACAAAACTATCCTTGAAGCAGGGTTGGCAAGTTTTTGACACATGACGGTTTTTACCGGTTTATACCATGGTTTTTACCGTCATGTCAAAAACCCCTCAGTCAAAAACGTCAAAAACTGTCAAAAACCCATAGTTTTGGTAAAACTGTATTTTTATTTGAGTTTAACTGCTTGTAATTTAAAATTAATTCATTTTAGGCAATAAAATTAGAAAAAAAGTTGTTAAAAGATATTTAAGAACAGATTCTTGCATTTTCCCAACATGATTATATCAAAACATACTATTTGAAGTAAAATATTAGGATACTAAACAAAATTTTCAACATTTCCAAGCATCATTTTGTTTGGCATATTACATTACTGAAGAATGTCAAGTCATTCTTGACTTAGAGTTTGTTAGTAGTTACAAGTTTTGAAAGTTTTGTTTAGCTTATTTCTAATATTTAAGAAATGCCAAATTTTAAATTCTTCTTTTTAGTTCTTGAATTTATTAATAGTTCCAAGCTTTTTTGTTTGTTTGTTTATTTCTAACAATTAAGAAGTGCAAAATTTTGAATCCTTTGCAAATCAAGCTATAATGATAAAAGTAAGTATCACTATTTTCAATAAGTATATTACAATATTTCTGTATGAATGTATATCCTTCTATAAGAATACATGTATATAGTTGCAAAATCAATAGCAATCATTTACAACATTCATTTATAAAGGCAATTATGTGAAAATAATATATTGTCCGCTATATGCCATAAATTAAAGAAAACAGTAGGTTTTTGACGGTTTTTACCGGTAAAAACACGGTTTTTACCACTGTCATGTCAAAAACCAGTTTTTGACGGCAAAAACCCAACCCTGCCTTAAAGTCAATACAGATAAATAAAATACAAAAACTATGTTGCACAAGTGACTATGAATTTAAATATTTCATAATTGTGATGGATAAGAAATAAACTTTAGTATAATCCTTTTATGCTGTTTTTCACCATTAACAATTTTAAAATGTACTCAGTACACATTAAAACCATTTTAGAAAAGTCTAAAAAACGGTGAAATCGTCAAATTAGGAGTTAAATTATGAACAAATGTGCGTGTTATAATAATATCTATTTCTTAAAAAAAATCATGAGAATACTTATAGAATATTTGTTGTGTAGTGTTCTCCTTAAGCGGTTTTAGGAGGGGGGATCGACCTTTCAGCCCTTTGACCCTTATAAATGCGCCCTTTTGTAAAAATAAGCCATCATCCCTTAAAAACACTGCTTTTTTTACTCATATTCCACTAAAAAAAAATCAATGTTTCAAAAATAATTTTACACTGGTAAAATTATCCGAGCTCATAGGTTTCATTACAAATATTTCCTTGGTTAGGGTTATTCTCAACTCGTTAAGTTTCTCTTTTTTTAGAAGTTTGCATGTGTAGGATCGAAGTGTAGTATAAATATTTCTTAAGTGATTTTAAAATTATTTTTTAAATAAATACCTTTTTTCAAAAATCCAACTTTTAAATGTTCTTATTTTCAGTTTAAATTGTAGAAAAAAACTTTCAAGTTGCATATCAATTGCAATCATTTTTAAGCGTTTACTTTTTTAATACAAAAATTATGTTCAGAGATAGTCTTTTAGCATGCCTTTAAATATTTTTTATAAACTACAAATTTTTCTTTTGCTTTGATAATGCGAGAAAATTACTCTTTGAAATATATACATAAAATAGTAAATACATTACTATATAGTAAATAGATTATAGTATAGTAAATATAACGTAATAAATAAAATATATAGTATTTAAAAATTCTTGTGGATCAAAATCAGGCATTACATATTACATAACATGACAGGGCGCATAGCCAAATCTTTGAATCAAAAATAAGCACTTTTTAAAAACTTTTCAAGCACTTTACAAAAATTTTCAAGCACTCAAAAAATTCATATTCATTCAATTATATTATTGAAAAACAAAAACTTTTTATGAACAGTTTTAGCGTTAAAAAAAAAAAAAAAAGAAGAAAGAAATGGGCGTAAATCGAAACAATCACTGCTTTCTCACATCACCGAGTGATTTCAACCTGACCCTGAACTCAGAAGAAAAGTAACCCTTCTTACCCCCTACGTCAAAAAAAGTGTTAGAAGTAAAATAAACAAGAACAAAATTAAAAAGAAAAACATTTCATAAGGATCTGATATTCTCTATCCGAATNGTTTACTTTTTTAATACAAAAATTATGTTCAGAGATTGTCTTTTAGCATGCCTTTAAATATTTTTTATAAACTACAAATTTTTCTTTTGCTTTGATAATGCGAGAAAATTACTCTTTGAAATATATACATAAAATGGTAAATATATTACAGTATAGTAAATATATTATAGTATAGTAAATATAATGTAATAAATAAAATATAGAGTATTTAAAAATTCTTGTGGATCAAAATCAGGCATTACATATTACATAACATGATAAATTTTTGCTGTGTTAAGTGAGTGTCCTTTCAAAATTCAAAATGTACTTTTTTGTGAGGAAGCGCTCCGCCCCTTTTCTATTCCTAAGGAGAGTTCTGGTGTATGTATAAAATAAAAAATCCTTAATGAAAACAAAATAATGAAGTGGAAACGTTAGGTTAGAAATTTTCATAAAGCTCTCTGATTTTTGGATATTTTTTAAAAAACATAAACAAAACATTTTTTGATTATATCAGAAGAAATAGACAAAATTCAGTAGAGTAGCGATGTTTCAGCTATGAATAGACAGAAGGAAAAGATATAAAAACAAAACTTGCTTGTAAGCTTGAGATTCTGCCCCATAACAGCTTTCACATCGATTTGGATCCAATACGGGTGGAATGGTCTGCATTAAAGAATACACAAATATATTTAGTATGAGTGATTTACACAATTTTAAGCATCTTTCAAAATCTTTTTAAAGATACAGGTTTGAAAAAAAAAGGAACAAAATAGTAGCTTTTAATAGCCAAAAGCATGAAAACAGTTGCCAAAATAAGAACAAAAATTCCTCAAAAATATGGCTAAAATTTTATTAGTTGTTGTAGTTGTAGTTCGTTTACGTCGCACTAGAGCTGCACAATGGGCTATTGGCCACAGTTTGGGAAACATCCCTGAGGATGATCCGAAGACATGCCATCACAATTTTGATCCTCTGCAGAGGGGATGGCATCCCCGCTTCGGTAGCCCAACAACCCGCACAAGAAGTCGAGCACTTTACGGTAGCACAGTTTCACGAGGACCAATACCGCACACCCTCGGTCCCTAGGCAGACCGATCCCAGTGGGTCAATCACCCGCACACTGATCGCAGCCAGTGATGCTTGACTTCGGTGATCTCCTGGGAACCGTGTCTTAACGATCAGTCCACTGCGGGACAAAATTTTATTAAGTCACTTAATTGTCATCAACCATGATCCATTTTGTCAAGTTGGTGGCAAATATGATATTTTTTATATAAACATAAATTTTCTAGCACTAAATTTTTATATCAAAAAAATTAGTTTATCTGCAGAAAATTAAATACTTTTAATTACTAAAATTAATTGGAAAAAACACTTTTTTAAAAGAAAATTTACCTTTTATCAATAATTGATTTAGCAAATTTGTCTGTAGCAATTATATATAGATAGTTATCGGATATAGAGAGAGGAATTTTGTAGCAATAACCATTGAAAAGGCGATTGAAAAACAGAATAGACTTACAATGGAATTTGTGCAAATTGAACAAAGTAAAAAGTGATGACTGAAGTTTTGAATTCAAAATTGTCTATTTTTTTAAGAAAACAAAAAATTCAGAGTGTTCAGAAGCTCCCGCGGGCTGCAGGTTTTCAATTCAATTTATGCTAAAAGAAAACCTTGCTAGGAGTACAAAAAAATCTGCCAATAGTATCCTTTTCCTGAAAATAATTGCTTTTATTGTCTTTTCAGACAAAAAAAGTGTCCTTAATCGCCTCATGTTGAAAATAGTTGCATTTTAGTTGCCTGTGGCAACCTTGTTAATCTTTCAACTGATTTGCTACTTATCATTCCTCTGCCACATCTAATATATACAATTCTCTTTCGTGGCTCCCAAATTTTGGCTGTATTTCTTTTCTGCTGGTAGCAATGTATGCTTTGTTTTGTTTACCTTACTATTTATCTTACACGGCGAATTGACCAATGATTGCCGCTAAAAATGTCCCAAATCTAGCTGTGGTGGCTCAATATATAGCGCTTTTAAAAACGGAAACTGAAATAACCAGAGAGCATCAGCTGCTTCAATCTCATACTATTAAGCTAGGCAGAAGAGAGTAGTCCCTGTCGATAGATCTCTATTTCAGTATTTTGTCAAAAGCGCTTTTTTTCACGCATTTATATATTACGAATTTATCTGAAGTTTTTTTATTTGTATCATGAATTATACTATAGCACATTTCTAATAGAAATTATACTATAGCACGAATTACATGTCATTTATTTGAATTGAAATTTATTTTAATGACTTAGTTTTTACTAAAAAGATGTAATTTTTTAAAAAAAAGTTTTTATATGGATTTGAATGATTGTTTTGAATTCTTAGAATTTTGTGCATTTGCAATGTACCTAAGTTAGTAGTGAGCGAAGTGAGCTTGGTTTGCAAAGCAAACAATATAAGATTGCGTTAGCGAGCAGGGGGCGCAGTCCACTAGTTTTTTATATTGAATAACATGCGTGAAAATTATGCAGAAAAGCCTAATTGGTTGTAACCATAACTAATTCACTCTTCAATGGTCTTACGAATATGTCATAAATTTTATGTAACAGATTTGAGTGGAATATAATTTTTTCTTAATGTATTAATTTGAAAAGCAATTATGAAAGGAGCAAAAATGTTTCAATTAGCTTCTTATTTCCGTAATACAAAGTTTATTTTCTTATTTAGACTAACTGACCATCGCAGGCAAATTTGAGAAAGATTTCTCACCATTTGATCTGCTGTTAAATACTAACGGTGAGGGTTCAAAACCACAGGCAAAGGACATGTAATACAAGGATGGGACAAGTTTGTAAATCGAACCAGCGGGTCACTCCAGACCACATATATAAATGTATATATCGAAACCCATTAACACTTACCATATTCAATACCTTTGACTCTCCAACTTCTGTAAAAAAAATAATAATTCATTAGTGAATTCAATATTAAAGTTCATTATGAATACAATAAAAGTATTTTAAAAAGAAAGTTAATCATGTTTCACTTTTAAACGCAGTCAGTTGAATGATATGCCTGGATCAACTGACTATTTTCCTTTTAAGAAACACTTGGTAGAAATTTAAAGTTCAAAATAATGTTTTCTTGTGGATTTTTTATTTTCAGGAGACGGTAAAAATATTTCTGATGTCCATTTTTTAAAAATCAGTTACGAATTAGCGGTAGCAGAAAACTATCTCCTGTACCTGATATATACACCTATATAAGGTGTACCCTAATTGTAGTGAAAAACCTCTAGGGAAGATAGGGCACATCATAAGGATTAAGAATTGCATAAAGACCCATGCCCAGAAACGTCATCATACGCAGCTGATGGTGCTTCCTAATTATGAACTTTTTTTGGTGCCTTTGAACAGTTACTTTTATTATATCTTAATTTTATGTTGTTTTAATAATTATTGTGGCAAAAATAGCAGTTTTAGAACAATTTAATAATTTGGCGAAATTGTCAAACCAGTCGCAAAATAATTCATGATTAAACTAGAATTAAAAATCAAACGTCAAACCTATTCATCTGTAATTTTTCACTATAATAAGAAAACACAAAAGATAAATAAAAGTAACTATTCAAAGGCACAAGAAGAAACGTAAAGAAGCTATCTGCACAAAAACTTTTTTGGGCATTAACTCCTATACAATTCCTTATATGATATGCCCTCTAGAAGCACGGATGGCAAGTTTTTGACAATTGATGGTTACAAACTGTTTTAACCATGGTTTTAACCGTCATGACAGAAATCCTTTTTGGCATAGTTTTTTACTATTGTCAACAATCAAAATTTTGGTGTAATTATAATTATTAGCTATTATAAATATGAAGCATTTAAATCAATTTTTGAATTATTTTGACATTTAACTTTTTCTTAAACACTCAACAATCATCTTGGGAAGAAAGAAAAAATAATAAAAATCATTTTAGAGAGAAAAAAAACTCTCAACAATCATCTTATTGATTATACGTAAAATAAATTTTCGTTTACTCCATTTTAACTCCTCTTTTCCCGGAAGCATGCCATTAAAAAAAAAAGTTTTGAAGTGCTCTGGACGTCATGTTCATATTTCTATTTAGTACGAATAAAACTGAAATTCAAAACTATTCTTTCGATTAATGCTGGGCGACATAAACTAAAATGTAAACGTACTAAAACTATTATAACATAGTTATAAAACACGTAATTAGGACAGTTATTTTTATAACTATACTAAAAATTTATACTCAATTAAATCATGAATTGATGGAATTAAAACAACTTATACGGAAAAATATTCATGATTTATTGGAAATATTCATGTACATTTGAGTGCAGAAAATGCTCAAAACTTAACTGCCCAAAAATTTTAGCTTTATTATTTTTTTTAGTTGCCCAAAAATTGTAGCTTTAGTATTTTTTTAGTTGCCCCAAAAATTGTAGCTTTATTATTTTTTTGTACAATAACTTTTTCAAATTTTTTTGAAAGGTAAAGTTTATATAAGAAAAAAAATCATTTAATTTTACACCAGGGTTCCCACTCTATGATGAGATTGAAATTCAAGGACTTTTCAAGGACCTCAACAAAATTTTCAAGGACCTTAATCTAAGACCAATTTTAAAAATTATTCTCTTCTATTTTACTAGAAGCAACAATGCTTGTTGTGGCAATAATTAATTTCAAATATGTATTATGGATATGTATATATGTATATGTATTATGGACTAAAATTTATATATTTTTAAAAACAACCCTACTGGTTTTACATATTAATTCACAAAATCATTTTCAGCACAATCTATAACTAATGGTAATGAGGTGTTAATGGTGAAGTCCTTTAATCCTGTGTATTTCCATGTGAAGGCTGCATGAAAGACAGAGCTAAATCTTAGGTATATCTAAAGATTTAATNCTCGGGAACAAAACAGAAAGAACGAGAAAGATCCGCGGGTGTTTTATAAAAAGGGCCGCCGGAAGTATTGGACAAATTCAAGGACCTATCAAGTTTTTCAAGGACCTAAGACGTTTTTCAAGCACTTTCAAGGATCTGAATTTAGCAAAAAAAAATTCAAGGACTTTCAAGGACCGTGGGAACCCTGTACACAATTCTTGAATAAATAAGCATATGTGTAATAATAGAAATCAAAATATATTGAAATAGTAATAATTTATAAAATGTAATGTCCCACTCAAATTTAAGGAATTCAAACTAATAAATACACAAGTTGACACGTTTTTTTCACAAGGAAAAATTGTGCAAAGAGAAATATTTTTTAACATAAAAAATTTATTAGAAATTTTTTAAGAAACATAAAAAATTTCTTAGAAATTTTTTAAGACCTAAAATTTTTCCATGTTGCCTGAATTTCCCTTGAAAAAAAAAGTTTTAATCACTTTAACTATATCTGTTATAACTTCAACTTTTCTCTCTACTGATGCTCGAGAAAGGCATCTTTTGAATATAATTCAACAGAATTCAATGCAATGAAGAACAATGGAGAAAAAAAATTTGGTAACAATGTGATTCTGAGGAAGAAAAAGACAGTTGAATATTCTGAGCATCTTTACCAAATCATAATTCATATGTACAATTTATATTCAACTCTTCTATCATTTGAAAGTCTTTATTTTATTTTAAACACATTTTCAATATGTCAAAAGTATCAAGTTAAAAGATAAATAAATAAGAAAAAAAAATGAACCATCTAATAAGAAATAAAAAATGTATACTTTCTTTCTTTTTCAGGTTTTTCTTCCAATGGTTCGCCGGATTGAGAGAGCCTGCGCTTATAGATATTGTGATCTAAATTAATTTGTTGTTCTCCAGACACATCCATTGCATCAATAGACAGAACTAAAATAAAACACTCTTTTCAACAAAAATGCAATTATAGGAAGTATATGCAATGTAGGAAATGCAAAGGTATCAAAACTTACTAGAGTCAAACCCCGCTCTATAGAGAACCTTCAAGGGACCGTTATTTTGCTCCACTATAACTGGGACTTCACCATGTCCGTTTCACAAACAATTTTAACTAATGGTTCCCCCCTTTTATTACACATTATTTAAATAAATGATCAATAAAATGAAATACAAAAATGACTGAAAAATAATACGTAGTATCAAAAAATGTGTTAACTTACATTTTTTATTACTCTTCGTCTTGCATACAAAAAAAATTAGAATAATCTTTAGCTCACGAACAATCCTCAACATGAGATATGGAAACACTTCCCGACTCTCCGATAATTTTTTCTGAATTTATGTAATTCTGCTTTTTGAACCTGGTTAGCCAGAAATTCGAGCACATAAAAGTAGTCTCGCCAAATCGCTTAGCAAATTCACCAGCTTTTACTTGAAGCATTTGTCCAGATACTGGAAGATTGCGGCTTCTTTGAATGCTGAACCAATTCAATAATGCTTTTCAATAATGAAGCAAACAAAAACAAAAAATGCTTGTTACTACATTCCATGCTATAGATGGTTTTAAAAATCAGTATATGTATTTATTTTGAAGTAGAAATTTCAAAAAAGAAGAAAATCAGTCGAAGACAGAAAAAAGTTCATAATATCCAACCTCTCTTTTTTTTTTTGGTTCATATATCCACAATAACATTATCCGTGCGTAGCAATACACGGGAGCGAACATTTCGTTCATTATATCAGGGAGTTCACTATAAACCGTGCTTACTATAGCAGAGCTTAACTGTATTAGTTATCAGGAAGCATAATAACACATAATTATAAATAGATAGGGTTTACAAAATTCAAATTAGCAACATTCTAAGGAGTACACTAGATAATTCTATAAAATATAATAAAATTAAGCATGAATTTATTATTAAATTAAAAGAAATAACACTTATATTAGGGTACTAAATGAATTACACAACACAGATATTTTACATTTCATTATAAAATAATTAAATTGATTATTTGGAATTAATTTTCTAGATTTTGGTTAAATTAGAAGTTCTTACTTCCTTCTTATCTCAAATTTGAACCAATAAAAATTTTTGTTCACAGAATTTAAGATTTGATTTTCTTTAAAGAGAGAAGATAAAATTTCGGAACAGTCAGCAAAAAATTTTCTTCGCTCTTATTATTACATGTTTTTATCAAATCATTCTTACTTGTTTCTATTAAGTGATTTGTATTTAATTTATTATTTTTAGAATTTTTTAAAGAGTAGAAAAGAAATAGCGTAGATTAATTGCAAGCAACAAAATTTCACAACACTTGGTAGTTAAGAGAAGAAAAAAAATATCTGACAGAAATTCTTAAAAACCATAATTTCTATTATTCAATCATAAGACCGTAACAATTGCAGATAAATCGTAATAGTTGGCACCACCAAAAATTTTGTCTTTGTATACAATGACTTGCAGATCGGTAATTTTAGGCTAAGTACAAAAAAATGAAAATTATTACATACCTTTAGCATAAAAAAAAGGAACACCCTGAATAACTTTTGATCAAGAATTCGTATACAGTACAGAACCCGTTATCCAGAAATCAGAAAACCGGAACGAAATTCAATAAATTTTCCCGCCATTTTTTAAAAAAAAAAAGTTTTGTTCCTCATAAGATTTTAGAATTTTTCTTTCTTTTTTGAAAGACGTTTACCTTACCATCATTTCGGAAATAATCACTAGTGTATTACTTAATCGTTTTTTCTTCTTTTTAAGATTATTTCCACAAAAAAAAATTTTTTTAGTTGGGTTTAACAATAAAAAAAAACGGCTTTTTGTAGCGATTCAGAAAACCGGAAAAATCAGTTATCCGGAATAGCGATGGTCCTGATCGTTCTGGATAATCGGTTTTCTACTGTACTAGAGATTCAGACTTAATGGTTCAACTGAGGTGACCTCAAATATGCTTACAAATTAGTGTTCAAAATATTAAGTTACGTAAGCAGACACAAAAATGTGCTTTTTCTGAATATACTCCCCCCCCCCAATAAAATAAAAAATTTGAATTTCTGATCCTCAAAAACTCAGGGATAATTGACTGCAATCCGTAAAATTTAATCAAGAGAGGAGCGGTAAAAAGTTTGGACCCTTTAACGTTAATTATACTTTTTGCGTCTTTCACCATATCTCGATGATTTTTTTAAGGGTATTGAGTCATGTTTGCATACAATTACAATATTCCTTTAAGTACAGATAATTTCAGGCAAAAAATAATTTTTAATATTTATTTAGATTTGATATTTATTTATTTGTTATTATTTTACTTTAATACCTAATATACGAAAAATTTTGAATTGTAAGATTTACAAATTTTTACACCATTTTAAAGAATGTAATTTTATATGACTAAATATAAAATTTGAATATAAGTAGAATAGTTTCTGAGAAATCAAATTCTGAATAGAATATACAACTGTTTTATGTTGTGAATATTAAATGCGTGCTGCTATTGCTACCTCTCTGTACAATAAGAGCAATATTAACTTTTCTTATTATGACAATTTTATCACTTTTAATTGAAATTAGTTGGAAAAATATTCAAAAACTTTCTAATTCGCCAATTAATTTTATGATGGCAAGCACAAGGTCACAATCACACTTATTATATTCTAAAAAAGAAGAAAAAAAAAACTATAAAGAGGTTTAAATATACATAAAATGAAACTCACAATCACATGTTACTTTCGGAAATATAACGTCAATATTGATTCTCAGCTTTTCACTTCGAGAAACATCAACAAAAAGTTCCTCTGCCACTTCAGGAGTCATATAATAATTTAATTCTGATATGAAGAGGAGAGTTATGATAACTGCACTGATGACTGTAACTGGAAAACACAAAGAAAGCATAAGTAGGTAAAACTTCAAAACAAATAATGAAACTTATATTTATACAGGGTGAGTAGCCAAATCTTTCAACAAAAAATAAGCACCTTTTAAGTACTTTTAACAAAAATATTTTTACAAAAATATTTAAACAAAATTATATTTTTAAAAATATTTATACAAAAATATTTTTAAGTACTATATACATTAACAGGGGTCTGTCCAGACATTTTGTGAAAGCTCCGTTTTTGTAAAATTGTGAAAAAATTACTCATAATTTGTGAATATAAAATAAACGTTAAGTCACATTCTTTCAACCAGGGTCCTGCTTTTGTGAATTTGTGCAAATAGGGTTCTGTTAGTACAAAAAACTTTTTCAAGGAGTTTTTAAATTGTAAATAGATACAAGATTATGCCCAACAAAGTAAAATTATAATAAAAAAAAATTAAATTTTAAAAAATAAACAGCAACTGCTGCTATTAAATTAGAGATGCAACATACAAATATTTAGTATTTAGCCTATACTGCTCAGCAAAGAATATTCATTTCAGACGAATAAAGGAAGAAGCGTCTGCCGAAGACAAAACTTAGTTTGCTTACATTTACTTACAAGTTGCTGCCTTTTCCCCCTCATCAGTAACGTCTTTTTCTTAATATGAAAAATTTACGCAAAAAGCAATGAAAATTTGGGATTTGCCCAAAACAGAGAAAGAACCGGTCAGATTCTTTCAAGAGAAAGTCGTTTCGGCTGAAATTGCAATTTCTGATAAGAATCATGAAATGAAATTGCATATTGATGATAAAATTCAATGGCGTTGCAACCTTTCATCTTGTCTACTGTAACAGAAATGCATCCGTAAATGCACATGGTTTCAGTCATCGAAATTGAGCTTTCTGAAAAGTTTATTTATTGTTGGAGCGAAGAATTAACCTCAGTTAAATAGTGTGAAAAGCAGTTGGAAATAAAGGAAAAAATATCGAAAAAGAAACTATAATATATTCCAATTCATGGAAATTATACTGACTAGCAAGCTGGAAGATGAAAGTTTCGAACATTTTGAAGTGAACCATAAGTACATCTTAGTCGATCCGGAAACTGGAACACACAAGCAAAAAATTGAGTGACTGAGGGGCAGCGTTAAATGGCGAAATAAGAAACAAAGAGAAACTGTACGCCATCATCTCGAAAGTTATCTTGCAGAATTTATGTGGAGAAGGCAAACGGAGGACCGATTTGAAAAATTTTAAGCTGTATTAAAATGTTTAAGCATCCAAAGTAAAAAAAAATTTTGAATCATTTATTAACTGTATTTTATGTGTATGCTGTGGCCAATAAAGTCTGCTTCGTGTGATTTGTTCCAGCGACTGAGTGTGGTCGCTAAAAAGTCTGCTTGGCGAGATTTGCGCAGGTATAATGGAAAAGTACTGATTTTTCTTTTGAAAAGGGGAATAAAAAAATAATAACTTTTCATTTCTACAGAATTTTACAGGTAACATTTGAATCATGCATTTAGATAATCACTTTTTGACGCGCGATCAATGTAATGTTCTGATCGTATTTTCGGCAGTTATTGATATTGATTTTCGCATGTTTTTTTTTATATCCTGATGTATTTCAAACAATATGGAAAATTCAAATCGTGTATTTGTGTATTTACTTTTAAAGGCAATAATTCAATGGCAGTTATTGCTTTAAATTTCTCTATAGTTTTTAAATCCGATATTATTTATTACAACAACCTAATCTCGAAACGAAATACGCATTTGAGGAGTATGATTCGTATGATAACGTCTTTGATCTTTTTTTCGGCAATTACTACTACAGATTTAATGATTTTCATTATTTTTTTCCTATTGTAATGATTATTTACAAAATGCGAAGATAGAAATAATTTGTGCGTCATTTCCACAATAAAATGCAAGAACATCACACATAATATTAGAATAAAAAATTATTGCCCATTCAATTAAAAAGTTTTTTTTCTATAAACATAGCGCTTTTGTTATTTTAAATTAGTAATATATATGTTTGTTATTTTTCAAAGTATCTTGCAGAAAAATATTAGTGCTAAAAAGTTTTGTCACAGACAGCTCGAAAAAATTCTGCGATAAGGATCTCCTATGTTGCGAAGTCGAACTTTGAATTTTATACCAATATTGGACTATGATTCACAAGAAGAAACAGGTTGTTTTAGACAAGAGCAAATTTATTTACAGGACGATGACATTTTAAATAGGAAGAATAATTATTTTTAATTTATTACAACTGAAATATTTCTTGCTTTCTTATGAGTATCGCCTATGCGAAACTGCAACATCCTATGAACAGTGCAATCACTTCACAGATTAGTTCTTTACGGAAAATTTCAAAAAAAAAATTTAAATACCGAATTTGAAGAATAAAATTAGCTGATTCCTACACTGTTTGGAATAGTGCAAATGGAGAACACCAACCAAAATTAAAGAATCAAATGCTTGCAGTTAAAATTCACTGCTCTATTTCCCAAAGCAGACCATATTAAACATACAGTTTTTATTTATATATTATACTTATGACACATATTGAAAAGAAGTACAAAAGACTAGGTAGTATGGCTTTTAAAACATTTTTGATAAAAATGTTCTAAATTAAAAGTGTAAAGATAACTTTTTTTAACACAGAATTTCCAATTTAATGAGAAAAGCAGACAGCTTTACACTCTGTATATTTTTAAAATATTAACAGATTAGGTAATAATAACAGAACATATCAAATAAATTTAAAAATAACATCCAGGGAAATTTTTTGTCTCAAGCTTACTTAAAGCACCAGAATATGTTTTCACTCGAAAGTCTTCCAATGTTTTAGGATAGGCGTCAAACTTTCTAATTTGCTCAGAAAATTTATGTAACCTAAACATTATGTTTCCGATAAACAATTTTCCCAATCATTAAAAATCTAAAAAAGACCACAACCCAACAGGATGAATGTTTATCCCTTGCCAGTCCTTATCCGTAGCCAGTCTCTCCGCTTACAACTGGCAGAGCAAATGCGCAAGCGCAAAGGTTAGGTAATGGAGCGGCTGCCAAATTAGTTCTTTAAATATTCTGCTAGGAAGTTCCTTAACTGTTAAAGCTTTGACCGGGAAATACAAAGCCCCAGCCAATCCAATGCAACAAGAGCAGATTTTCAAAATAAGTAGATATGTAGTGTTTACAAAAAATATATGTATCCTTAATGCTTTAAAAGCGTTATAAATTCTATATTTATGTTTTTTTTTTAACTTTTGACGATCTTGTGTATCGATGTTTTGATGAATTTATTTGCTTTTCATTACTTTTGTGATGGAAAAAAAAGACAAACTTTCAAAAATGCAGGCTTGTATTTTATGTAGAAGAACAGACGACGATGAGCTATTGTATGGTAAATTTTACCACAGACGTGCTTTATCAGTTCATCATAAGTGTATGTTTTTTACTAGCGGGCTGGTTCAGCGCTCAAAACCTAGTAAAAATGGGATTCTTGGTTTTCTTTTAAGTGATATTCAAGCCGAAGCTTCGCGTGGAAAGAGATTAAAATGTTTTTACTGTAAAAAAATCGGGGCTACAGTTGGATGCATAGTGAAAATGTGTAGGAGAGTCTTTCACTTTCCTTGTGGTGTTCAGTATCATTCATTGCATCAATATTTTGGTAACTTCTCTTCCTACTGTGCGTCGCATAAGCCAAAGCAAAAAAGCGGTCCTATGAATGATCCTTTCTGTTACATTTGCTACACACCCATTTCAAAAGATGATCTTGAGGAGTGCTTGTATTCACCTTGTTGCAAAAACAACTGGTTCCATCGATTGTGCCTGCAGCAATATGCCCTGAGTGCTGGCCGTTATTTCTTCAAGTGCCCTCTTTGTAATAATGTATCTCATTTTTTGGATAGAATGTTAGAGTTGGGTATTGATATTCCTGATAAAGATGCAGAATGGGAATTGGAAAATAACGCTTTCGAAGAACTTTACTCTCGCCCGGGATGCGATGCATCAGTGTGCAGGTGTCTGAAGGGCAAAGATTATGACGGAGTTGGGGGTTGGAAATTGTTGTCTTGTTCAGTGTGTGGGAGTCACGCAACGCATCCGCTTTGCAGAGGCTTGCATAATATTGAATCATGGATGTGTAATGACTGTGTACTACTTCAAGCTGAAATAAAATGTAATAAGAAACCCATTGACAAACAACCCTCTGAATGCAAGGACGGGTCTCTCATTTATACTTGTGATTCAGTACTTTTACATGAGCTCCTTAGGCGCAGACCTATAGTTAAAATTATGAAATTATGACCTGTANGTTCAGCAAATTACAATTTATTTACAAAATTATCACCATTCAAAATCAAATATTGCATTGTTTGCACTCTGCAGTAATCTATAACAAAAGACGCAGTTTCTAAACCTAAACAATTTCTCAGTTTGCTATACTTTGAACGAGAAATTTGAGAAGATTCTCTCAAGTCCAGCAGAACTACCAGGCATTGCCATCCACAAAAGATTAAAACTGTTACTATTATGATAATTGGATTGTTGCCATACAAATTATGTCTTGAAAAGAAAAAAACTATTTGAAAATAACTCTATTCAGTTATGTTAAGAGTTAAATGATAATAATTACTGAATTGCAGAGTTTAATGTGGTAAACTAAAATCTAATATTTATATTTATTATTACAATACTTTATTCCTTATTTTATATAAATATTTGATATACTGCACTCTTTATATTTAATATAAACAAAATAATATATATTTACAAACAATGAATTAAAAAGTTTGTTACAGTTACATGGAGTTAAATTTTTCAGTTTACTGAAACAAAATGTCATTAAGCAATTACTAGAACTAATACAGAATTTTTTTTAGTTTCTGCCAGTTTTTACCGGTTATAACCAGTTTCTACCACTGGCATGGCAAAAACCAGTTTCTGCCGGCAAAAAGCCAGCCCTGCTAATATTACTTAAAACATAGTATAGCTAAAATGTTAAATATATCTGGCTAAAATGGTTAGAATTATTTACTGCAAACTAATAAATGAATTAACAAAATCAAAGTTTATTTTCTTCAAACTGTACTTGCAAAAGAATGTTAAAAATTGACAGATAATTTGCCAATTAGATATCCTATGAAGAAAACTATTGAATTTTTTTCTCCCCCAAGTTACTCTGGACAGTACTAGTCTCCCTTCATTATTGATATATATTATTTAGGGGTTATTTCTGTATTGTGACCTGTCGCTTCAACTGCAATCGCCAAGATGCATCCCAGATGGAATTTAAACTTGATTTAAAGAAGAAAAAAACTTTTCAAGATTTGACTTGGGGTGGAAGTTACACCCCCTTCTAGTTTGTCCCTTTCTGTGATGTGTTTTTTTTTTTTTCCTTTTTCAAAATTTCTTGACGGCATCTGCCCGGAAGTTGAAAGACATGGTTATCATTGTGCCACTGATCACGATATGGAAGTCTTGCCATTTATTTCATGCAGAGTTGGCAAGGTTTAGGGCAGAATGGATTAATTCACAGTTTAAACTGTCCTGTCCGAAACCCTTTTATTTAAATTATGTCACAATTTAAAAAGAATATTGTGAAAAATAAAAGGTTAATTTTTGAACAAGAAAGAAGACCAATTTTTCTTTTATTAAAAAAGCTTATTATAATTTTTAAAATTGCATTTATCTATACTTATGCAAAAACATAATCTATCAGTATTAAAAGCATATTTATTCATATTTAAGGCATAAGGTATTCACTTATGTTGTTCAATGAATATGGGACTTCTAAAGTTATAAATCTTTTCAAATTATTTTATATTATTTTCCTTTAATAATTTTAAGCTAATTGTATAAAAAAGTAGGACAAATATTTATTATTAAATGTACAATGGTTACACATATAGGATTTTTACCTTTTACCAATGTTCGAGGTTTTTGACACTTTAAGACAGTAAAACCCATGTGTCTTGTTCAAAACCAGTTTAGGGCGTCCGAAATCCCAACTCTGATTTTATGAGTGTGAAAAAGGTTATGGTATTTAAGAAAACATTAAGACTAAATTGGTAAAATTGAAATATGTTTATTTGACACTTTAAGACAGTAAAACCCATGTGTCTTGTCCAAAACCAGTTTAGGGCGTCCGAAATCCCAACTCTGATTTTATGAGTGTGAAAAAGGTTATGGTATTTAAATAAACATTAAGACTAAATTGGTAAAATTGAAATATGTAATTAACCAGCAAATTATTTTACATACTCTTAATGAAAAATTATAGATTTAATGTCACTCTTATCTACTTTTGGTCTTGTTTTAGATTATTTTGAAATATGATTTTCAGGCCTTTCTTTTTCATATTTTTTTCATTTTCAATGGCAGAGAACTTGAAATAAAGGGGATATAAGACATGAAAGTAAAAAAAGTCTGTCTCATTCAGCCTCGAGCCTCCTAATAACACTCCACAAAGGAACTCCCAACAGCGCTATGCAGTGTGATGACCATCCAGAATGATGTGATCCCCACAGAAAACACAAAAGATGGGCAGGAGGAGACCAATGAAAAATAGATGTCAATCAGACAGTCATGCCGGGTACAAAGTCTGAGCATCGCAACCGCATCATCTTCCAAGATACTCCGGAATGCTCAGCTGATTTAAATGTATTTTTTCATATTTCTTAGTAAAGAACTTTCAATATCATTGAAATTAGATTATTAAAAAGTAAATTTAAAAGAATCTCACCTTAAATAATATATTTATTAATTACAGTTTTTAAAAAAACTTCCAGATTATTTATGACTTTAAAAAAAAAATTATGTTATGTTTTATTAGAAATCAATGTTTCTTTGTTTAAAAAAAAATTCAAGTAATTTAGATCAATTGAATTAATTTTGTTGCTAAAATTTATTGACCTATTAAAAATTCTGTTTTATAAAATTTTGCGCTATTTGCTTTAATTCATTTCAACTACAGTTAACTAAACTGACTTTAACTTAATTAACTCTTTTATTCAAAAATTGATATTACTTATGATTGTTTTTATGATGTTATGATGTGTTTTTTGGTTTTTATTGATCATGTATATATAATATTAAGATATTTTAATTATAAATTTTGTTTTTTTAAATTAATGTACTTATGTTGTAGTTTATTTTCAATCAATTATGTAACAAAAGAGAAAAATGCTTGGATTTTCTTTGTTATATTTCTTCAAATTTAATCACTTTTTGTTTAAAATTCTATTAGTAATATATTTAAATTTTTTCATTAACCCTTTGACGGTTATGAACGAGTTCGGCTCACAATCAAATCGTGCTTCATAATGCACACAAACGAGTTCCGCTCGGGAGCAAGATTTTGACCAAAATGGTTAGTAATAAGCTCTGCTCGCATAGTGAAATTCTTCCCCAGTGTGCGCTGACGAGCTGAGCTCGTTTGCCATTATTAATCTACATTGATCATGTTAAAAACGAATCATACTTGCGAAGCGTAGTTAGTTTCACTGCCTACAGATGGCAGTACTGGTTCCATAAAATTCTTTTTCATAATGAAGGGGGAATTAATTTTTTTACCTTGTTCTTTTTATGCGTATTTTTTAAGGTGTTTGTAAAGTAAAATGGCTGAAAAGCGAAAGTTACATAATTATGATATAGAAAGCTTATCTAGTTTTGAGTCTGATGAAGACTTTGTTCAGAGTATTTAGGTAATTACTGTATTTAAATGCTTCATAAAGTTTTACATTAACTGTATTTATTTAGTCCTTTCAATTTGTCTTATATTTATAATTAGCTATTTATATAATTGATTATGATCATTTATAATTTACTATTACTAATTATCATTTATTAATTATTTTTAAGTACGTAAAAAGTGTTATTTATGTACTACAAATACTTTAAGAAATTTTTAAAATGTGTGAGATGAGCTATCTGCGGTATCGCCAGAGAAGGGTGAAATTTTCGGAAGTATGGCGGGGGAAAACAGCTGCTTATTTCAACTGCTGTTTGCTCGTGATACTGTGCGAATTAGTGAAACGGAAACTGCTCATTTCCCTAACCGTCAAAGGGTTAAGAATGAGAGTCAGTCACTTCTGAAAAATCACGTGGATTTGGCCTCTTTTTTTTTTGGAATGAGGGGGTGAAAAATTAGGAGAGCAATCCATTTGTCTCCTTTGCTAACTCCTTCAAAAAACAATAATGCTGCATCACTTAATGTCTGGAATCTTCTGCTTTGAGAAAAGTTCTTTTTTCTCAGAAGTGACTCAAACTTCTTTAGATTTCAATTGAGCGATATGTTTTTCATCAGAGCAGTGTTTTTCTAAACTTTCAATATTGTATATGTGAATTTCTCAATCCGATCCGAAAAGAATTTTTAATCTAGCAAATTTTTAAGTGTCTCTCCATCCTATTAGATGAAAAAAAAAATTTCCAGTTAAAAAATACTTAGTTATTATCCATACTTTGAAGGAAAAAAAATACTAAATTTCTAATTTGTTGATTTTATCCTTATTTTAAACCTCTCTTCCCCAAAAAAATTATATACAAAGAAGATAAATTATGTAAGAAAGAACTAATTTCTGAATGATTTTGAAATTTTAATATGGTCTATAAAATTAAAGAGAACGTTGATAGATAGAGGCACCATGTTGATAATAAAAATCTGAAATTTTTTTCCTTGTGGACAATATTGCTTCCAAGACTCTTTAAAACCACAAACATTAGAATAAATTTGAAAGTCTAAGCACTGTCCCAACACAATCCGCAATTATTTTACTCGAGAGATGGAAAGCGAGATAATCGGTCATGAGCACAAAATGATTAAAAACTTCAAATTTATTCAAAAACTCATGTGCGAAACAAAAATTTTAAAACCAAATTATATCTGTCAAAATCATACACGTTTGTATCAGCTTTTTATTTTCTAGTTTTTTTTCTTCTCATTTTTGCAAAGAGTCTACATATTTATTTAAAAGTGAAATTTCTTTGCTGACTGATGATTTTTCAAAATATGTAATTTAAAAAAATTAGGTAAGAAATTTAGATGATGTAAAGTTACAAAAACAGGTCTGCCAACTACTGTGCTTTTTGTAAAATACTTTATAAAATGGTAGACATTTAGAACCAAAGCTTTCTCAGAATTTTTGATAATTTTGTCACCTTTTTAAAAGCCTCATCGCGAAGGATCTGGAACAAAGTGGCGTTGCAAATGAACTTTTAAATCATTTATATGTAGTAGTGTGAAAAATAGGTTTAAAGAAAAAATTAAACATCAATTTAGCTGCCTGGATAAAAATAATTTTTTACAAAAAGCGTAGAAAGTTGACAGCCCTGCAAACATCTAAAGTTTTTTTAAAAAAAGCAAATTATTATTTTTCTCTTTTAAAAAAAATAAAAATTTAAAACTACACAGCTGTTCTCTTTAAAAATAGATACTGCCAACTCTGAATTGACTTTATAGCTATAAAATGTTTTATTCTGTCTCTGAAATAAACTTTTCTGTTTAATAAAACCATTAATTTTCCAAGCAGGCTCAACATGAAATTAATAACAAAATTATCATTTTAAAGTTTGATAAAAAGCTTTTTAAAATTTTGAATTAGTTTTGGCGCAAATAAATTTCAGAAAGCTTAAATTTATCAGTAATATATATGTTACGCTGTCCTGAAAGAGTAATAAAATATGCATATTTTTTGTCTTTTACACAAAACTAAAGCCATACATTCTCTTTTTATTTTTTAAGAAAAGACTGGGAATATTTTAATCAGGAGTTTTGATGTTAACATTTACATCAAAAGATCTTCTATTGATCTCTTTTTTCTTTCCACTTCTGATCTGCACACAGGTGAGAAGGTCAGGTTATTTTTTCTTTAATTATTTTTCAATTTGAATTTTTAAACATACATACCTTATTTAAAATTTTCCTCACAGTTGAATTTGATACTTTAAATGTATTTACTATCTAATAAAAATTAAAGAAATGAAAAAGAAATAACAATTTATTGATGTAAATTTCCCTTTTTAGTTTCTAAATAAATGTATGTTACTATTATTTCATTTTGAATGTTATTTTAATTTTAAGATTTGTTGTTGTTGTTAATTTACGTCGCACTAGAGCTGCACAATGGGCTATTGGCGACGGTCTGGGAAACATCCCGGAGGATGATCCGAAGACATGCCATCACAATTTTGATCCTCTGCGGAGGGGATGGCACCCCCGCTTCGGTAGCCCGACGACCTGCGCGCGAAGTCGAACACTTTGCGGTAGCACAGTTTAACGAGGACCAATACCGCACACTCTCGGTCCCTACGCAGACTGATCCAAGTGGTCACCCACCCGCGCACTGACCGTAGCCAGTGATGCTTGACTTCAGTGATCTGCTGGGAACCGTGTCTTAACGATCAGTCCACTGCGGGACTTTTAATTTTAAGAAAAATGAATGAGTGAATCATAGCTGCTAACTCTACTGGATTTAGCAGGGTTTCTCCTGCTCTACTGGTTTAAAAAAAATTCTGATTTTTGTAGAAAAATTCCCTAAAATTGAGAAAGTTGCCTGAAATCCCTATTGAAATAGAATTTTTGTGCAGATTATTTCTTGCTTAAATATTTAAAAGAGTGTGACTAATACGACAGGGCTCGCTTATAATTATAAAGCGAGCTTCATTTATGAAATTTAGTTAACTATCTTTGATGAATTAAATGCCTATTACTATCCAAAATTATACATAATAATAATACATAACATTTCTAGTTCATTTAATGTGAAATCATGACTGGAAAATATTGCAGTTTTTCTATTTCAATAATAATAATAATCCCCTTTGTGTAAAATATTTAGTATATTTTGCAACACTTATGAAATTTAAATTATATTGTAAAATCTTCTGTTTTTTTTTTTCCTATCTGAGTTGGCAGCTATGGTAAAGTGATATGGATTAAAAACTGAAAGTAGTTCTGAGGTGTCATAAGCGACAGAAAAAAAAGCATCAGAAGAGAATCTATGCAATACTACAAAAAAAAAGAGAATCATTTGAGTTTTGATATGAAGAATTTAAAATTTTTTCTGACTGTTTAATGACATTGACGAATTTAAGGACCGGTTAATGGTCATGACATGACCTTGCCTTGGATATACCTGCATTTTTAGATTTTTGATCTAAAATAAATAAAGGGGAAAGCGTAAATAAGTGATTATTTAAGCTAGTGTTGTTTTTAAAAAGAACAAGTATAATCAAAATGGAGCTGCTGATTTTTTATTTAAATATAGCCTGAAGTAAATAATCTTCTAATTTTTTCTTTTAACTAAGGAAATTATAATTCCAACTGTTTCAAAATAGAAAATATATTTAAAAAAAAAAAAATTTTTTTTGGCAAAAAATTCATTTTTATTTTATGAACAATTAATATTAAGTGTGGGCTGAGAAGCAATAATAGTATTTCAGAAATAAACCCATTTTCATAAATATTATAAAAGAAACAAAATTTCACTGGTGATTATTACTCATAAAATATGTTAAAACATCGAGTTTTCTTTTTAAATAAATTTTTCATTGTATAAATATTAATTAAAATTATTTTGAAAATAAGGAAAAGCCTAAGAAGTGATTTTCTGATGCTTTATCTCTTCTCTTACCCCCTCCCACTATGAATATGGGTGCTTTGCCGCTCTATAACAAAACTTATTCGTAAAATTGTGCAGAAAAAAAAAAAAGATTTAGATTACAGAACACCTGAAAACATTTTTTAAATAATGTTTCTTTTTCATGATTCCAAATATAAACATAACTTTGCACAATACAGTTTAAATCAAGGTTGGTGATTGCATATGATTGTCCACCCTTTTTGAAGCAGAATTCAAAATTCATAAATAAAATTAATTTCAAGTCTATAATATTGTTATACTGAGCGATGATTTGTCTCTTTGTATGAGCTATATAATATTTATCGTCAACAGATATTTTTGTTGTAATGTGCTAATAAATTCTCATATCTGTAATCATCTCTGGAAAGTTCAGGTTATTTTAGGATGATTCAAAAAAACTTATCAAAAGTTTCAAGTTAAATTTAATATTTTTTTTTCAATTTATGATAAATAATAATTAAAAATAATCTAATGAATGTAATTTCATCATTATATTATAGTATTTACTATACTACATACAATATTTTTATTTCAGATTTATTTTTTAACTTATAAAGTTTATGTAAAATGTAAATTTATATAGCATTATTAGTTTAAAATTCAGACTTAATTTTTCATATTACAAATGAACCTTTAGTGTTTCATGCTATAAGAAATGCTTTAAAATGCATTAGATCAATATTTTTTTTTAACAGTTGAGAATTTTGGAAAAAGTGGCCCTTATTAAAAATGTTACTACTAGTCACTGGACGGTAATAATTTACTTAATTTCACACTACATTTAAGAGATCTAATTAAAAAACTTGATTTTTATGTCTAATTTTATAAAGTAATAATAACTTGCTCACATACATAAAATGTTGAAAAAGACTCAAATTTTTTGATGAGATGGTAATCTTTTATGTTAATATAATTTTTTTTCTTTCGTTTATATCAAAAAAATAACTCTCATAGCATCAATAAACTTCATTTACATAACTACATTAATATACTTTATTTTTAGTCTGTACATATTGCGCTCCAAAATTTATTTACTATTCTATACTTACTTATATTTTGTAAAAATTTAATAAGCAGTGGTGCCAGAAAATATTGATACTAAGATTAATTAATATGAAATAAAAGGTTATTAATAAATTTATATAAAAAGCAAATCACTATTGAGGATCAAGGGAAAGACTTATCAAAAACTAGATCATTTGTCAGATAGTTTGTCATTAATTTTTCACTAAGAACTACTTTTCTCATAACAGATAAAAATTTACTTTTAAAATCAATAGGTTGTAACTAATTTTTGGAAGAATATTTAACAAACAAAAAGTCCCTTTTCTGATAACTAGTTGGATATAAATTGAAATAATGCTGTGACTAAATGCAAAAATTTAATAAAAATTTGTTTTATTAAAGAAACTTAAGCATACGAATTATTTAATATAACAGATGAACATAATTAAATGGTGTGTGTGCAAGTATTTACAAAATCTACCACTTTAAAACTTTTAAGTACCAGTATTATTGATACTATCATTACGGTTTTCCCACTTTTCTAATAGAGACATAAACTCCAACTCCAATTGTTTTAACTCTTCTTTTTTCTCTTCAACTTTTAATCTTGTCAGGCTTTCATTCTAAAAAGTAAAGAAAAAAGAGATAGTGCAAGATTAGAAAAAAAAAAGTCAGAATATTTCTGAATGAAAAGGCGATCAGTTTCCACATTCTACACCTAGGAGATGTATTTTCATCTAGAAAAATGTAACATAACTTTTTACTACAAATAGTATATTCAGCAGTCTTTTTTTTATCACTCATTATTAACATGGTGAGTGTAATGTCATTCATTGATGACTAAGTGTTGAAATATGATAAAAAATTTACATTGTTTTAAGTAATTATTGAAAATTTATTAAAAATTTAATTCTCATCTATTACAAATCAAACTTTTATTATTTTCAATCTGTTTGTAGTATGCTTTGCATTACTATAAAACAATAAATGTATTTCTAAGCAATGTAGGAATGGTGATTTCCTTTAAAAAAAAAAGAGATTTTTATCACAATTTAGAGCTTGTGAACAAGAATTCTAACCTAAATTCGACTGGCCCCCTTAGGGAGCACCTGAGGTTTACTGAAGTAGGTTATAATTTGAATGTACTGATTGCAATAGAATAATGTATAATTGTGATGATTAGAAGTGTCAGTACAGATATTGCAATGAAATTTTGGTTTCATATAATTTTCTAGTGATATACAGAATATGTGTTACTGATGATAAGAAGTTTTCTACATTTTACTTTAAGATACATTTTACTTTAAGAAGCTCATTATAAATTGCTAAAAATAAAAATCTGAACATTGTTCGTTGGAGGCCAGGAAACTCAAAAAAAAAATTTATACGGATATTCAGTCCGTTATTGAAGATAGCTTCCATGATAGATCGGATTCCCTGTATTTTATGTTTCATGATATTGTAAGTTAAAATTATGTTTAGAAAAATAGTTTCTAATTTGGTTGTACATTAATATGCATTCAAGGTTCTCTATTAGGCTGCAGTTTCTGCACTCTTATAGTTTTTGATACATTTTATGTTGGTGCAATGTTAAGCCCTATTGATTTGTAAGGAATTTGTAAATAAAATAGGTTGTATATTTTCTTATTTCTGGAAATTAGTAAATACATTACTCTGGTATCAGGGCTGCTATATCTAGTCTGCCAGTCTTTTTTCATTTGTTTTAAGAGAATTTGTCTAATTGTTTTCTTGGTTGTTTTTCCTGTAAGCTAGTTTCCTGTAGTCCAGTTAAACTAGTCTGTCAGTCTTCTCATTACCCTTATCTAACTCATCCATCCAATCTCTTCTCATCCATTCAATTCAGATTGATGTTTGGGGTTATGACAATTTTTATGGTGGTGGTTAGAAATTCTACATCATTAGTCTTTCATAAAACTGACATGGAGTCAAAAAATTTTAATATTCTGTTAGATGTTGTGACCTTTAATCTAGTATATAAACTGGAGAATGACCCGGAGCTTTACTTTGAAGACTAGTCTGAACAGTTTTGTTTTGATGATCTACCGGTTTTAATTTACAACAAATGTGCATCCTGTTTGTACATTAATCAATTTAGAGCCATCACTGAATATTTCAATTACATTGTTTAGGTGATTACAGCTAAATCTGATTCTTAACTATATATATATATTATGATCTCTGTGGGGCAGTAGATAGGTGATTTCGGATGAGGTTGAAATTCATTGTTTGTTTCTTCATGAAAAAGTATATGTCATATTTTTCCTTCAATTTTAAGTTGGAGATCTGAAGAAAGAATTCTTGCTTACTTTGTAGGGCATTGTTCTAGGTAGTTCTGTAGATTTTTGTAATGGCTAAAAATGGGAATTTTTCTATTTTTTTTTTAATTATACTTAAAGTTTGAACAATATAAACAATAAAGCGAAAAGAATATGAAAAATAACATCTTGCTGCATATTTAATATAGAGTCATGAAAACATTTAGGAGATTTTGAAATACCAAATTGCAGAAAATTCAAAACACATTATTTGACATATTAAATAGATTTCATGCAAGTTATAATCTTTTCTTATGTATCAATTTAACACAGAATTTATTAACATTTACTGAAACATGCTTTTAATTCTCTTTGACTTTTAGTTCAATTTAACATGAATTGAAATGCATTAAACTATTCATAATTGCATTATCAGAATACTTAAATTGAAACAGGAGTTTCATCATAATTGTTAATTCAATAAAAAAAAAAAGGATTATGACATTTTATTAATATTTATTTTTATCCAAAAAAAAACATAGATTTTCTGCAAATGACATGCTTTTGAAAGAAACAGATCTGAACTTGAAATGATTTACTGAAAAAAATGTAAAAAGGAGGAAGAAAAAAAAAATACTCACAGGAGGAAGATTTATGTAACTTTTCAGTTTATCTTTTGAAACTTTTAGTTTTTCTTCTAAAACTTTAATAACCTAAAATATAAACATTTATTTTAAAAATGGCATTAGAGAAGCAGTTATTCTTTTCCCAGTGTAGAAAATCAAATATTACAATATGCTTGGTTTAATTCAATAGCCAGATTTATTTTACAGTCTTCCAAAGAAAAATTTTGCATACATATTTTTGCTCATAAATATCTTAAAATGAGCTTCTAACTACTCAATTTTTAACCTATCTATTGATGCAAAATGTGTTCGATTTTATTTAGTTACAAAAGATCATGATTGATAATAAGATAACAGTTCAAAAAAGCTGTCATACATGAAATTGTGTTGAAATTGAAATTTTTTTTTTAAGAAGCACTTATTTTATGAGCAATGCTAAATGAATATGAATACCCTGTCTTTTATGGCACATAATTGTCAGATAAAAATCTAGTATTTCAGTTCAGAAATTTCCTATTAGCTTTTTCTTTAATATTTGCATCAAACCAATTGGATTTGACGAAAGATATAAATTCTGAAGCAATCAACATACCATCCTGCAATTTCAAAAGCTGGGTATTGTCACTTTAAACTAACCTTTTCTTATCAAACAAAACCCAAGCAAATCATCAAGCATAGTTCCAAAAAGGCAAAAATCCGCTAAACCAAAAGAATCAAATTGGCGGATTTCAGCCCACTGGTGGAAGAATCGCGTGTATGTAAAACAGGAATTGGCGAAAGTTTCGAAATTAAATTGAGGAAAGATTGTGAAAATTTCTTCAGATTATAGGTTTCTGATAAGCGAAAGTCAGCGAACCAATAGTCTTGAGAAACACGAAACTACGCAATATTCCCAGAAAAATCATATGCTCTGCTTCTGATTTTTAGACCCGGAAGGATAATACTAAAAACCCAGAATTCCATCACCCCTGTCTGAAATAACTACTACAATAATGATCTCAAAAATAATTGTAAAGAAATTAACCTTTACTTACCTCTAAAGATTCAACTAAATTGCTGTGTTGTAATGATTCCTCAAAGCTGACCACTTTCAATCTTTCCTAAAAGAATTAAAGATTTATAAAAAATTATGTTTGAAAAAGTTAAAGTTTCCAAATGTCAATATTTTGATAAATGAGAAATTAACAATTTATTATTAATTTTGATAAATATTAAATTTCTTCTGAACTGTCACCATATGTTAAAAGTAATAAATACAGTTCAGAACCTCTTATCCGGAAATCGGAACGAAATTCAATAAATTTTCCCGCCATTTAAAAAAAAAAAAAAAATTTCCACAAAAGATTTCAGAATTCTTTTTTAAAAGATGTTTGCCATCATTTTAGAAATAATCATTAGTTCCCTACACTGTCAAAAGAAGTAAGAGTTTTATTAAATTATTCTAAATATATATTTTTTTGGTTGAGTTTGACAATAAAAAAAAAAAGGCTTTTTGTAGCGATTCAGAAAACCGGAAAAATCAGTAACCGGAATAACGTTGGTCCCAATCATTCCAGATAATCGGTTCTCTACTGTATATGGTGAACAAATATGCTGAGCTTAAAAACTGGGGTGAGGGAGTATAAAAATTTCAAAGTACATTTTGTAATAAGTACAATTTCAAGTACATTTTGGTAGTTCCAAACAATTAAAAAAAAGTAGTTTTTTTTAAAAGTAATTATAAATTATGGTTTAAAAAAAAACTTCTTTAGATTAAAACTTATATACATATTTTTTACTTCACTAAATGTAATTGCTCATATTATTACCAATTTCGACTTAAATGATTATGCACATGTATGAAAACTTTACATGTAGCTTCAAAAATGTGGCTAGTCTTTGTTATTTTATTTCTCCAATGTTGGCAGATATGTATTTAAATTTTGATATTTATAATGCTAACTAAAAAAAACATAATGAAATACCTTAAATAATTTAATATCCCTTTCATACTCTGCAGATTTGGTGTTGAAGAATTTTGTTCTTCCAGTCATCTTCTCTTTATTAGATTCTTGAGTGTCAACTACTTCTGTCAAAGCATTTAATTGACTGAAATACAATACAATTAGCACAAAAAGACGATTTATACACAACTATTTTTTCGAAATTCTATGGTAAAGGATAACATGCTTATTTACACAATATTAAACAAATTATACCTTTTAAGAATATCATTAGAATTTCTTATTTTTAAGCTTTTTTGACTATACGAAGACATCAAGGCACAGTTAATCATTTTCTGTTCTTCATTTTTAAAATTCTCATTTTTCATTTCACAAATCGCCAGTAGGAAACTGAAAAAATCATTATATATATAGACAGGGTGCATAGCCATATTTTCCAACAACAAATAAGCACCTTTTAAGCACTCAAAAAATATTTTTAAGCACTATATACATTAACAAAATGCAACATAATTTTCAAAGACTTTACATGATCATGATAAAATAACCAGTTTCTGATAAAGAATTCTTTTCTTGATTAAATTAATCATCATAAAAAGATGAAGAGGTTTTTCGGTACGATATCAGCCGGTGGAAAATGAAGCCTGAAATTGAGAATATCATGCAAAATGCAGCAGAGTTGCACGCGAGAGGGCAAGAATCTCACCGAACCCAGTAGATGCACACGTGTACTCCCGAGTATTTCATCAAACACGCAAAATGATTGGCGCCTTCATACGCTATGGACCGACGGTACGCTAAAATAGATTGTAGTTAAATGAATTGTGAAAAGGTCGAATAGAACAATGTGAAAAGCACTCTTTTGCATAATATGTGGTGAAAATTGACATGGAACAGAAAAAATTTAATTTTCGAGAAGGGAAGTTTGAGCACTTTTTAAAAATGCCCAATGAAAAAAGCACCTCTAAGGGCTTTTAAAAGACGAAAATTGAAAAAAAGCACTTTTTAAAATTGCTACGCACCATGTATAGAGACTAAAACTTAGGCAAAGCTAAGATAAAGCTAAAATTAGGTAAAACAAAACATTTAATGTTTCAAGAAGATTAGGTGATTCAATTTTATTAGATTTAATCATTTTTATATTAGTCAATTTTATTAGATTCAATTTTATTAAATTTTTTAAGAAAATCTTTATAAATTCTTCAAAGAATTCTTACTTCGAAAGAAGAAAAAAAGATTTCTTCAAAGATTCTTTCTTAATTAGAAAATGAGGCAAAGACTGCGGAACTTTAAGTCAACAAGGAAAAAACTAAAATGTACAAAAAATGAAATTTTTTATCAAATATTTTCATGCAAAATCCTTGATTACCTGGACTAACAGTTAAGTATTTTATTTTATATCCGTCATTGACCCAATTTTGGGTTTATGACTACTAATGTTCAACTCCGTAGCCTTGTAATTTTTGAACCAATCCAGAAGACAAGGAAATTCCTGGATCAGTACCCCCAGAGGTATTGCTTTGTTATGGGAACATGGAGAATTTTGCAACTCAACAGATTTAGCGTGCATCAGTCACCATTTACTACATGGGAAGTCATTGGTCAGCGGGGATCAAACCCATGAACTCTTGGACATGGGCCCAGTGCCCTACTAACAGTTAAGTATTCAAAATATCAGTTATGAGCAAAAACAGCAATTAGTAGGGAGAAATTCCGCTAACTATGATGCATTTTCATTGATTAAGGTTATCAGCATAATAAAAAAAATCTGTCGACCAGATGCAGATCATATTGCAGCAACTAGCTTTTTCATTACCCTTTTAACTATTATACTTCAATTATTGTAGATAAAAACCGTTTGGTTTTGGGGGGAATTAAAAGAGGCATAAGGACCTATTGCTGATTATATTTTACCACAATACGTAAGGAAACAGTAGGCTAAATCTTCAAAAAGTCGCGACTTTTAAAAAAAAAAATAGTTGTTTTCAAATGCTCAAAAAAGTCAAAGGAAGTTCGCAAACAGTAATTTTTTAGATACAAGTGGCAACCCTACATCAAAGTCTAAAAAATAAATATAAGATTTATTTTAATTTTTTTAATGTAATTCTATAAAATTATTAGACATAAATGCATTGAAAGAACTTTTATTTTTTTTTAAAAAAAAAAGATGATAAAAAAAACTACCAAATTTAATTACAACGAATGCAAAATATAACTCTCTTTTGCATGTGATTTAAAAATTCAGTTCGTGACAAGTTTGCAGGATTTTTCCTAACTTTAAAAAAGGAGGCAATTCAAATCTGTGCGACTTGGATTTTCACTTTCTTCATCATAATATCTAAATAAAGAGCGCCTTCTGTCTACTTTGTTTAATTCCTTATACACCCAGCATTTGCCCACGAATGCCATATATACATATATATTAAATGTAAATAAGAATTTTCATTTGGATTGGTAAGTTACTTTGTTAAGTCAAGTTCCTCTATATTCATTTTTGCAGCCAATCCTGCTACGCAGTCAATTTGTTTCCATGTATCCTCACTAAGAGATGCATCTTCACTATTAAGAAGAGCTTTTAGTTTCCCAACTATTAGAAATAAATAAATAATTAAATAAATATAAATAATAATAGTGACTTCTCTACTATTTATCTCACAGTGACAGACTAGATAAGATGAAATATATTGAGCGGCTTTGAGGAGAACTCCTCCAGAAGAAAAGTTTGGGGCTGTCTGCTGCTATGGTAACAATTGAGAGCACATTTCTAATGGAGGTGCAATAGAGAAATGAAAGTGTTAACTCATGCTGACCTATGCAAAGATCAAGACAAAAATATTCACCCCACACCGCTATTTGAAGTGACTTTTCCTCGTAACCTTGGCACCCCCCCCCACTATGTGCACCTGGTGTTTGGAAAAGTTCTCCTGAAAGCCGTACTATAGCAAGAACATAATGATACAGCTTGCAATCATTGAAGTTGTTAGAAAGAAAAAAACAACAGCTCTAGCAGAAAACATCATCATCAGTAGCAGAATAATCATAAAAATTTAACAGAATTAATTTAATATGTTAAATATAATAATGTTTGAACTAAGTAAATGTATTTTCGAATTTGTTCAAACATCATAAAATGTTCTCAAGTAGATTAGAAATTCTCTGTATTCTGGAAAGAATGAAATTAAATTACAAGTCCTGACTATGTTTATAAGTTTGTTACATAAACTATTTGAATACTCTTGTATAATCTTTGTACTAACACTCATGTACAATCTTTGTACATGATGATTATTTTTTAGGGCCTTAGCCCCCTCACATTTTATAAATGAAGGCACACATCCCTTTCTAAGACTAATATTTTTAACTCACAATATTTGTGTAATTAAATTTAGAATTAAAAAACAACAAAAATTTTTTGTGTCTGAATTCTAAAAAATAATGTCTATTTCGAGTGAGCTTTAATGTGTCCTTCGTGAAAACTGTTACCAAATAATCCCTTACTCATCCCCCTCGCAGAGGAAGTACACGTCCCTATTGCTGACAGATGGGGTAAATTCCTGGTTTTAAATGTCACAGCGAACAGAATAAAAAACAAGCAACAGTAAAACAGAATAAAAAAAATATACCGTTAAAGGAGAGATAAATAATTAACAGGTAAACAATTTCTTTTAGATAAATAATTTACTGATAAACAAAAACAATTCGTAGAAGTTAAAATTGCAAGTTCACATTATTTTGTGAAGCTCAGATAATTTGGACCCAGTTGTTGTATATATACCATAGCAACAATTATACCTTGGTCCAAGTTGGGCTCAAAATTGGCTCAATGAACATGTTCCGAGGGACCAATATTGGGATGCCTAGATTTTAACATTGGTCCTATGCAGTGTCAATATTGGCCTATATAGGGTCAATATTGGGCTTATATTGGCTGAATAATGATTACAAAATATCGGGTGAATCTGAAAATTCTATATAAGGCTGATATTGGCTGTAAAGTGGCAGTAAAATATTGGGTCAATCGAACATTCTATACGTGGCCATGGGTGCAAGTTGGAAAAAAGGCCAAGACTGAAATTTTTTTGACTGAAATACCTAACATACACAATACCCCCTCGACATATGCAAACTATCTAAGAAAGCTTGACCATAATACATCAAGTTTAAGTACTGTACAAAAAATATTTATTCATCTGTCTTTTGATAAAATAACAACAGGACATAAGAAAGTAGACCAATAACGTAGACCTAAAAAATATTTATAAGGACAGAAATTTTTTTTTCTGATTTCCGTCTTCGAGTCAGTCTTGTTTCCGTCCGCAGACATTTTCGAAAGACGGAAATCCGTCCTGGGGATGGAAGACTTGCACCCATGTACGTGGCCCATATCGGAAAAATATCAGCCATTAGAATCCTTATTCAGCCAAGATTCGTGAATATTGGTCCATTGAAGGTCTATGCTATTTTGCTGCTAGGGTATACATATATACATACAGGGAAGGAGAGAGCCCCCCACTCTTGAGATACTTAGCGGTCACTGCACAGAACACAATAATTGGATGACACATTTCGAAACTAAATTATAATCAAAGATAGAACAAATATTATTTATAAAGGTTGAAAAAAAAATACTGTTTGTGTTGAAGGAATGAATACGAGCTCTCTTCAACTTAATTTCCTCTCTCACATTTTTTTCTGATTCTTCATTTTGTGATTTAAGTGATAAAAGATATTCTAAGTCATGAGCATCAGGTTGCAGACTTGAACACACTTCATCCCCATGTAACTGCATCAGCCAATTTTCGAGCTTAAAGAGATATTAAAAATTAATTAATAAAATATACATTAACTAATATTAACTATCACATTAACTAAAAGATGTAACCAATTACAATGCAAAACATAATAAACTATGCCATAAATACTCGTCTTCTAATTAAGCATCCTCATAGACATAGCATAAAAGATTTACATTTTCAGTTTTGTATGAATAAGAATGAAATTTGAAACTATTTTTTCAAGTAATGCTGAGTTGCATAGACTAAAATGTAGACCTACTAAAACTATTATAACATAATTAAATAACAATTAAGAAATTGATTCTAAAAATTGAACTAAATATTGATAGTAACTTAATGAAACCATTGAAGGATTTAAAAATTATTTACTCAATTAAACATATTTTCTGTAAATTAGGGGTGATATTAAAAAAAAATTAGTTTTTGCTTAAACATTATAAATTTTCATTAATTAAAATTTATATTACTCTATAAAATGTGTAGATTTTCTGAACTTTCATTCTGTAAGCTTCTTTTTGGTTAGAATTTATATCCATCCCCCAATATTTATGTATACCTATATATCAGGGGTCTGTCTAGGTTTTTCTGAGAGGTAATTTGAGAGGTAATTTTCTGAGACATAATTTGTAAAAAATTAAAAATTATATTAAAAAATCAACACAAAAATATGGATTTAACGTTTCTTACGATACAAAAATAAAATTTTAAGAAAAAGTATTTTGTGAAACTACCGTTTTTCCTAAAATTGAATTTGTGAAGATACCGCTAAACGGTAGTAAATTCGGCCTGGACAGACCCCTGTATATAATAAACTAATTATTAATAGTAAATTAATTATTGTGAAAAATGGAAAAAAATTTAAAAAATGTATAAATTTTTTTAGTTATAAATAAATTCTAATAATTAAAAGTAATTAATTTTCTGTAAATATATGTTATTATGTATACTGATAAAAATATTTAGTGCTTAGAACACTGTTTAAAAAAAAATTATTTGCTGCTAACATAACTAAATTTCCATGCGACCCTTCGTTAATCTACCTGCTGTGTAAGTGGTCCTTCACTCCATAAGATTGTGCACCCCTATATGTAAATTATAATTAATTTACTTAAAAGGGAATGAATTATAGTGATGGCTTACATATAAGTAGGTACTATAAGCATGGGTAATTATGTACCTACATATAACATGATTATTATCTACATATAAGCAAGACTGCAGAAAAGTCTAAAAGCCTAATATTTCCGCAAAATGAAGTTTTTTTTTTAAATCAAAATTTCTCTAAAATTTAAATTTTTAAGTTTTGATTTTTTATAGAACAATAACTCTTTTTTTGAAAATTAAAGTTTATATAAGGAAGAAATTCATTTGATTTTCCATACTTCTTGAATAAATGAGCCAATGAGTTAAAAATAGTAGAATGTATTGAAATAATTTATTAAATTAAATTTGAAATCCCTTTCATGAACTTAAGGAGTTTTAACTAATAAATACACAAATTTATATAATTTGTTTTCATAACAAGGAAATATTTAGCAAAGTGACACATTTCTTAAGATTAAAAAATTCTGTAATAATTTTTTCAAACTGCAAATTTCTCCATGGCTGCCTGTTCAATCAAACAAATTCTGCTTCTTTATGAGTAATTACAATAAAAATTGAGAATCAAAATAAAATTTTATCAATTGAGATTCGACTATTATGGCGATATTTTAAAAAAAAAATTCCTAAACTATAGCTCAAAGGAATTAAATCATAAGATTTATAATAATTAACATATTACTTGTAAAATAAACTGAGCGGTTATAATATAGAAAATAACATTGATCTTAAAGTATTAAGATTATCATGTTTACAGAAAAACCAATTAATAGTTTCAATAATTTTGGTTAGATATTTTTATTAATGGTCTATAATAAAAATCATAATTGTAGTATATAATGAAAGTATTGTGCATGATTTATTATCGAATAAAATTTCCTTAATGATAAAAAAGAAACTTGCCATGTCAACATGACATGACAGGTTTTTGACATGTCATGTCAAAAACCTGTTTTTAACATAAAAAAACCAAACTCTGAAAAAATTATTTCTGCATTTTTGTCCAACCTCTGTAATATATTGCATATAATTAACAAGCAAAATTACTTTACATTTATTTTTTCTTATTCTGGTATATAACACATTTTGTATCTTTCATGTACAGTTGAATATTTCTTAATTCCAAGTAATCGTTAATTTTTTTGAGATTAACACACAAAACTGTCTTTATAGATTACATAAACAATTTTTAAAAAAAAGCAAACTTTTGAGAATAAAAGACAGCAATGATTGAAAGGCAACAACGATGGTTGGTAAACGAAGCTTCCTAGTATATTAATTTTAATAGCATAAAAAGATAATTAAATTTTAATAGGATTATTTTAATGATATTAAAAAACATTTGACAGTAGTCTTAACTGTTTTTAAATAATAATTAAAACTAAAAAAAAAAATAATATTNGTACCCTAATCTTATACATTCTTCTACAGATTTTTAAGGCCTCCTAGTATATTAATTTTAATAGCATATAAAGATAATTAAGTTTTAATAGGATTATTTTAATGATACTAAAAAACATTTGACAGTAGTCTTAACTGTTGTTAAATAATAATTAAAACTAAAAAAAAAATAATATTAATAACTGCTACCTACAAATATAATCTGAAAAAAAAAAAACTAAATTTTGTTTAATTGAAAAATTGTTTAACTGTAAACTCTAAAAATTTAAAAAAAAATCGATATTTTTTATTTAGCTGACTTAAGCGATTAAGTCTCCAATGAAAGTTAATGTAAATTCAACTGTTTTAAATTTTTTGGTTGTGTTTTATTAAAAAAAATACTAAATAAATTTAAAAAAAAGAACAATTTACTTGCACTGATGAATAGAAAAGTACCAAAAAATCTTTAACTAGTTTTAAAGATAGCCTACACAAAAAAGTGATAATCATAAAATAATTTGGTTTAGTTATACATAAACTGTAGAACATTCTTGATTTCTTAAAGCATTTTGTCTAATACATAAGTTGTTCGGGGCTTAAAAAACTTTTAAAGAAAGTCCAAAGTTTAGGAAAATTATTGGAGTGGGGGCTAACCTATGAGCAGTCTGAAGATAGCCTTTCTGTGAAATTTTTCAGCTGAATACATGTTAATGTACTCTGAAACAGATGAGAGATAATAGGTTATTATGATATGTGAAAGTTGATCAGAGTTCATGCAATTACAGTAAATTAGCACAAAGTATATCTGCTAACTCCTAAAATAAAGAAAGATTGTGTATAAACCGAGCACAAACTATAACTCATTTCATGATGATTCTAAATTAAAATAAGTAATTAAAATATAATACAATGCTTATTTTAGGGTCAATTATATTTTATAATAATTATCAAAAGATACTATACTGTTTGAATTACAAATAGAAGGCGTGTAAGATACATAAAATTATACTGGTTATTAAAGACAAGTTAGAAATTGCTAGTTAATTGTAAAATATAAGCAAACAAAATCATACATAATTTAACACACGTTTGTGAGTATTAAATTCAAACTTAGACATTGCTTTTCATCGGACTTATATACACCCACTACGAAAGAATACTAAAACAATTAATTAAATAAAGTTTTTATTTGGTTTTGATAAATTTAAATTTGAATTCAATTTATCAACGCTTCCTGTTGTTTATTCTTGCCAACATCAAGAACCGAACGAAAGGCTTTAGTTCTTTTGTTTCCATAGATTTTATTACGGAATGGCAATGTCAAACAAGCGGAAGGATACACCGGAAAATTTCTAAATTTCTTCCGGCTTTATAAGTTTACATTCTGTCAAGCAGCTCATAGAGGAACTAACCATACTTTACTGCTTATATGAGTCAAACTGTAGTATTCCCAAATTGATTTTTCTTTCAAGTATGTGTTTCATTATTCTTAGTGCATCCATTGCTTTGGCTGTCTTTGTTATTAAATATATTTCAAAGTATTTTTCTAAGAAATCTTGGAAAGAAGATCTTGGTTATGATAAAGGATGGTTTGGAAAGGAAGAACCACTTCTTGATGATAGTGGTATGCACTTTCTCTAGAAATATTTTTGGGATATTTCCGTATCCTGATCTGTAGCGCCAACTACAACAGACTGCCCAGAAATTGTAATGGGCTGGTATATTATTGCCAATATTTATAGTGGTGGTTACCCACAGTAGCGCAGACTTGGTTATTATTCTGCCACAGATCACGATACGGAAATCTCCAATATTTTTCTTTATTATATTGTAGGTTTTTACTAGGTTGACAACAGACTGGGGAGATTTTCGAATCGTGATCAGCGGCAGAATAATTGCCAAGTCCAGTCCAGGTAGGCCGTCGCTCCTCCGCGAGAAACATTAAAAAAAAAGAAAGAAAAAAANAAAAAAAAAAAAAAAAAAAAAAAAAAAAAAAAAAAAAAAAAAAAAAAACATCAGGGGTAACAAACAGTAGGGTCACCCCTGAGCAAACGTCTATGTGTTTTGTTTTGGGGATATATCCGTATCGTGATCTGTCGTGCCAACTACTATCGCCAAGATGCCAGGGGGTGGCTATGAGTTATACCTTTCGAGTTGGCCCCTTTNGGAGATTTTCGAATCGTGATCAGCGGCAGAATAATTGCCAAGTCCAGTCCAATTAGGCCCTCGCTCCTCCGCGAGAAACTTTAAAAAAAAAAAAAAAAAACATTAGGGTCACCCCTGATGTGTTTTGTTTTGTGGATATATCCGTATCGTGATCTATCGTGCCAACTACAATCGCCAAGATGCCAAATAGATTTTAAACTTGAAATTTTTAAAAAAAAAAAAAAACATGTCGATATTTGCCAGGGGGTGGCTATGAGTTATACCTTTCGAGTTGGCCCCTTTCTGCGATGTTTTTTTTAAATTTTTAGTTTCTCGCAGGCCACTGCCCGGAAGTTTCCAAGACTTGGCGATTATTCTGCCACAGATCACGATACAGAAATCTCCCCTTTGTTTTTATAAATTGTAAGTTTAAAATCTGTTTGGCAGTTGTAGAGTTAGCAAGACAAATCATGATACTGAAATATTTACACTACAAGTTACGTCTTCAAGTTGGTCCCCTTCTATAATGCTTCTTTTTGTTTCTAGTAGCCCTGGAGAAACTAAAAAAAAAAAGCACTGTAAGGGACTAACTTGAAGAGCATAACAATTTTTAAATTACCCTGTTAAACTATTTTATGTGTATATTTTTAAAATTATTTCTCTCATTATCAAAATAAGAGAAGAATGTGTAGTTTATGAAAATAACTAAAGGAGGCTAAAAGGCTCTGTGCATATTTTTTTCAAGGAAAAAAATAAATAAATAAATAAACTAACAAAAAATTATGAATTGTTAAAAAACTTGAATTTTTTTTCTTAAATTTAAACTGAAAATTAAAAGAAGATAAACATTTAAAAGTGGATTTTTTTAATGAAAAAAAATACATTAAAAAAATACTTTTAAAATTTAAAATCTCTTCAAAAATTCATTAATATAACTCCCCCCCCCCCAAAAAAAAATATATATATACAGTAGGGAACCGATTATCCGGAATGATCGGGACCATCGCTATTCCGGATAACTGATTTTTCCGGTTTTCTGAAAAAGCCGTTTAAATTATTGTTAAACCCAACTAAAAAAATATATATATTTGGAAATAATCTCAAAATGAGGAAAAAACGATGAAGTAATACACTAATGATTATTTCCAAAATGATGGGAAGGTAAACATCTTTCAAAAAAGAAAGAAAAATCCTAAAATCTTATGAGGAAAACAAAATATTTTTTAAAAAAAGGCGGGAAAATTTATCGAATTTCGTTCCGGTCTTTTGGTTTTCCGGTTTTCTGATTTCCGTATAACGGGTTCTGTACTATATATATTTATATATATACTTGTAAGAGTTAAACTAGCTGAGAATGATCCTAACTAAGTAAATATTAATCAGAATTAATCCCATAAACTTTCACCAGTGTGCCCGGAAACAGAAAGTGCCTGAAACTGTGACATATGTCATAGAACAAACGAAATCCTGCAGAACAATTTGTAACTTGAATAAGTGTCAGCGTTTTCTTGTGAAACCCCCTCCCCGCCCATCTGCCTCTGGTGGTCTTGCAGAACAATCCGGAATCCTAATCTTATACATTCTTCTACAGATTTTTAAGGCAACCCTTATTTTAATGTTCGGACATTCAAATCATCATTATCATCATTAACAAAATTTTGTTCTTTAAAAGTGATTGAAAAACTAATAAATCAGGAATGTTTGCCTTTGTTTAAAAAATAATATAGTGTATCTGTGTATGATTCTGTATTTTAATAAATGAAAATATAGTATTTTAACGTAAAGTTTACTTTTTTTTGCTGTGAAATGCTTACAGAACATTTTTATAAATTAATAAGTCCTGTTGCAGAACATTTGAAAATATTCTGCTTATGGGCCAGTGTGTAATTGTTACTTGAATAGTGATTTAATTTTTTTTCAAATTGGAATATGAATGAATAGTGATGGGGCCGAATACCGAATATTCGGCCAAATTTTAGGCCGAATACTTACTTTTTAAAAATTTCTCTTTTGATTGTAATTAAAGTAATTTTCAAATTTTAAATTAAAAATGAAATAAATATTAACAAAATTGCTTTTTTAATCTTTGTATATTTAAAAAAATTTTAACAACTTGATTTATTTTTTGTAATAATTTAAATATCTTGATGCCAATAACAAGGCAATATGGCTTTTATAAATCTAAATAATTAATAATAGCATATTTTAGTTATAGTTATACTTGTAATTTATATGCTATTTTATTTAAGATAAGAACTCATTACTTACTACTGTTAAGTGTATTCTTAACTTTCTTTTTTGTCAGAAAAATTATTAAAACTCAGAAAATTAAGAACTTTTTAAAAATATTCACTTTTGAAATTTTAATTTTGTAATTAAATAATTTTCAAATTTTAAATTAAAAATGAAATAAATATTAAAAATTTTTCTTTTTTAAACTTTCCATATTTTAAAAAAAATTTAACAACTTGATGTATTTTTTGTAATATTTTAAATATCTTGATGCCAACAATAAGGCTTTCACAAATCTAAATAATTAATAATAGCAGCATAATTAATAACAGCATATACTTCACTATTTGGCCGAATAACTTCAGTATTCGGCTAGGCCGAATATTCGGCAAGAGGCCTGAATACCGAATAGTGGCCGAATATTCGTTACATCCCTATGAATGAATAGGCAGTGTTTGTAAGGGATGTCTGCTTATTTTTACAAAAAGGGCGCATTAATTGGGATCAAAGGTCAAGCAAGAAGGACCACCCTTCAAAAAACATTTAGGGAGAGCACTTTATAATGAAGTAATTGTTTGGCTTTGGATGTAAACTGTATCTTCTGTTTTTAGAGGATGAAGCCATACACAGCTTTAAAATAAATGTCTCGGATGACGTCTTGAACGACTTGAAGCGTCGTTTAGAAAATCCAAGGTATGAAACGCCCGTTAAAGACTCAAACTTCCGCTATGGCTTCAATCCAGATTACATGAAGGAAGTTGTGGAATACTGGAAGACGCAATATGATTGGAGGAAACAAGAAAAGGAGCTCAACAAATTCTCACATTTCAAGACCAGAATTGAAGGACTGGATATACACTTTATGCATATTAAACCAAATCTACCAGAAGGTTCTAAGGTGAGTGTCTTTCTCATCCTTCTCATTTCAAGCTTAAACTTGAGTACAGTCATTCTCTGTTTAATTGTACATCAGGTAGTCGAATAACATGCTTATACATATAAAGTTTAATTTAGCCAAATCATTTTATATGAAACTAATGTTAAACTTCCCTGATTAAACAGATATTTGTTGTCCCCCCCCCCGACTTAATTGCATAAAGAAGAGGTACTGAAATTAAAATAAAAAATTATTTTTGAGAAATGTGTCACCAACTAAAATGGAATTTCCGTTTTTCAGTTAAGATAAGGATACAATAGGTGATCATTTCAATAGGCAGTTGGTCTAAGCAGATGTTAGGGGTTAAAGTTGAAAAATTAATAAAGTTTTGCTGCCAGTTATACATTGATGTAAAGGAAGGGGTTTTATCCCTCTTTGACTTACTTCACTCACACACATCATTTAGAATGTAAAAAAGGTGCAGAGTGATTTGTTTTATGGTCCCCTCCTTGTGCGCTATTAGCTTTGATAAGAAAAAAGTACACACTAGTGTACAGTGTGTCTTTCTCTTAAGTAGAATAATCATTGCTTGATCTAATGAATAACTCTGAGTTGGTTGCAAGTAGAGCCGTGCTTGAAAAGGATTGATTTTAATTAATCTGAGAAAAAAAACAATGAATCTTAGTGACAATAAATTTCAAAAAATCTCAAACTAGAATAGCAAAAGAATTTGGAATTTCTCAAGTTTCGAGGATAAGGAAAAAAATAAATGAATAAATAAATAAAATAAAAAAAATCCTAATGTATTTGAAAGGAATACGCAAGTCATAAAAGTCTCAGTAGAAACTGAAAGGGAAAATCTAATTTTGATAAATATACGGATTAAAAACGGGTATAAAAAACATTTTAGATTTTTTCAGAAGGGATGAAATAATATTTTAGTATCTATATTATACTTCCCGCTAACATTGATTTATTTTTATGTAACTTTAAAATATTTTATGATACTAACACAGACAGTTTTAATTATAATTGTTTTATTGATCATAAAACTGAGTTTATTTAATAAAAACGTTATATATTATGTATTAAATACCATTAATAGTAAAATTTTGCAAAAATTTAGAACTTAAGATTGAATATTGCGCTCACCTTTTAATCAAATGACCCGCTTAATTGAATAGATTTCGCTGGAATCAATGGTACAGTAATTAAAAATTTATGTATAAAAAAATACTACCGTATATTCCGGCGCATAACGCACCCTGGCGTATAGCGCGCACCCATAATTTCTAATAACTTTTTTAAAATTTTAAGATATACTCTTCGTATAACGCGCACGAAAATTTGGACTGTACATGTGCAATATCTCGTCTAGTATCAATAGATAACCAGAAAGCCTTTTAGTGTGGGACATGTTTAGGTCCCACCTTACAGATAATACAAAAAAATTGTTGAAAGAATGTAACACCGATATGGCAGTTATTCCGGGTGGATTGACACTATTAGTTCAGCTATTGGACGTATGCTTAAACAAACCATTTAAAGCCAATTTAAAAAAAAACAGTGAAACATTTGGACGTTGGAGGGCAAGAAAACCTTTACGAAAGGAGGACATATAGGTCATGCAAGTTTGGAAACAGTGTGCGAATCAATANATTTTATGATACTAACACAGACAGTTTTAATTATAATTGTTTTATTGATCATAAAACTGAGTTTATTTAATAAAAACGTTATATATTATGTATTAAATACCATTAATAGTAAAATTTTGCAAACATTTAGAACTTAAGATTGAATATTGCTCTCACCTTTTAATCAAATAACCCGCTTAATTGAATAGATTTCGCTGGAATCAATGGTACAGTAATTAAAATTTTATGTATCAAAAAATAATGTGCAAGCAAACCAAAGTTTTTACTTTCCAAAAGAAAAATCTTTCTGCAAGAACTTCGTAAAGTTTTACGACAATGTCGCCTCGATTCTGCTACGGGGATGACCTCACCTTGCATAGTCCACTGGATCGCAAGGGTCCAAGTATATATTTGTTCTGGTTTTTCATAAATATGCTTCATCATCATCATAGTTGGCTAGATAGTCCAATGTGAGCCAATGCCTTCCTCTGAGGATTTCTCCATGACGACTTCCGATTTATCTTTGATCTCCAATTTTTTTCATTAATTGTGAGAAAATTAGGCTACTGAGTCAGCTCATCTCAACCGTGGCCTTCCCCGCTTTCTTTTTCCAGCGGGTCTAAAAAGCAGTATCTTTTTCATAGCATTGTCGTCACTCATTCGAATCACGTGGGCGATCCAATTCATTCTATTTATTTTTATGTATAAAATAATATCAGGTTGTTTATAAATCTTGTACAGTTCAAAGTTAAATCTCCTTCTCCAGTTCTTTTCATTTACACTACCAAGTATACCCCGCAGAATCTTTCTCTCAAATATTGCGATACAATTTTGTCATTGTCCAAGCTTCAGAAGACATATGCATGTTATTGTTTTTCTTCTTCTTCTTAACAGATTAAAATTGTACCTTTGATGATTATTCATGGTTGGCCAGGATGTTTTATGGAATTCATGAAAGTATCTCCTCTTTTAACCACACCACGTCCAGGTTGTCCATTTGTATTTGAAGTTATCTGTCCATCTATACCAGGTTTTGGTTTCTCCGAATCTCCTCATCGAAAAGGCAAGTAAATTACTAGTATAAATGAGTACAGGTAATTTTTATTATTTTAATTGTTGTATTTTTCCAGTTACAAGTTTTTATGATGTATTAAAAAAGAAATGGGAAAATATTTGCTAGAGAGATGATAATAAGATATGTAGGTTGATCCAAAATGACCACACTTTAACATATTCACTGCTAATATCGAGCTATTGTGAGAAAGTTATGACAGATGTTTAGTGAAATGCACTGAGGCAAGATGTTTCATCTGTGCTTTTAGAATACTTATAAAAACTGTATATAGAAAACTATGCCTAAACTGTAAATAAGATTGTTTTTAGTTCACTCTTTGTTGTGTTCAACATTGCTTAAGCAGGGGTCTGTCCAGGCCAAATTTACTACCATTTAGCGGTACTTTCACAAATTCAACTTTAGGAAAAACGGTAGTTGTACGAAATATTTTTTCTTAAAATTTTATTTTTGTATCACGTAAGAACCGATAAATCCATATTTTTACCATATTTTTGTGTTGATTTTTTAATGTAATTTTTATTTTTCACAAATTATGTCTAAATTTTCACAAAACCTTAAATTTATATTATTACACATATTTTTCATGCATTATTTGTTATTTGCAATTGAATCTATCTATATTTAAGATTTCATATTGAAATTAAATGTTTAAAAAATTTTATTTTAGGTTTGAATGCTCGTGCTGCTGCTAGAATTTTCATTTCTTTAATGGAAAGAATTGGTTACTCAAAGTTTTATGTTCAGGGCGGTGATTGGGGCTCTTGCATTGCTTCTCTAATGGCGAGATACTACCCTGAAAGGTAACAAAAAGCTTTTTCTTTTCTAATAAGTTGCTTAAATAATTTCCATGTTAATGTATTTGCATGTATTATTTCTATTTTTAAATATGTATACATGTATATAAGTTAAAAATATAGAGAAAGCATGGAAATTATTAAAATAAAATATTGATATATTTATATATTAAATTATTTATATATTAATTATTATTAAAATATTATTATATTTTATTTTAATAATTTTTCTTCTTCTTTTTTTAATTAATCTTTAATATTTTCCATGTTTTCCCTGTATTTTGAACTTATGTTATGAGTTCTATATACCTGCAGCTTATGCACGGTGAATAAAACTTTATAATTTTTTCTCGTTTTTCTTTTTCTATCCTTTTTGTCTTTATTATGATATACAGTAGAGAACCAATTATCCGGGATGCTCGGGACCATCGCTATCCCGGATATCTGAATTTTCCGGTTTTCTGGATCGACCAAAAAGTGTCGTTAATCGATGTTTTATCGAACCCGAAGTACAAGGAAAAAGTGTAATGCATAAAGTAAGAGAAAAAAGAAAGGTACTCCTAACTTTAAAAAGAAAAAAAAATGGTAGAAATATAACATTTAAAAGAATAAAAAAATTTGCAAGTTTAGACAAGAAAATCAAGTTTAAAAAATACAAAATTCTCATATTTATTTTTTAAAAATAATTACAATTCCTAAATTAAATAATATAAACAAAACCAATGATTAAATAACGCAATATATTTCATACCTAATTATACGGGGGGAAACGATAAAATAAAAGGAAAACTTATTAATCTAAATAAAAACACTTGAAAATTATCGAACCGAAACGATAGTTAAAAAAGGCACTAGCATAAATATTAAAACCCGGAACAAGGCAAGATCAACAGAATAAAAAAAAAAAAAAACCTAATGATAAAATTTATGAATAAAAAGAATTAATTTATTGAGTGCGAAATTTATCGCGAAAAGAAAAAAAATCAAACGTAGTGGAATCAGAAAAACAAAACTGTAATCTGCTTCATAAAATAATCCTATGTTTAAATTAATAAACAATTCTCCTTTTTTTTTTTTTTTTTTGTTGATAAAAACAAGATTTTTAATTACAGCAGATGTGATTCCACACCAAGAAAAACTTGCAATTGATACCGCACTTCCAAAGAATGAGAATTTATTCAAAAGAAAAAGATTTTATTTTTATTAGTCGATGTCAAATAAATATATTTTTCTCTTTTCTTTTTCTGTTCACTGATATGCTTGCAATGCATTTTCCCCACCCCCCTCGTAAATCAGGCAGAAAACGAAATCAGCATGCCACACCCTAGAGTTTGATTGACGGCCTAAAGAAAAAAATAAAGCATTTCTCCCTTCCCTGCCTTCAAGGTCACGGAGGAAATGACGTTTCTCTGGGAAAACGGGAAAAAAAAGTTTCCCCTTCCTTACATTTTTCCTCTACTCAACTTCAAGGATGAGTCCAATTTCCGCTTTTTTCGTTCTAGATTAAAATGGCGGGAAAATCGAGCAAAATTTTTCCCGGTTTTCTGGTTTCCCGGTTATCTGGATACCGGATAAATGGTTCTCTACTGTATATATATATGTTCTGATTCCTCACTAAAAAAAGAATTCTTTTTGAATTTCACCTTGCATCCCTTGCAATATTAGACATTTCTGACAAAGCAAAGGTTTTTTTAATCTGTTTTAAGAATATGAAATGAAGCTAAGATAATACTTGAACATGATATAATACTTGAACATTAGTGCTGAAAATCAATAATAAATAATTTTAATGTTTATTTATAAAATATTTTTCTTTCTGTTGTTAAAGTTTTGTATGTGTGTGGAAGGAGGAAAAACAACATATGATGATACTCCATTATTTTAAAATATCAATAGGAGACATTCTTCATCATGAGTTAGCTTTAAATTAAAATAAATTGTCTATGTCACTGCTCATTCAGCACTGTTCAATTCCTACTCTTGGTAAAGATACTGAATGAGTGATCGAGAAGAACAATCTATTTAGAAATTAAAAAAAGTACTACTTTTTTGTCCGAAATTGCATTAAATAGTGCATTCTTTTAGTCTCATAATTGGAGTTGAATAATATTGAAAATTAAAAGATACAAAGCTTGCATATTTTGCCCTGTGTTTTCAGATACATCAACTAATTTAACTATTAATCCCTATTTTACTGTTTAACAATATTTAGCTTCAAAAAAATTGTAGAAAGATAAAATCCTACTCTAGAGTGTTTAACTTAACTTATACTTAAACATTATTACAGGACTGATATAATTATGAAATATATGCAGTGAACGATGGTTTTAAGATCTTATTGCTAATTCACTTTATCCTGGCACTTGTAAGATTTAGTTTTAATTAGTTCATCTCTCCCAATAAATAATCATGTAGTAGTTTTAAAATTGTTGTACATTTTAATTAAGTACAAATTATATACGTAACATAACTAAACTCAAAACACTATTCAACAGATATCCCACATTATGCTTTCAAATGGCATTTTTATTAATAATTTTCATTTTTTCTTTACTTAATCAATCATATGTCACAGCTCAATGATAAGCACAAAAATCAAAAAAGAATGAAGCCATATTCCATTATGCTTAAATGCTTATTCGCGACAATATTTAGGGATTGAAATAGTTATCAGATGTTTACGGTAGATGATGTTTTGTGACAATTTTTATTTTGTACAAATTATATAATTTATAATTTTATTTAGTAGAAATTGATTTTAAAAAAAAATAGCAAATTCACTTCCTTCTGATTTCTGTAAGAGGCAAGATACCAAGACGTGCATTTTATTATTCAAAAATACTTGAGAATTTTTTCTACTCTACAAATTTTTGAAGGTTTCCATCAAACTTGAAAATTCACTTGTTTCGATGCTGCTGAATGGCTTTGTTCTGTTTGTGATTTTCTTGACATATTAAATCATGAATTTGATAGACCTGATTGATTAAGAACAGAATATATTTTAATTGACGATGAATTAAATTAATATATGTATGGGAGTATTATATCTTATGTTAAATTGTTTTATATTCAACCTAATAACATACTACAATGTTATGTCGCATATTTAATCTAATAACTTGTTATTGTTTTGAAATGAATAATCCTGAGATATTCTTTTTAATAAGTAAAATGTTTCATTAGCTTTAAAAATTATTAAGGTGGATTTCATTTTATCGGGAATAAAATTGTTTCAAACTTACACTTCGACTAAACAAAGCCATTTAGCATCATTTTAATGGAACGAATTTCAGTTACAATGATGCTGAATGGCCTGGAATTCAACATTTGCCCATTGTGAAGTTTCAGGCAATGAAAAAGCCGACTTCCAGGCTAAAGAGGGTGCTTTAATTATGCAAAGAATTTCTCATCCTATGCTCTTCCGTACTATTAAAAATCTTATTAAAATATATCTATTAAAGCCCGTGCTTAGGAAGACCTCTATAACCGTGTTTCCCACAAGTCTGGGAAAAATGCCATCTCAAATTTGTGTAATGACCCAAGGCGTAGAGCAGTGACTGAATTCCACCTAGCTACTGGACATGGCTGCTTTACAGTCTCAAAATTGTTTCTTCCCCGATATGCACTCTGTGCAGCTCTGGAGAGCTCTTGGACTCCTGCTCTGGGCACGACTTTTCTCACCGAGCGTTATTGGGACACTAAAGATGTTAGATTAATGAACTCTGTTTCAGCATTTTTTGTTCTCTATGCTCTTTCTTTTTATTGTTTTCTGCTCTAACAGTTCATAATCTGTCATTAGAAATAAAATAAAAAAAATATTATTTCATATCATTTTGAGTACTTCAAACATGTCGAAATTTTCCTTCTTAATAATTTTTGAAGCTAACGAAGTTTTTCCATTATCAAATAAAATATTACAATGTTGTTTCAATTCATTCATATAACCTTTTGCAGTGAAGTTTCATATTCATCCTAATAACATGTTGCAAATTTATCTTAATAACAGGTAACAGTATTGCTTCGTTCTCATCCTAGTAATATGTCACAATGATGTTTCATTCTCATCCTAATTGCACGTTTTAGAGTGTTTCCTATTTAACCCTTTCGAGCCGACTGTCACATATATGTGACAGCAAGAAACGCGCTCACTTCCCGGCCGACACACCCGCGTGTCAGAGAGTTTTCTCGTTCACCCCCGACCGTCACTTATTTGTGCCAGCGTTTCGGAACGTTTTAAAAAATGAAATTTCTTGCAAAAGATGGCATTGTATGTCCATATGGTTTCAGATACATGTAGATTTGACCTTCTACTCAAGATGAAAGTACATTCACGTGGTTTTTAGGGGGAGGAGTTGAGGGGGGGGGAATGTTTTATGAGGGCTTTTTAAATTAGCACGTGATATTTATTTACAGTAAGTAAGGGAGTTTTTTTTTCTCTCGCTACTTTCGATTTTCGGATTAGTTTTTAGTGGATAATTAGATCTTGTAGGCTTGAATTTTTTTTTTCTTTTTACCGTTAGACTGTCGAAGCGTCGAAAATTTTTAACTGAGCTGGAAATAGAGGAAATTATGCAAANAATAACAGGTAACAGTATTGCTTCGTTCTCATCCTAGTAATATGTCACAATGATGTTTCATTCTCATCCTAATAGCACGTTTTAGAGTGTTTCATATTTAATCTAATAATATATTATAGTGTTTTTACCCTGTATGGTTTCTTAATATCTTTTTTTTATGTTTATAATTTTGCTTCCTAATTATGTTCATTTATTTTATTGAAGGATCATTGGATTGCATGTGAATATGTATTTGTTTAACATGCTTTCTCTCGAAAAGCTAAATTTTGTTCTGCTCTTTGTTTTTCCCTTCCTGATGAGTCGTGAGGAATACAAACTCCTTTTTCCATTAAAGAAAACATTGCGCTTCTTTTTAGGGGAAACTGGTTACTTTCACATGAATGCTACTAAACCTGATACACTTGGTAAAGTATATTTTAAAAAAATAAAAAAATTTCATAGAGAAAGTAATGAAAGAAAATACTTTTTTCTTAATATTTCTAAATTATTTTGTTGTTTTATTTTATTATTATTTGGTTCTCTTTAATCAGGATTTATATATAAAGCTTTACATTTCACTGGACTGTCATTGTACACATATAGTAAAAGAAAATTTGCAAAAAAGTATGCCAATAGTTAGTATTTCCTTTTTGTGCAAAATAATTTCACTCTCTGATGATTTTTTTTCTTTTTCGTAATTTGAGTTAATAGATATTCAGACTTTTTATTTTATTTTCCCACTCTCATGTCAGTATTCACTGGACTTTAAAATTGACAGAATTAAGAAGTTGTTTGTAAAAGCAAATGAAGTATTTTGAAATTGTAATCACATGCTTTGCCATCTGTAGTCCCTTTGAAATAAAACGTAAGAACAAAAAATACTGAAAAATTTTCCTTCATTAAACTTAAGAACAATCCCACTATTTTTGAGAATATTTTGTGTTATTAGTTGATGTGGTTAATACAACCATCCATTGTTGCAAATTTCATATCATAGAAGCAAAAAATATTTAAATTTCTATGAAGTAAAAAAAAAAAAAATGGTAACTTTACCACATGGATATATTTTAAAATGCACTTTTTCCGAAAAAAAAGGGCACTATAATTCAAAATACCACAATAGGGTAGTAGAGAAATTTTTTGGGCCCTTATTGCTCTTAACCATTTGAATACCAAATTAAGAAAGGGTAAACAAATAACTTTATATTTAATAAATTATTACTTAAGAGCATCTAACAGTAAAATAAAGAGATAAGGTAAAAAATTTTTTTAATGTTTTTTGTAATGTTCCATTTTTTATAGATGTTTGGCAGGAGGCTGCTACATTTGCTTCACCTATGTTCCTATGTTCAAGACAAAACGCTATCTTCTTAGAAGATCATGAAACTGTGAAATATTTTAAAAAATGCAGAATAGTTAAAAAAAAATTGTAAAGCATAAAATGACTATATATTGATTCCCCTTCTTGATATTGTTACTAAATTATTTTCGGCTTTTTAATTCTGTTTGCTCATCAAATTTCACTTTCTTATTCAATTTTATAATTGGGCTTTAACTTTTTTTTACCTTTGTTTATCAGGGATGTAATTCTTCCGCGGATTAGCGGATTTCCGCTTTTTTTTTTCAGATTATTCCCGCTAAATTTCCTCTGAAATTATTATTTTTTTTTTTTGCACAAGTTAAAATATTTTATGAGGAATTAAATTTTCCGCGAAGCGAAAGTATTGAAGTCCTCATTCCCCCCTCAAACATTGATTTTCGTATTTACCTGATTTAAAAGTTGAACGTTGCTATTCTTAACCAGGCGATTTAAATGTCGTACATTGCGATTCTTATTTACGAGATTTAAAAATCCAATATCGCGATTTGTAATTACGCCCTTTTAAAACCCTATGTAGCGATTCGTATTCACGCGAGCTTAAAATCCAATCTTAAAATTTTGCGGTTGTAATATCAAATATCGATTTTCCTATATATACGTGCTTTAAAGATTAGACAGTGGGATTCGTATTCGCGCTATTTAAAAATTGCGCATCGTGATTCGTATTTACGTGATCTAAAAATTACGCATCATGATTTGTATTTTCGCAATTTTTAAATTCGATATAGAGTTTCATATTCACGTGATTTAAAAGCCTCATTTCGGGATTCATTTTCTCTTAATTTAAAATCATGCATGTGATTCATATTTTTATATTCATGCAATTTTAAAATAAATCATCGGGATTTATAATCACATGGTTTACAAGTTTAAAAATTGCACTTTTTTGNTTGTAATATATATATATATATATATATATATTCATTCTTGAATTTCCTCTTTTTTACTTTTCAACTGCTCCCATCCCTGGTTTTTTTATTGTAAGATTTTTCACCTCGTCTTCCCCAATATTACTTTTAAAAACAAAATTCTACTGGCTCTAAGTTATTTTCATCTATGTTTTCTGTATCAATTAAAACTCCTGGTTTCTCAGGCTCTAGCTGACAAATCTCTAGATCTTCCAAATCTAGATCGAAATATGTTTCTAACAAGGCCATTATTATCATGTATCATTATGCTTATCTCAGACTAAGTATAAGCAAAAGTTATAAATGAGACGAATAAAAAAGAAACACTCTTTTCGACTCACTCAGTAACAACATATTTATCAGGGAAGTAAAGTAAATCCAAAAATTAGAAAGGAAAAACTATCGTCAAAAATCGATTGAAAACACACATTTCGAACACATTGAAAAAACTCTTTGATGTTAAATTTTAACCCAATCAGAGTCAAATAACTTAGAATTTAACAATCCCCTAAAGTAATTACCTGGTCAGAACGAATTTCTTTTCATAAGTTAGAATTTCAACTAAAGAGAAAAACACTGAGTATTAAAATTACATATTTTGCTAAATTCTAAGTGTTCTGTTTTGATCACTCTATTATCAGCTACTGCAAATTCATGTAAAAAAAGTTGAATCTAAATGTGTACACCACCTTTTTCCATTTAAACATCACTATACCTAAGTAACATAATACCATTTGAACAAAATGCTCACCACATAACTCAACGAATCACTTAAAATTAAAAAAAACTTACACTTGAAATGCCACTGTTCCAAAAATGGAACATATGATTTTAAACTAATGTTTTGATCGTAAAATTTTTAATTTCATGCTTAGCAGAGATCCTTTTTAAATTTTTGTAATTATTGTAGTTGTTTTTAATTATTATTAATTATAATATGATCAATTATGCTACAAGCAGGATAAAAATTTACAAATTACATCAAATTTCGAAAGTTGTAGTAGAAGTTACAAGTTAGAGCAATAGTTTGCAAATGCGGCATTCAAATGATGCCTCAAATATAATTATGCATGAAGAGAAACTATTTATTTATGTTTATTTCAAATGTTGAGAATAAGGCCTATTCTCATTTCTTAGCTAAAAGTTTATATATATTTGATAAATTAATCATATTGTTGCAATCACACTATATTTTTCAGTTAGCATTATACCTTGAAAGATCTATTTAGTTGATAGTACAAAATCAAGATTTGCTTCAGAAGAAGGAAAAACCACAAAGGTTTATCTGATGCATAAGGGTTGTCTAAATGAAAGCAGCATTGATGTTATGATGACAGAGAGATAATAGTGCTGATAAAAGATTTATCGATTTTCCTAGACTTTTGTATATGTTGGCATACATTTTATTACTGATTTTTCAGTTATGTCATTTCTTATATATAAAATTTATTGCATATCACTTATACTTGCATATCACTTATATCATTTATAATGTAAAATTTATTGCATATCACTTATGCTTCAAACTACAATTAATTCCTTTTCTCTTGCTTTTTGTTGTTGTATTAATTAGATTCCCTGCTATTTATAAAATTTTTCCTGACTAATAAAATTCGCCCAGTGGCCAGCCTGTATACTAAGTAATGCCCAAATTAAGGATTAAAGTAAGCAGAAGTAAAGATTACAGTTCACTACTTTGAAGATCCTAATAATCAATGCCAAATTTCAAAGTGATAAAAATATAAAATGACTTGAAAAAATTACAAAATAACCCACATTTAAGAATGAAGTTCATTTTCTCGGTTAGGTTACCTTTTATTTAGAAACGAAAGCTGATAACAACAGTTCAAATTTATTTGTTACTTTACTTTTTATCATGAGTGAAAATTTTCCAGCACTGCAACCTCACTTTTGTATCATTCATTCATGTACCCATCTTTCACATAAAACGGTTTTATATGTAGAAAAATTTGTTGAATGTAATATGCTAATGTTTTTTTTTTTTTTTTACCTTATTGGGGGGGAAAAAAATGGCATACTTAGAAATTCTTAAAACCATTACAATTCCACAGAAGTAAATTACATCATGTTTTATATATTTTAAAAGACAGTTGGAAATATATTTTTTTTCTTGCAATTACGACGATTGTGGGTAACTTGTAATGTTTACTTATTAATCTGAAGGAAATAAAATTGGTTGCATTTTATTTGCAGGTTGTGGCATGTCGGATAGCCCGATAGGAGCGGCCGCTTACTTATTGGAGAAGTTTTCTGTTGCAACAAATGCAGAGAATTTGGATTTGCCTGATGGTGGCCTGACTCAGAAATTTTCTCTCGATGAACTTCTTACGCTAGTCATGATCTATTGGGTTAACAACAATTTCACTTCTGCTGCAAGATTTTACAAAGAAAATGTACCTGAAATGTTTAAAGTGATACATGAAAAGTAAATATTTTCTTTAATCAAAAATGTAACATTGAGTGTGAATAACAAATAATATTAATATATTGACTTAGAAAAAATATTTCAATAAAGTAATAATCAAAGACCTACCTAATTAAAATTTGTAACTTTAAAGGATAAGTAAACAAAAAAAAGTAAACCATGTTTCAGTAAACCAAAATTATGCGCTTAATTTGACACTTTCAAGAAAAAAAGGTTTTGTTTCAGAAAAAAAAATGTTTTGTTTCCTTATTAATGCAGTTTTGGCTAAAATATAATGCAATATGATCAAAAAGTATGATATATATGAGACATCAAAAGTATGATTTTTTGGTATATAACGCCACAGATATTGAAAGTATTGTTTCACTTTTGAAATTTAAATTTTTTAAACCCTCAGAATTTTAACAAAAACTTTTTAATAACGATTTGTCCAAATGAAGTAAATTTAACTTTCACTTAATTTAAATTAAGTTTGCCGCATGTCCCCCCCCCCCCATTGTACATCCTCCACACTGTGAATCACAGATTACAGTTCATTCTAAACCTTAAAAATTCCAGAAGGCAAGAAAAAGAATGACATCATTGCGAGTTAGGTAAATTTTTTATTTATTTTAATAATATATTTATTTTTGTATTTCCATTGCCCTCTTTTGTTAACATTTTGTCAATTAAGGCATTTACAGGGCAGATTTTTTTTTACCACTCTTTCAGGGGCATCATATTAGGTGGATCAACGTTGCTCCCGCAGTAAGGATAGATAGTATAGAGAATGAAAGAACATCCATGCCTTGCCTGGGATTTAAGCCCAGAACAAGGCCAGTTCTTTGACCCCTACACAGATCGGTTGGCCCATATTTGAATCTAAATTGTTTCTTAATTTTAAGCAATCTTCTTTTTTGTATTATCTTCACCAATTTATCATTCTTTGTGCAATGCACATAGTTTGAACTATCATCTTTTTATGAACTATTATCTTTTTTATATTCCTCTTATCGCCAAAGGTAGGCCAACGACAGAATAAAAAATAAACTATAGAAATTTTAAAAAATTATATGGAAATGGCTGATGAAGAAAAATAATTAACTGTAATAAAGCCGACAAAACTTGGAAAATGATCATTTACGGCAGCATGATCACGAATTTAGCATGACAAAAAGTGATTACACAAATTTAAAATTCATGTGTCATATTATCAACAACCTATTTAAAAAAAAAAAAACATATGGAGACAGACGAAAAAGCAAGAAACGATCGGAATCTTTTTAAATTGAGTGAATCAAAAGGTGATCATTTAGTTTATGATTATTGATGCAACTTTGGCTAAGATATATTACAATATGATAAAAAAGTATGATACATAATGGTGATTATTTATTAGTTTGGAAAACCACATGAAAAGGGTGTGCAAAAATGAAAAATAGCTGCTGGTAAAACTTTTAAAAAGCAACATGGAATAGTCGCAAATTAAGATAATTAAATTTAAAAAAAAACATAAGGGTATAACAAAATAAAAAAATTGAAAATGTATGAATTATTTCGGCAAACTATTAAAGTCAGTTGTTTAAACATCTTTAAATGCACATTAGACATAACCAGTTTAAAAGTTGCTGTCTCATAGTGCTGTGTAATTCTAAACTCTTTCACTCATTACTTTATTTAACTTATTATATTATTAACTTATTATACTCATTACTTTATTAACTTATTATTACATAGAAAACTAGATTTCGGTTGCCCTTTAAATTTTTTCCTTGTGATAAACTATACAAATTAATGGTGTTTGCATGATAATCAAACACTTTTGTTGGAAAAAAATACTTTTTACACAAGAATATATTTTTAAAAAAATACATAGTGCAATGTTGTTTATTCTTAGTCTTTTATTCTTAATACAATTTATAAAAATTAAGATTCTCAAGCCCCCCGGGCATTGCCCTTATGTGTTCCCCATGCATAAAGCACCCTTATGTGTTCCCCATACTGTGATTGACTGCTAGTAAAAAAAATGCATAACTTATAATTTGAATTCTTTTGCAGAGTACCAGTGACTGTTCCAAGTGCTGTCGCCCATTTCCCTAATGAAGGATTAATGCTTCCAAAGCTGTTGATGTCCCAACAGATGAAAAATCTACTCTTCTATACCCACATGCCTAAAGGAGGTCACTTCGCTGCCATGGAAGAACCAGAAATCTTTGCAAAGGATGTCTGGAGATTTGTGGAAGCAGTGGAAAAATCATAATTTTATATCACTTAATGCAACAATCAATGTCGCCATTTCCGTAAAGAAAAAAATCTGAGATGAATAGCAAATGGGTGTTGTTTCAAGAAGAAAAAACACTCAGAATAGGATATGATGGAAGAAAAATTCATTTCATCTAACAGTTTACTATGTCATCAACGGAAAATATTTTATCTGGAAATTTTGAAACTTAGTTTCCATCAGCCTCAAAATGGGTTGTTTCTTGCATTAAGTCACAAATCTATTTAAATTTTATAAGACTGGTGATTCCTATTGTATACTTATGTTGAATATGTTACTGAGTATTATTTTTGTAAGGCTTGCTACTTATTATATTCATATTTATAATTGTATTTTTCTATTAAAATAAAATTATTTAAATTTCTTTTAAGGATTGGGAATAATTTACAGTATTTACAAGAAAAGTAACTATTTTAAATGTGAAAAATGGTATGGCTAAAGTGAAAACTGCATTACTAATTGAATAATCCCAAGATACTGAAGTGAAAATATAAAAACTTCATCTACTTCAACATGTTGACTTTTCCATCTTCATATTCTTCAAAAAAGTTTTTATCAATTATACTGTGTTACACCTGGTTCTTGATCAACATTTTGATAAGAATTCTATGCTTGTAGAAGTAAATATCTGAATTTTAATATTTTAACACAGTTCATGCGATCCTTAAAAAAGAAAGAGAATCTAACATAATTATAATTATGAAGTTACCTTTAACCTAATTTTGAAACCAGTTACTTGAATGGGTGCTTCTCTAAAATGATTTCAAGACAGAATTTATTTTTGAACAATTAATACTGTCTAGCCTAGGGGTGCACAACCTGCCGCCCGCGGGCCACATGCGGCCTGCCGATGTGCGACCCGCGAGAGCTCCTAAACAAAATATTTTTATTTTTGTTAAGTAAAAATTGAGAATTTTTTTAATTTCTCTTCAGAAAATATGGAATCATAATATGTACTGTAATAGTTAAGTTTTAATTTTTGCTTAAACCCTATAAATTTTCTTTTAAAATATTTAGTTAAAATTTATATTATTCATTAAAATATGTAGTTTTTTTTACATATTTATCTATGAGCTTTATACTTTTTTTTTTGTTAGAGTTTATAATATCTCTTTTCCTTAAATATTAAAAAGAAAAATATTTTCAGAAAAAAAAATATTAGTTTTTTTTATTGACTGAATTTTAATAATTAAAAGTATTTAATTTTAGGAAAATGTTTATTGTTCAGAGCACCAATTTTGAGATAAAAATTATTAGATTTGCCACCATGACTAAATATGCATGCACTCCTAGTCTAGCCTTATGTACCAGAGCTTTTAGAAAGGGGCCGTTCAAAAAGTACGTACATCCCGAAGGGGGGGGGAGGGGATTTGCTATTATGTACGGTTTTGTACGATGGGGAGGGGGGAGGTATTATACAAAGTACGTACTTTATAAACATACACCAAATTTAAATTTGACTTTATCCTACACACTCCTTAAGTAAATATTTAATTTTATTTAAAACATAATTATTTTAATTTTTATGAAAAATGTACGTACTCTAAGGGGGGNACATTTAAGATTTAGATCAATTTATTATCAGGTCATAAGAGTGTTTTTTAATAAATAAATGTAGTGATTGTTTGATTTACAATTGTAAGGTCCTGGGTGTTTAATGTTAAGTTATACATTTCTTTAGAAATAATATTTGAAATATGCAAAGCAGGGCGGCATTCATTTCAACTTAAAAATCATCAACTTAACTTTCAATAACTATAGATAAATAAAAAACAAAAGTTTGATAAAAACTTTAAAAGAAATACTTTTAGAAAAATTCTTTCTAAATAATATTTAAATAAAACACAATCACTTCGTCTGAGTGATTCTGTAAGAAATTCTAAACTTTACAATTTTACAAGTTAGGTGAAAAGTAAATATCTACAATAGTGGTAGGGAATTAAGGAAATTCTAAATCTAAAGTTTGAGTCCTAGAACGTAAACATCTGATCATTAGATCAAAAGTTAGTTTTAGATTTTTCGTTTATTGCTCACTGTACACTAAAAGGTGATTTTTTTTTTCTTTTGAAATTTTGATTTTAATGCCCTTACTTCAACCTCCTTCGAGTTATGCTTACTTTATAAATTTAATCTCAACTTTATTTTTCTCTTCACTTTTAAACTGTAAAAGACTTTTTCTCCATTTGTAAATTATGAAAAAAGTTATTAATCTGATTGCGTAAACAGTTAATTTATTAAAATTGGATATTCTCAATTAATTCCTTTTAATAGTCATTTATATTATTAATAATAATTATTTGCACAAAATTATAATAAAGGAAAGTTTGATTAGAAATTTAAAAGTTCTTGCTGCGATAATTAAGGAATTTTTACTGACAAATTGAAATAATTTTTTTTCCGGAGCAAAATGCATTTTTATTTAAAATGGAGCAGTGCTGACTGAATATTTATACGATAAAACACTCTCTAATCACTAAAACCGATGACAGGAAAAAAATTTCTTTTTTTTTCCTTTTCCACAAAAAGTTTAAAACTTAAAATGTTGTTCTTTCATTATAAAGCAATCGCATAATATTCTGGTATCATGTAAAACTTTATGGCGAAGTTACTTATCTACCGTTTTACAATTATAAAATGAAATAATTATTGAATTCTACTTGCATTTTAAAATGTAATACTCAATCGTTCAATGAATTTTACGATTATTTTTATAAAACTGTGAATAATGAACATTTCAGTTAAAATAATTAGTACAAAATAGCTGCTAAAAATTCTCTTAAACATTTATAAATATTATACATTTATAAATTTCAGCTTTTCGCATAATTGCTAAATAATCTCTACGTCGAAAAATATTTAAGAAATTCCATAATAACTGAAAATTAAATAAAATTTTAAAAAAATTGTAAATGGTTATCGAGCAGAACCATTAAGTTTAATTAATGAATACAGAATTAGTAACAAAGTCTCTGCTGAACAATAATTTTTTTAAAAATCTTTTAAGTAAACAAACTTTATTGTAATAATCATTTCATTATTAAGGATTAGAGGTTATTGTGAAATTATTAATTTTAATTAGTGGATGAGTAGGTAAAGAAGTTCACTACTCGATATACATTTAATGAAAGTTATGAAAATACAGAATTATGGAGGTAATAATATAAAATTTTTTATCTTAGTTTTATTACGACCTTCTAAAAAACGCTAATAAACACAATTATGTCAATAGATACAAACGATTATGTCGGAGCTATAACAAAAAAATGCGCTTTATATTTCATATAATGCAGAAGAATCTAATGAAGATCAGCTTATTTGAAACTCTGAAGTGTCACACCCATATGTAACTTGGTGAATGATAGATACATGATACCAAAAAACAAAACAAAAACATAAGCACACAGCTGTTTGGCGATTTGCGAGAACGTTCGTTTAACGCCAATTGAAAGTTTCGCCAACCCTTTTATAATCTACGGTATGTTTTGTCAATACGCGTACGGAGGGGGGGGGGGGTTTAAAATTTCTCCATTTTTGTGTACGTACTTTTTGAACGGCCCCAAATGTATAGCTCACTGAAACCAAAATTTACCTTTCCTTGATAACAGCCTACACATTTAATCAATCACTTCGTTATTTTTGCTAAATTTTTCAGCAAACAAAACAAAGATAACTAACCTTATGCATCTTTTTACACGAATCACTGAACAACTTTGTTCTGAAGCAAACTCCAGCATACTATTAAGATTCTGTGGGCAATTTTTTTTTTAATACAAGCAAATGTTAAAGTTTAACCAATCCTAAGACTTTACGTGCATCACAGCATTGTATATAATTAGCTTCACATTAAATAACATAATTTATGCGAAGAAACTTGTCACTTCGCTTAAAAATGACTAGCTGGTGCTGACGTCATGGGTCACATGTGTGAGTACCAACTTGTAAAAAAATACTGTTTTCATTAAAAATGCTATTTTATTTATTTTTAACAACAAAAAAAATTGTTTAATCTCAAATGAAAAAAAAAGAAAATTTCAGTCCAGATCTTCCTTAAAACTTTTTCCCAAAGGCTGAAGAGTGGCACATCCATGGTTATTTGGAGAAAATGAAATTGAACATTGGAAATTTCGCACCGTACATATATATAATAAAGCAAACAGTCTTTTTTTTAAATTAAAAAAACCTTGTCCCCCTTAAAATTATCTTTCAGACCAAGCCTTTGCTAACTTGATTATAACTGAATGATTAGAATGCAAAAGAAAAATATTCTAGTAAGTACTTTACAAGAATTTTTGCAGTAACTGGCCTGAGATTCGAAATCACATCAAAATCAATCTCTCTAAAATGGAACAACTTCTCTTCTGGAACATTGGCACCAACATATACTGGTCGTTTTATATATTTATTTTTTTTTTTAAAAAAAAGGGGCTTCAGGGATCAAATTAAAAAAGGAATCTTGGGGATCAATTCTAAAAGTTCTGCAAGTAATAAAACTAACTAACACCATTAAAAATTAGATGTAGAAATAGTAATAAGGGCTCTCTTTTCCTTTGATTGAAAACTGAAACTCCTTGATTCTGTATTTTTATTTTAAAAGTTAAAAAGTGTGAAATTTGCTTGAATTACTAAATTCTCTATGTTCATCATCATTTAAGATTCCACATTTTCTTTAATGATTCCTTCCTCATGTACGCAAAGTTCCTCTTTACTCAAAATGTTTTCCGAGTGGGGGTACGAAGATCATGAACATTAGAAATAGCATTCCTCAAAATGAATGACTAAATAGCTGACCTTGTATATCTTTTTGAACCAATACCTTAATTACACCACTAACTTTTCCTTGGAGCTATTCATATTTCTACTTTCACCATTTGTCATTATAAATTATTTGTCCTAAACTTGATTTTTTAAAAAATAACTCTAAACCAACTTAGCCCATTATTTTAAAATATTGGAGGTGTAAATACAAACTCAAGCGAATTCAGATTCAACAAAAGTAATTCTGTTAAGACAAATAGAGGTTAGTCCCATTCTTTCACTGTGGGTGTGACAACATAATTGATCATTTTGCAAAAATTATGAAAAACAATGTTTACACAAAAAGTAATATTTTTTAAATTTATTTACTAAAAAATAATTGTCTAATTTTTTCTTCAAAGATAAAACCTAATAATTTGAAAACGAAGATTTATTGGGAGGTGACGACCCACGGAAGTGAAGATTTGATTAACCGTGAACCTTCTTATCCAAGGTAAATATGAGAACAAGATCATTAGAAGTAAAAAAAAAAAAAAAAACAGACAACCATTTTTCAATTTTCTTTTATTGACGGAAAAAGCTAGAACTTCATCTTGTGAGGATATACTTTGTTTTGTAGATAGAACAAAGCTTTTAAATAGTGTAGCATCACATTCTTTTCAGGGTGGCTGCGGATAACATTTAGAATCTGGCGATCTACTTCTACTTGATCTTTCTTTCTCTGTTCTGTTACAGCATACTCCTGAAAGAATAAAACAATCTCAGTTAACCTCCTTCAACTGGGTTAATAAATTCAATTTCTTCCAAATTTATTCTTTACGTATTATGCACAGTAAAACATTTACAGCATGCTATCAAACAAATTTAATAACCAAACAAAATAAATATCTGTAGTAATAAAATGTAGTTTGCCTTCCTGTGTCTATCTTAACTATAGAACCATTAAAGGAATGAATTTCGGTGATTTTTAGACATCAATATTTCACTAACAATAATTTATTAAACTAAGAACTATAAATGGTCTGCAATATTTTCCATTCATCATAACTGACTTTCACTGAATTTGAATATTTCAAAATTATAATTATAAACAGCGATATACAAGCAATTCATTGTTGATAGTAAAAAGATTCAATGATTAATTTATAAAGGAAGCTCTGAATAAAAAAACTGATCAATATAAAGTTTTAAACTGATTATTAAAAATGAGGTCCACCTAATTATATATTAGTTATACTTAAAATATATATAGTTCAGAAAACTTACGCAATTTTAGTGAATTTCATAAAATATAGGAGGGCGCAGACTGTTGGTGTGCGGCCACAAAAGCTTCTGAACAGAACGATTTTCTTTTCTTTTTTTTAAAAATTAAAAAAAAATGTATGTGCTGAATCACATATTTGATCAGTGTTTCCAACCCTGATTAGGGAAGACTTTTTAAGAGCTTAAAAATGGTGTAATACATGATGAGGAGAGCTGAAGAAACATTAAATAAGTTATTACTTCAAAAAGGGGGAAAAAATAGCTTGGGAGCAGTTTTTTGTACATGTAGCTTTTACAATTAACACACACGTCAAGGATAGGGGAAAAAACAGAAATTATGATGGAATTAAATACACCCCAAGAGCAATCATTAACAACCAGTCATTACTGAAATCAACGTAACGACATTGCATTGATTAAATATAAACTAAAAACAACAACAACAACAAAAAAAAGCAAGCAAACATAACTGATAAAACGGATCTAAATGAATCTACAACGAAATCAAATGCGTCAAACATGAAAACTCAAATTTGAAATTCGCAAGTCGTAAAAAGCAGCACGTAGTAAGTGGGAAAAACTCGAAAAAAAAAAAAAAAAACATATGTGCGAAATTACATGTCAAAAAGAGATTACTCAGTCCCTGGCTGCTGAACAGCAGATAAGAAAATTTAAGTTAAGGAAGATGATTAATAAAATCATCCTTTAATGCTGTGATTCAGAGTGTGTAGCCAATTTTATCAACAAAAAATAAACACCTTTTAAGTACTTTTTAAGCACACAACCAAAGAAAAAAAAATTATAATCAAGAGATGTGCAGTAATAAAAATTATTTTTCCTCTATCGTCTAAAGTTCTTAATTTATAAACATAAAAACAATAAAATTTAGAAACATTTTCAAAAATGTTACATAATCATGATAAAATAACCAGTTTCTGATAAATATTGCAGAGACACCTGTGAAAAATCACATTTTTTTTGTAATTTAGAACAATCGATGCGGTAAAGAAAAAATATTTAAAAAAAAAAAAAAAAAAAGATAGCAAAATTAAGCACTTCTTACAAACCCCGAATAAAAAATAAGCACCTTTTAAAAATGCTATGCTCTCTTGCACTTCAAGAGGTATTCATTAAAAAGGGGCAGTTCCTATTCTTCAACAGATTTAATCTTCTACTTCCCATTTACGAGAATTACCCCTCACTGAGTTATGAAATTTTAATCCTGATGTATATGACTTCCTTAGATGTTTCGTGCTACATTTAAGGACACATTTTGTTAAAAAATAGACTAAAAATGCCACTTTAATTTAGTTGTAACAGCCAAAACAATTAAAAAGCAAAACTGGACATGGCCTTCAAATGCACCACAGACTAGAAAAAACTAAAGCACACTATACCTCTTTCTTAGTATCAAATATTTCTTCTTCATCCTTCTTGTTCTTCTTTTGTGGCTTCTTCCTTCGGAAATATAAATCATTCACGTGATCTGGAATTTTAACGCTACTAATGTCCAACTTAGTACTTGTGGCAATGACATAAATTTGATTTATCCTCCTCAAGGGGCAGCCATTCACTTGGTAGGGACCTACAAACAAATAAAAAGCACACATCAATCAAAACTGCATTGCTTTTTTCTTCAATGAATTAATACACTAACTTGTTGCCTCTGTTGCACAGAGAGAAAAATTATTATTCACACAAATTTCTTTTCTACTTTAAACAGATATGAAGCACTAAATGGTATTAAATATGCATAATGCACACTAAGTCCTAATAAACCAGAATTAATTTAAAAGAAAAATAAATAAAAAGAAAATCTACAAAAATAATCAGGTGTGATGTGACCCAAACTCAATAGTCCTGAAAATTTCGAGTAAAATCATTAATGACCCATTTGAAAAAATTTATGTCTGTATAAAGATAAATCATTGCAATTTTCAAACTATGAATTTCTAAATAAATTATATGCAAAATAATTTAACAAATAATCATGTATAAGTTTACTTTTATCTCGAATCACATTTATTATTCTACCAAACAAAATATTATCAAATGAAAGAAATGCCAAGTATAAATTTTAGCTCTAATAATTTAAATAAAATATCCAAGAATTTCTATACATAAATGTGATCGATGATTTCTTGAAAAGTCTGGACTTGGATTTCCAGAAACTTTCGAATCGCAGTTAGCGAAAAAGCCGTTTTTTCTTCTGGAGCTTATGATTATAATAACTATTTACCGATAAAAAATAAATGTTAATCTTGAATATAAGCTTATAAAGTATCTGGCTCTCCTTTACAAACAAATTAAATAAACTGTGTTTTAAAGTTCCACCTTTGAAAATTTGATTTCCGGTAACCTTTGTGATCAATGATTATTTGAAACGTCTGAACCTTTGATCTCCGGATCATGGTTAACATAAAATCCGGAGCACAATCAGCCCTTGGTAAGTAAAAAGATATATTAAAGTTAATTAAAGAGTTAAATAAATAACAAATTTGAATATTACCTGTGACAAGAAGAAGACCTGTCTCTAGCTGTTTCAAAAACACAACACGCTGTAAACAATAAAAACAAGATTAACCTTAAATAGTTAAGAATGTGAATCAAATAAAAATCACTCTTTATAATAAATAAATTTTTAATATAATGCGAATTTCAGAACTCCTTCAGACATCAGTCCCATGCCATGGCTGGAACTAAGGCCACGAGAAAAAGGGTTCGAAAAGGGGAGCGGGAAAAAAGCTTCGCCGTGATCTTGGCTTAGGTCAGCGCGAGTAAACCAATCAACATCTTCATTCCACCAGTAGAAATGTGCTCTCACTTGTTACCATAGCAGCAGACAGCCCCAGATTTTAGCCTGCAGGAGTTTTGCTCAAAGCCGCACTATGTGGCGCATTTAACTCTATAGCCATTATTTACAATCATCCTATTGAGCGAACTATGTTTATAAATTTTGAAGTTTGTTGCAATCAAAGGAGCAGGGTTCAACATGTGATTATTAATAAGTATAGGTGCCAACATGGATAGGAAAATAATCTAGCAGATTTTACCAAATATAAACATTGTAAATGTTGCATAATGTATTACATATTTTACACATAAGGAATTTTATAGCAATCAAAATTATAAGGACAAAAACAGTTTTAAAACTGATTTTTATAAATGAATCTAGCTTTTGTATATAATACTTATTTTAATATTCAAACAAGCAACACTTAGTGTAGAAACTCTACTTCAATAGGGATTTTATAGAAAACTTGCTAAATTTAAAGGAGTTTCCTTCAATGTACAAAAATCTGGCTAACTTTTATTAAACCAGTAAACTAGGAGAATTTGGAAAAATCCAGTTGAGTTGGCAGCTATGGATAAGCAGTGTTTTCAATACAGTAAAAAATGGGAGAGAATTCCTCACCCCTTCTCAAAAACAGGGTGAGATTTCAAAAAGTTAAGTGAGATTTAAGTGAGACTTGGAAAAAATTACTTATTTAATTATAATACTTTTTTAACATCTTCTAGTTTAATATTTTTGCTGCATCATCATGTGGAAAGTGTTTTATACCTACCTTTTCACCAGTTATTATATTTATTTGGCTGAAAAATATCTGTATTTGTTTCGTTTTGATCGTTTCCACCGACACTTGTTTAATTTTCACTTGTCCATCAAGGAGTAGAAGATGTCGCCTTAACAAGGTATCTGTCCACCTTACATTTATGCACAATAAATGTAAACATTTTAGATGAAGAAACCTTAATGATTACCTACGGTAAATAGGGAAGCTAGATAACAAGGTCCGATGTTCAAAATAATGAAAGATCAGGGAAGAAAAGTTAAACGGAATTTATTTAAAATGGCAAAAGATGGATCTTTTCCTCATAATTCGTGAATTTTGAAATTGATTAATAGAGTGCGCGAACTTCTCACAATAAAATTTTATTGCGTGAAAAGAAAAAAACATGCGTGATTCTCGAGCTGTAGTGAAAACTCTGGATATCATTACCAAAATATTCCAGTGATCAGCAGACTTACCTTTCCACGATGTCTACCAGCCAGAAGAATGAGTACTGTGCCAGGAGTAATGTTTGGCCTCAAATACCTCTTATGATTTTTAAAGGCCTTCATCTTTCGTGTATGCTTCAGTTTAGGTTTATCCTCAGTTGGATAAAATTTCCTCTAAAAGAAAGAATAAAAGTTGAAATATAAATTTACACACAATCAGGAAAATTGAACCAGATTATCCACTAGTTTACCTCTTTTTTCAATTTAACAATTCGGAAGCCTCCATTCTTTTCTCCACCAATAGGCTTCTTCACGAACTTTGGTTTCTTGGTGGACTTGACTTTTGGGGTAGCCACTTTTTTTACTTTCATCAATCGTCTACGACTGTACATAGTTGATTTTGAATACCTCCATACCCCGCCAGGAAGTTTATAGTTCCTTGGCTTGTGAGGTTTCTTTGTCGCTACTTTTGTTTCTGCCATCCTGTAAAGATTTCACATTTAATCAGTCACAAGATTTAAAAACATCTGACTAGTCTGCATCAATCTTTTTTTAAAAAAGGAAAAAAAAAAATCAAATAAAAAAAAAGAAGCTTAAGATATAATAGAAAAGCCAGGATTCTTCTTAAGTAAAAGCAGATCCCTAACCTATTTAAATTTTTTACAAAACATGAAAAACAATGGAAGCCCAATTACAATGGAATGCATTACAAAGGCAGAAATCTAGGACGTGCATGTCAAAGCATGCACAACAGATCATATAAAATTAACTGCTACATATAAAATTACTGCTGCTAACAAACGAGCCGGGTTTGATCCTGCATCTGGCTAGAACCAACCACAGTGCTGACATATAATACTCTCACTGGTAGACAGATCATAGATCAAAGTCCCCCTGCTATCAGGCTAATCATGGGAGGTTTTAGTGGTACTCCTCTCCATGTAACACATATGTGGGTTGGTACCATCAAAATAGTCCTCCACTAGGATAAATTTCTCCCAGTACTTGACCCAGTCTCAGTTAGGAGTCCCTTGTCTTCTGGATAGAGTTCTAAATTACAAGGCTATACAGTTGGAACATGGGTAGTCATAAGCCAAAAAAATTGGTCAGCTGTTCAATGCGGGTTATAAAATAAAATACTAGCAAATTTAAGATAGTTAAGGCGCAAAAACATTCGATCTGTGCAGCATTCAAAAATGTTTTGTCAATTAACTTTGCTTCCAAAAGAACTAACTCTCTGATATTGATAGTCATAACAAATCCTAAATTATCAACTCTAATTTCTCTAGTAAAAGAACAGAAACAGCATCGTTAGCTTTTAACAGCACACACAGACAATAAACTGCTAACTACTATCTCAGGTTATGACTCGAAATATTGACATATTTCACATGAACATAGCACAATATATATAAAACTAGACATAATGAAGGCAATAATTCCATCCGTAATACTTTACAGAAAATTGCTTCATTCATTATACACAAGCATAACTAATTAGTATTATACTAGTTAAATGAGCAATTTATATATTGAATATAGTTATTAGGAAAACTGCCGATAATTTACTTTACGAGAATTTAGAAAGGAGTAAATAAATAATACAAAATTATCAAAAGGAAAAGCTTAATAAATTAGAAACTAAAATTACATAGATCAAATAATGTTTTAAAAAAAGGATTAACATACATTTAAAATTGAGACCTTACCTGCTCAAACCAGAAAATTATTTTACACACTCGATTCCATAAACATATATAAAGTGGAAGTAGAGTTGTATCTAGGCTGCGACGAGAAACAAATCGCTTGTAATCTCTAGATCCAATTAAGCATTCTCACTGCATGTGTTTCGCATATGCACGAGCGATGCTGCGGCGTAGAAATTTCGTCGTCAGCGCATATGCATTTCACGCAGCCAGTGTACGTGGACACACGAATTCGTCCATTATTTTTGTCTTCTGGTTGCTAATGGCAACAGTGTCTTTTATTTTTCTTCTGCTTCTGACTTTGTTTTCAAATGTTAAAAAAACTGTTATAAAAGAATAGTTTTGATATATATTTTATAAATTTAAATTTTTTTATTATTCAGAATTGATTTTAGTTGCAGCAGTTATTCCTTGCAACGCAATTTAAAATGAGAGCCTTTAATTCTAAGATTTGATGAGCAACTTTATGTTTATATGGTTTATTTCTAGAAACCTAGTCACTGTAGATGTGCCTAGATATGCTTTTTCTTTTTAATTTCGTAATTTTAGTTCATAATTTTGTAAAATGCAGCGAAATAGCTCCCGCATTTTATGGCTTGGAGCGCCCTGTTCTCGAATATGAATTACCACCATTATTGTATACCTTTGACGAATTGGAGCCTTATATTGACGAAACAACAGTTAAAATGCACTATTTTGAATACCATGGAGCTTATATTCAAGAAGTAAATTCTATTTTAAGAAGATGGAGACGAAATAACGTTAAAGTAAACATTTGCAATCACAATATATTATTCATATAATTTTGTTTACTGTATGTGTGAAAATGTTTTTTATCCTCAGGATAGTTTCTGTGTCGATCGTTTTCCGTATACTTGTTTACGGCAACAGTCACCAAAGGGCCTATGAGTTTTTAGGTGATCTTGATCTGTATCCAACTACAATCGCCAAGATGCTAAATATATTTTAAACTTGCGAATTTAAAAAAAAAAAAAAAAAAAGAATTTTGATGTTTGCCCGGGGGTGGCTATGAGTTATACCTTTTGAGTTAGTCCCTTTCTGTGATGTTTTTTTTAGTTTCTCGCTGGCCACTACCTGGAAATTTCCTAGACTTTGCGATTATTCTGCCACAGATCACAATACGGAAATCTCCCCTACTTGTTCACTTCAAATACAATCACCAGAGTATCTATGAGTTTTTGAACCAGTAAATATCTTAAAACAAGGGTGTAGTAGTTTATTGGGGGCGGGATGATTTTAAGTTATAACTTCTTCAAATTGAGCCTCTTTTGTAATACTTTTCTGTTTTGGGGCACTGCCCTGAAGTAACGGAAGCCCTCACAGTAGAGAATTAACTTGAGTGGTTTAACTCACTGCAACCAAGCCACCGCATACTTTTTAAAAATTGTTTGTGATTACTGAAGTTCTTAGCAATCATAGTTAGCATAAATTAGTACGATGATATCACGGGTCTGTCCAGGCCAAATTTACTACCGTTTAGCTGTACCTTTCATGAATTCAACTTTAGGAAAAAGGGTAATTTTACAAAATACTTTTTCTTATAATTTTATTTTTGTATCCCGTAAGAAACGATAAATCCACATTTTTACCATATTTTTGCTTTTTTAATATAATTTTTAATTTTCACAAATGTCTTAAATTTTTACAAAATAGGTACCTCTCAGAAAAANTTGTATCCCGTAAGAAACGATAAATCCATATTTTTACCATATTTTTGTGTTGTGTTGCTTTTTTAATATAATTTTTAATTTTCACAAATGTCTTAAATTTTTACAAAATAGGTACCTCTCAGAAAAATCTCGACAGACCCCTGGATATTCCATAACAGTATATACCAGGGTTCTGTCTAGGTTTTTCTAAGAGGTACCTATTTTGTGAAAATTTAGACAATTTGTGAAAATTAAAAATTATATTAAAAAATCAACATAAAAATATGGATCTATCGTTTTTTATGGGATACAAAAATAAAATTTTGTGAAACTTCTGTTTTTTCTAAAGTTGAATTTGTTAAGGTACTACTGAACAGTAGTAAATTTGGCCTGGACAGACCCCTGTATACCTATATTATTCTTAGTGTAATCAAGACAGATCATGGTTATATTCTATGTTCTAACATGTGACATAACAAATGACTGAAAATTGTAGATATTCTGATTTTGGGTATTTATTCAAGGAAGGGGTCACGTTATAACTCATTTATGTGTACCCTACCTTATCTGGGTATTTATATGACCTACCTACATCTATTGTAAAGAATACTTCAATAATTCCGTTTCTTAGTTTATTATTTTGCAAAAAATGAGGTCACTCAGAATTTATCTTATTTCTTAATTGATGCTCTTATTTATTAATTTATCAATATTTCTTAATTTTTTTCTTTATCCTTCCTTTAGAAGCACACTTCTTTAGAGATACAAGATGAAATGTAGATTTTATTTTATTTTATTTCATAGCATATTGCGTTTAGATTATTTATTAATATTATTTCTTATTTTCTTCTTCTTTATCCTTCCTTTAGAAGCACACTTCTTTAGAGATACAAGATGAAATGTAGATTTTATTTTATTTTGTTTCATAGCATATTGCATTTAGATTATTTATTAATTTTATTATTTCTTATTATTTTCTTCTTTATTCTTCCTTTAGAAGCACACTTCTTTAGAGATACAAGATGAGATGTAGATTTTATTTTATTTTGTTTCATAGCATATTGCGTTTAGATTATTTATTAATATTCTTATTTTCTTCTTCTTTATCCTTCCTTTAGAAGCACACTTCTTTAGAGATACAAGATGAAATGTAGATTTTATTTTATTTTGTTTCATAGCATATTGCGTTAAGATTATTTATTAATATTATTTCTTATTATTTTCTTCTTTATTCTTCCTTTAGAAGCACACTTCTTTAGAGATACAAGATGAAATGTAGATTTAATTTTATTTTGTTTCATAGCATATTGCGTTTAGATTATTTATTAATATTATTTCTTATTTTTTTCTTCTTTATCCTTCCTTTAGAAGCACACTTCTTTAGAGATACAAGATGAAATCTAGATTTTATTTTATTTTGTTTCATTGCATACTGCGTTTAGATTATTTATTAATTTCTCAATATTATTTCTTAATTTTTTTCTTTATCCTTCCTTTAGAAGCACACTTCTTTAGAGATACAAGATGAAATGTTGATTTGATTTTATTTCATTACATGCTGCACAGGGAAAACATGCCTCAAGGCTTTCAATCATTGAGATTTTGAGAAACATGTCACATGTACCTTTACAATTCAGGGCTGATCTGAAAACTTATGCAAGTGGGTGAGTTGATTAAAACTTAACGTCTTAAAATAAACATTTCAAAAACTTTGTTTTTCGGATAGACTTAAAAGGAGAAAATAATTTTAATTTTTGTCAGATTTAGAGGTCATCACTTTTGAATGGGAATAATAAGTTCATTACCAAAGTTTTTTTACCGCAGGTCTGTCAAATAAAAATCATTTTCTCTATTTTAATTTACATTAAAGATACAGATTTAAAAATGGTTATTTTATTATTATTATTTATTCGTTTTAATTTAGTATCAGTTTGTTTGTGCCTGAAAATGATGACAATTTCAATTGGCGAAATTCAATTGGTATAAGTTGTTTTCAGACAAATGCTACTCTTATTTCGCTGATTTCTTAAGTTATAACCCAAAATGGAATAAATAAGTTAAAAGTAAGATAAATAATTTTTAATCGTAAGACAAACACAAACTATATAAAAAAAAATAATAAACATGCGGCCTCAGATAACTTTAGGAATTCTAATTTGGTGACGTAGTCCACTTATTCAACCTTGATCACTTTAATCATTCAGATAACCTGGCTTAACAGATAAAGAATAATTAAGTATTACAGATAGATAATGCACATTAAGCAACTTTTTTTATATTTTTTATCAGAGCTATTACCTAGCAAACATCATTTGATGTTATCTTTAAAATATTTAACGAAACTGAAGCCTCTATTTACATTAAAACAATGGGTTTTACTAGGCTAATGAGAAACTCCAATTTTTAACTATTTCTAGCTTAAAAAATGGGAAATCCAACTTTGTAATTTGTTTACAATTGTACTAATTTAGATTCATGTTTAATGTCCTATTTTTAGAACCTACGATTTTCCTGTAATTCAGTATGCAGACACACACAATTTATTCTATTTCAGTATAGATTTATGAAACAAAAGTGTATATTGAGTTGTTTTATTGAAAAAAATTTATTCTTAAAAATGGTTTGTTAAAATAGATTTTATAATTTAGTTACTTTTAATTTCAAGCATAAGTATTATTTAGTATTTTGTTTTAAATAAAAAAAAAACCACTGTTTTAAATTAAACAAAGTAGGATTTCTTTAAAATAAAAGCCTCCCCTGTCTTGCTAAAATATATTTCCTAACATTTAAAAAGTGAATTATTATCTTATTTAATCCTTCTCTCAGTAAATTAAGATTATTAATATATTCGGTAATCTTTTAATACAGCAATCTGGAATTTAGTGCAGAGTAAAATCTATTTTTAGAGATTACTCCTACATTTGCTTAACACATTAGCATAGAATTTGAAAACCGTTATAATGTTGCTAATATACTGAATTTGTTATTATTTCTCGCACTTTTTTTTCCTGCTAACACATTTTAATGTGTACGGCTAAGAAAAAGAGACATGGCAATAGACTAAATCAATTAATAGCCAATAAAAGGGTCCCTTAACTTTTCTTGGCGGAAACTATGCCAACGTATACATTACTCTCATATTTTTGATTTCTGGGAGAACAGAGGTGTCCTGAGGGGCTTAGTCTTACCACCACGCCCTCTGGGTCATTTTTGAAATGTATTGTTTTGTTAATTTATATGTACGCAAAAATGTATAATTTTTTTTAATTTTAGAGCTACATATGATTTCTTATTTCAAAAATAAAATTTTTTTTTTACTGTACATCAAATCTGATTCTTGGAATAGAGTATAGACATTTAAATATGAATACATCAGCTTCTTCACAACTGACATTTTACATCATCAACATCTTCAAGCCTTGCATCAAGGATTATTTTACATCTAAAACCCCTTGACCCCTTGAATTTTGTAGTTTTCTCCATGCATGAAGCATTTGAAAAAAATGTCTGGTTCATTTAAATTCTTAAAACAATCATGCTCACTTTCTTCTTGAAAAATTTGTGGAATAAACAAATCTGTTAAAAGAAGTAACTACATTCTCTCTATAAAATGTTTATGAAAGAATCAATGAAATGAATTAAAGTAATATGCTTCAGTTTCAATAGAAATATGCTTCATTTTCAATAGGTAAGTACAAGAAAAAAAAACTAATTACAATAATTCCTTGCTTGTATAATCCAAATTTTTAACTGAACCATCAATTTATTTTTCAGATTTGTAATTTTTTAATCATTTTAAATCTTAGTTCATTTTTAATGATTTTTGTATGTAAATGATTCATGTTTGTTAAGTTTTTTTTATTATTGTTGTGTCAAAAACTTTTTCTTTCAATGCTGTTTATTCAAACTTTCATTTTATATGCTAGCACATACTTTCCAAATGTTGCAAAATTTCTGTAGTTTAAAAAAATATTTTTCTTAGAAGTAGTAACAAAGGTAATGTAATTCATATATTTCAATAAATTTTAATTAAAAGAATTATATCCACCACTACACTTAAATGATTTAAATTAATATTTTAAGGGTAACACAGACAATTGGTCTTGTTCTTGGTTTGAGTAAAATTTTATAAAAATTTAGTTTGTTTTAAAAATGTTTGCTTAAATTCTCTATCACTCGAAAAAATCTTTTACCCAAACCTCAAATGTGCATTCTTAAAGTATACATTATTTTGTTTAATTATTATTTTTTGTTATGAATTCTAATTTTGAATTCTTATTTTTGTTTAGGCTTTTGAATCATAATTTATATTGGGCTACCATATCACCGAATCCTCATGGAGAAAACAGAGTTCCTACTGGAAACATAGCTCATGAAATTGATACTAAATTTGGATCTTTTCTAGGATTTAAAGGAATATTTACTGATATTGCTATCAATCATTTTGGTTCAGGTTAGTAGTTATTTTGTTTTTATTTTTAAATTCTGCATGTTAATTTTTGTATATAGAGTAATGAAATACACACCTGCCATGTCTCCTGCATTTTAACAAAAACTCCTGTATTTTATGACTATCTCCTGTTTACCAGTATATTCTCAAATTTCTCTGCATTTGTTGAAAAAGATTTTTAAAAAATTTTGCCGTTGAAATACCTGCTGATGGAAAGAACACCTATCTTGTTCCATAACAGATGATGCTATTGCCAGTACTGCAGTATGTTGAGTGTTTATAGTTTAAGTAATTATAAATTATGGTTTTAAAAATCTTATTTAGATTAAGACTTATATACATAATTGTTACTCAGGTAAATGTAAGTATATTATTTTCAATTTTGAATTTCTCTTTTCAGCTTACATAATTATGCGTGATGTATCAAAACTTTACTCATAGCCTATTAAATGTTGCTAGTAAAATCTCTGTTATTTTGTTTCTTTAACGTTGGCAAGTATAGAAATATATAAGTTTGGGGAAATATATTCAGACTTTACAAATAAAGTATCTACTTAGTCTTTTTGCTAACGAAATTGGCTCAACTTTGAATTTGAGAAATACTTTGAGAAAAAAAAGCCCCAATTTGAAGAAAAACTTTAAATTTGTACTACATAATCTTCATATTACTGAAAAAATTTACTCAACTTAAAATTAGACATACTTTTTTTTAAAAAAGAAAAGAAAAAAGTCACAATTTGACGATTAACTTGAAGTAAAGCTTTAAACTTGTACTGTATACACCATTTTGCTGTAGAAATTGGCTTGACTCAATAAACAAAGAATTAAATCTAATGAAATTTGAAATGTTTAAGGCAAATTTTTAATAAATAAGTAATATAAATTTTTTTTTAAAAGTCAATTCTTGCTAAGGTCAACAAAGAAAAATTTTATTTTAGTTACTTTATATTAAATAATAAAAAAATTTTCTCCCATATAAAACTAAAATTAATTAATTAAATTTAATTAAGAAATTAATATTTAAAAAAAATGTATTTGAACTTGAGTGGATGAAAAAAAGTATTTTATTAACATTTGAAAATTTGAAAAAGATATAGGGAGAGTAATCTTTTGTACAATTATTGCCATTATTAACCATTTTTCATTGTTATTATCCATTTTTCCTTGTTGTTATCCATTTTTCTATTTTAAAGTTTTTGATGCTTTAATGAATGAATTTCTTTTAGGTTTTGTTTGGCTTTGCAAAAGTAATAGCTCAGATGATTTAGTTATTATTAATACCCAAAACGAAGATTCACCATTAAGTGCTGGCTTCTTACCGATTCTAGGAATAGATATTTGGGAACATGCTTATGTTCTGAAATTGCACAACCAGAAACTAAAGTATATTGAAAACTGGTGGTTTTTAGTGGATTGGCATCAGGTAAATAACCTTTCTGCCTGGTGGTCAGGATTGAAACTACATGATGAATTGTGATACACAAACATTCTCTTAAATTTTTTTATGTGCAATAAAACCTGTGAAAGTTGACCAGTAGCCGTGAATTAGAAGGAATAGGAGAAATAATATAGGAATCTTATAGGAGGAATGAGTCATTGTTTTTTACATATCATGTTATTCTTTTATGTTATTCATATTGTATGCCATTTACATTATTTTTGAATGTTATCAATTAAAATAAAAAAATAGATGTAAATACAATTTCCCCCTTACTTTAAAAATGTATTTATCAAGTAACCCATATACCCTGTGGCAGAATTTTTTCGATCTATCTGCGACAAAACTCTCTAGCTCTAATATAATTTTGTTGGGGGATGGACGCACAAATTATTTCCTTCTTCGCATTTTCTAAATAATCAGCACGATAAAAGAAAAGTAATTAAAAATCATGAAATCCGCAGTAGTAATTGCCGAAAAAAGATCAACAAAGGCACGCAAATCGGAATCCTTAAATGCGTGTTTCGCTTCGGGATTGTCAGATTTTAAAACTAGGAAGAAATCAATAGCAATAACTGCGAAAAATTCGATAGAATTATTGCTTTAGAAAGTAAATACTCGAGTGCCCGTTTCAAAGTTTTCATATTGTTTGAAATATACCAGGATATTTAAAATCCATGTGAAAATCAATTTCAATAAGTGTCAAAAATACAATTGAAACATTACATCGATTTACGATACTTTCGGCTTAAATTGAGAGTGTCAAAAAGTGATTACTACTTAAATGTGTGATTTGAATATGTGTAAATTTCTGAAGAAAAATCTTCCTGCAAAACTTCTATAACGTTCTGCGACAATGTCATTCGATTCTGCCGCAGGGCCCATGTATTATAAGTAATAAAATTAAGTTCCAGAACAAATTACTATGGTTGCATAAATATTTTTTTAAAATTCCCAATGACAAAGGATAATGATAAACTCTTATAAGATTAACAAAGAGCAGGAATAAAAAGGAAGACAATAAGAGAAGAAAGTCAATGTCTCATCAGCAGATGCCAGTATCGCTAGTACTCTTAGCCTGGAGGATAACTTGGATGCCTTTGAACATGCTGCCAAGATGGGACGAGTCAACGCATTCATAGCCTTTCAAGAGCAAGAGCATTATAGAATGTTTTACTCAAAACTTGAATTAAAGTGGACAGAGAAAAAAAAGCAATTCAAAATGTCCTGCGGTGTGTGTCAGAGGCGTGGAACTGTTCGCCAAATAAGCCGCAATGGGACAAGGTAGACTTAGACTTAGAGGTTGGGCAGCTCTGACGAGCAGGGCACATCGACCAGAGGTCTATTGTACCCAAACCCTAAAATCATGATTAGCATGAAAGCCCTATGGCTGAAATAAAATTCAGCAAGCACCTTACAGGAACATCTTGCAGTTCCCAGGCATTGACAATATGCTGTCCTAAATGCTCAAATCTTTGAGCAGAATAGACCTCACAATCACAGAGTATGTGTCGTGATGTCTCTTCTTCTAGATGACATCCCCGACAAAGAGAATTTGATTCAATTCCCATAATGTTTAGGTGTCTTCTGAGGATACAGTGACCAGTAAGAAGACCAATGATCTTCCTTATACTGTTTCTGTTAAGCTTTAAGAGCTCCTTTTGACGTACACTAGGACAGTCTCGATTCAGCTCCTTAGCTTGTCTTTGACCGTCAGCAGCGCGCCACTGCTCATGGGCGATCTTGCCGTAGAGCTTGAATATGGTTGCCCTAAATGAGGAGGGAGAAATTCCCAGCGCAGGTTCAGGGCCCCAGAAAATTGCATTAGAGCCAGCCCGTGCTGCTTCGTCAGCTAGCTCATTTCCACCGATACCCATATGTCCTGGTACCCAATGCAGGGATACCTTGTTATGAGTGGACAGGTCACAGAGGACCGAGAAGCATTCCCACACTAACAAAGAGGTGAATTTACACCTTGACAGTGATAGGAGAGCAGCCTGACTGTCAGAACAGATGCGGATAGTCGTATTTTGATATCCTTTGTCTATGCATAACTTGCAGCACAAGATAATGGCATAGACCTCAGCCTGAAAAACGGTGGCATAATTTCCCAGGGGAAAGTGAAGTTTGGTACCATCATTGGAGCAGTAAATTCCTGCTCCTGATTTGGCACCAATCTTTGACCCATCAGTGTACCATATCAGGCATTTGCCTTTAAGCCACCGAGGAGAATTGAACCATTCATCTCTAGTAGGAAAATGGATCTTGAAGGGCTTGTGAAAAGCATATCTTAGTGACATATAATCACTAGGCATAATAAAAGAGGATAAATCCTTCACTTGTGAAACAAGATGTCCCCATGACAAGTGTTTGGAATTCTCTTTCCATAGGCCAAGGTACATAAGACGCTTTACGCCTGTCTGAGCTTCAACTTCAATGCGTAAGTTCAATGGAAGAAGCCCAAGTAAGCTCTCTAGAGCAGCTGTAGGAGTGGTCCTGAGACAGCCTGACAGGGCTACACAGACCATTCTTTGTAGTCTGTTAAGATTAGACCTTGCAGAGCTCAATCTAGTCCTTGACCACCAGACGATTGCGCCATAAGTGATGATAGGACTAATAATCATTGAGTATATCCAGTAGACTATTTTGGGGGACAGTCCCCATGTTCTACCAATAGCATTTCTACAAGACCAGAAAATTTTTCTGGCCCTGTTGGTGCAGTATTCAAGTTGAAGACCCCAATTTAGTTTGGAGTCAAAATAAACCCCGAGAAACTTGACTTTCTCCGTGAGTTCCAATTTATGGTCCAGGTAGTATACATTACCTAGATCAAGTTGCCTTTTCCGTGTAAAGGCTACATAACTTATCTTGAATGGATTGACAGATAAGCCTGATTTAAAACACCACCTAGCTACTTCTAGGAGTGCATTATTCATGATATCAGAGACAGTTTTTCCATGTTTGCCTCTGACAACAATAACACCGTCATCAGCGTACCCGATACAGGGAATGCCAAGAGCAGTTAACCGAACTAACAGGGAGTCCATTACCATACACCATAGGATAGGGGACAAAACCCCTTGGATCGTCGGCACTGAACGATCTTGGAAGAGAACTACCATTTTTTCTATACGCATCTTGCTCCTGTCTCAACTTCCTCTCAGCCGTCAGATCTGGATGGAGTCTATCTAAGACGGTCCTTAGCTTCCTCCCCATCAACAGTTCCGCAGGACTAGCACCTGTTGTGGTGGTGGGAGTACAATGTTGTTGAAGAAGGAACTTGGCAAGCCTCTTCCTCCAATTTCCCTTCACAATGNAATCCGCCGCCACCGCCTCCGGTGTTTCATCCCAAGCCAATGGAACCCTTAGCATTCATAGAGCCCATCAGTTGGCCACCTGCGCCAGAATTCACGATGCCTGGTCCACCTGCGCCAGAATTCACGATGCCTGGTCCACCTGCGCCAGAATTCACGATGGCTGGTCCACCTGCGCCAAAAGTCACGATGCCTGATCCACCAGTGCCAGAGCCTACGATGCCTGATCCACCAGCGCCAGAATTCCTGATGCCTGGACCATCTGAGCCAAAATTCACGATGCCTGATCCACCAGCGCCAGAATTCATGATGCCTGGTCCATCTGAGCCAGTCCTTTTCGAGTCGCCTCCCTCCCTGGGTGCGAGTCAAACGGAGGAAGTGACTCTGTTGGAAGATTTCTTTCAGCCAGACGTAGAGGATACACTCTTTGACCAAATGATGCTCAACTTGGAGAAAAAAAACAAAACAAACGACTACGATTTTAAATATGTATTAGAAATTATGCTGAAATAAATATTACGTAATCAATGCAAATTTTTATCCGAGGTAACATTTTAACTATACAATAATCTGCATCAAATAATTTTGCAAATCAGGAAAATTTAGAATTTTATAAGCATGAAATAATCTGCTTAATATTTCGAAAAAATAGGATCATTTGGAAGAGATTTATTGCTTAAAACTATATGAAATTAAAATGCCCGTCTTTAGTTATAATTTTTAATATATAGCCTGGACTACTTTATGACATGGGGCATTTATACAACTGATATATTTCCATGTACAATTATCTAAATAATAAAATTTTTAAAGGCATAATTTTTTTTTAAATTTTAAAGTTTCGGAATATTTGCTCCGATTATAACATTTTCCTTTTAAAAAATTGTTATCTTATTCACCATATCACCGACGTCGAATCTCTCTTATCATCGGCAGATGGCAGCACAATAGTAGTCATTTATAACTTCTGAATAATAGGAATGTGTTGATTTCTGCTTATCTGAACTGAGAAGTTTATTATATACAATTTCATTTAAAATTTAAAAAAAAAAAATTCTTCTCAATAGTTTAAGTTATCGATAATACGTTATGAAGGGGAAGGAAAAAAAAAGATTAAAAATATGCAAATAAGGATGATAATGATGTTAGCATAATTCCCTTGATCATAGTGTAAAATAAAAGTATTAAATAATTGTGTAAAATAAAAGCATTTTTAATTGAATTTCAGTTACATTTCTATGGTTGCTTGCGGCTTTATGATATCCATAATAATAAAATATCTAAATTCATAATAATGAAGCTCGGATCCTTTTGCTCATCAATACAAGTCAGTTAGGAAAACGAAACTAAACATATTTTTTATTTGACCAGTAAAAGAGAGATTCAAATTTAATTACTCGATGGAATATTTTTTTCTTTTAATATAATTTTTTTTTAAAAAATAGCAGCGAAAATTGAAAACAAACGCTGTTAATACGGCTATAAATCTACCGCCAGGATGCAAGTTATTATCCAATAGGAAAGTGCCTGTAACTGCCGGTCAAGTAACCCGCAGTTAAGAAACCGATGGTCAAAAAATAATGGGGGAATCGCTTTTGAACTCTCGGTCAAAGTTTCCAAACCGGGGGTTTCGGAACTGGGAGTTGCGCGTTAGGTCAGAGTCGGCGGTGAATACGGGGGTAAAAGATAAATAAAATCAGGAAACATAACATTATTATCATTTTTTTAAATATTATTTTACGAATTCAATAAAATTCTAAAAATTGCATGATAGCATAGAAAAATTTCTAAAAGGTTTCATTCACCATATGAAGGGGTTAGAATAGCATTTAGTAACACACCTGTTTTAGTTATTTCAGCATAAATGACAGACTGATGGTTAGACAGACGTACCAACTTGCTCTGAATTGCAGATAAATATTTTCTAGCAGCATTTATGTTTTAATATAC